TTCCTCTGTATTGACTAACAAGCCCCCAGATAGCAATTTCATGTCATCAAAGTCAATTTGAGCAGTGAGAAAATACAAGCATTTTCTTAGAAAACACTTAGAATTTTTCAGTCCAATCTCATAGGGTTTGTACACAGGGTGTTGAGTGAACTTCGTATAGGCCTATATATGGAAATCTTTCCAACAAAAGGGCGATCGTGAAGTGTAGGGCCCGGTTCCTACAGGCTAAGGGAACAAAATCCACTTTAAAATTATTGGAAACTACCAAACTAGTTGGCAACATTCTCAATAAACAGGTATGTCATAGATAAAGGGCAGGGTTTTGATTTTTTGAGGGAAATTTGGGGGTAAAATGAAGATGACAGCGCGGCGACAACACGCGACCTGAAAATAAAGATGGCGATCACTGCGTGATGTACCGTGAGCACGCAGGCCATGCTGAATCACAAGGCACAAACCACGCAGGAAAATCGTGATTTCTACCCCGAGAATCTGTTCAAAATTGCAAAGCGGGTGTCATTAGAATTGAGAAAAAGTTTGCTTTTGATTGTAAAGGTGATTTTTGAGCAATAAAAAAACATTTTTGACTCGTATTCAATCAAAACAAAACAGGGGTCCCACACTTAACGATCGTCAACAAAAGTTCCATCTTCTTTTTTACTACCGGTAGTACTGAATTTATGGAATTCCATTGTACATGTATGGATATATATCTAATTTTAATAGGAACAGGGTCCTTAAGATAATGACGGATTACCGAGACTACTGACTAATACTAAAATTAAAAAAGCGATAAGTTGGGCACTAGCTCTTCTGAGTGGAGCGTTGAATTACGGGTACCCCTCCATACAAACGCTCCACCGATTTGCCATACTTTGGTGACGGCGTAACAGTAGCATAGTGTAAATACCCACGCGTGGACAAAAAGACCCCAAAAAAAACGGTAAAGAGAATACAAATGAGAGAGGCAGTTACCCTGGATTGATCTACACATTCATGACATTCCATCAGACCCCTTATATTGTTCCCAAACAGCGAAAATTTTGGAAAAAAACAGCAAATTAGTCTGAAAACTTACAGCTCCATGTGTTTGCCGTGAGGCTCAATCCTTGCACTGGTTTGCCGAATGAGGGCGTCTGACGTGACGTCACCGTCGTTGCTCGATGAAGAAAAACAAGTCGCGCTTTATCGGCGACTGTTTCGTGTAATGATACGTGCTCCTGCTCCTTGGGTGTGTTCGAAGCCCATACTGTCGTACGGCGTGGATCGGAGCACGTATCATTGAATGACACAAAACAGTCGTTGATAAAGCGCGACTTGTTTTTCTTCGATCGAGCAACGTCGGTGACGTCACGTCAGACGCCCTCATTCGGCAAACCGGTGCAAGGATTGAGCCTCACGGCAAACACATTGAGCTGAAAGTTTTCAGACTAATTTGCTGTTTTTCTTCAAAATTTTCAGTCGCTGTTTGGGAACAATGTAAGGGGTCTGATGGAATGTCATGAATGTGTAGATCAATCCAGGGTAACTGTGTCTCTCATTTGTATTCTCTTTACCGTTTTTTGGGGGGGTCTTTTTGTCCTCGCGTGGGTTTGTGACTATGCTACTGTGATGCCGTCACCAAAGTATGGCAAATCGGTGGAGCGTTTGTATGGAGGGGTACCCGTAATTCAACGCTCCACTCAGTATAGCCCCATAAATGTGGCCTATTTACTGGACTGCCTCCGTAAACATAGGCCACACGTCCACATGTACAAAAATTTTGTCGACTTTGCCAAATTTTGATTTTCACATTAAGGCTTAGTTTGTAGGTTTTTTTTGCTTTAGAAGCATACTCACCCTCTTTATAGGCTAATCAGAAAGTGCTGCCTTTTTCAGATGTATATTTTTTGTGAAATTTCCAGATTCATTTTTACACGTTTGCGTATCAAAATTTCAACATGAAATTTTACAAAAATTAGACATCTGAAAAAGGCAGCACTTTCTGACTAGCCTATAAAGTGGGCGAGTATGCTTCTAAAGCAAAAAAATCCTACAAACTAAGCCTTAATGTGAAAATCAAAATTTGGCAAAGTCGACACAATTTTTGTACATGTGGACGTGTGGCCTATGTTTACGGAGGCAGTCCAGTAAATAGGCCACATTTATGGGGCTACACTCAGTAGAGCTAGTGCAAGACCTGTGGCCTAGTGGATAGCACGTGAATCCTTAGCCCCATAAATGTGGCCAGTTTACTGGACTGCCTCTGTTAACATAGGCCACACAGCCACCATCTTGGAAACTGACTCGGCGAAATTTTGAAAGTGATTTCCACATTGCGACTTCAAACCCAGTTCATTTATGCTTTAAAAATACACTTACCCTCTTAATAACAAAATTAGAACCTGCTGCCAGTGTCAGTTGCCCAGCTGCTGCGTAATTTACGACATTTTCTGGAGCCTTCTTGGCAACTTGGTCCAACCATGGAGCTATCTCCATGGTCCAACTGAACAATGCCCTCGCGCAGATCGTTCACCTGTCAATCACGCGTGCAGGACGCACGCCGCAGGCCCAGTGGTAGTCCGGTTCCCAGACCAAAAGATTCTGACTATTCCTGATCCTAGGAATAGTCAGAATCTTTTGGTCTGGGAACCGGACTACCACTGGGTCTGCGGCGTGCGTCCTGCACGCGTGATTGACAGGTGAACGATCTGCGCGAGGGCATTGTTCAGTTGGACCATGGAGACAGCTCCATGGTTGGACCAAGTTGCCAAGAAGGCTCCAGAAAATGTCGTAAATTACGCAGCAGCTGGGCAACTGACACTGGCAGCAGGTTCTAATTTTGTTATTAAGAGGGTAAGTGTATTTTTAAAGCATAAATGAACTGGGTTTGAAGTCGCAATGTGGAAATCACTTTCAAAATTTCGCCGAGTCAGTTTCCAAGATGGTGGCTGTGTGGCCTAGGTTTAAGGAGGCAGTCCAGTAAACTGGCCACATTTATGGGGCTAGTGAATCTTATGAGTGAGAGATCCCCAGCACAGCAGGGTTCGATTCCAAGCTCGCAACCTTTTCAATTTTTGTTCATCCCAAAAAATTAAGAATATCCTTAAATATTTTAAATCAACTAGAACTCCGACATTTAACCACCCATTTTCTTTTTCTGATTCTTGGCCATGTTGGCTCTGGAGGATTTTTTTGTAATGAAAGGGAAATAAAGTCCGAAATTGTAAAATTGTCAGATTCCGTCTTGTGAATATGAAGTCACAATGACAATGTTGTGGCGGTACCAGCCTATCCGACAAAATATCGTTCGCTTCAAGAAAGCCGGTGCCGGCTAAATATACTACCACTGCCAAATTTGAACTTCAATGAAAAAGACAAGTCTGGGGATTAAAATTCCTGTTTTTATCCATGCCCAGCATGCATTGCAAATGTCACAAATGTTTTACCCCTCTTGCCCCCGTCCATATAAACCGTAGGTCCCCCCTCCGCAGTCCAATTTCAGAAACCACGCCCATTTCCAGATTCTCAGAAAATGGAGAAAATAACTGACAGAATTCCTTCTTTAAAAAATTACGATTTCGAACCGTGTTTTCCTCTGCATCAACTTCAGAAGAATCTACAGTAGTTCAGTCACTTCTACCTAGCTTTCGAAGGCCAAATGATTAACTTTTTCAGGCCAAAATTGGCAAACTTACTTGGACTGTTTTTTCGTAGTCCTCCACCATACGTGCCCCGCCAATTTACGAACGCGCAACGAACCACGTGAGATTGGTTTGTGAACAAAATCCCTGGTCTCTGTACTATTGCAATGATTTCATAGGCATTTGGAGACGCGAACCAGTTATTTGTGCGGCGCCTTATTTATCAATGAAAATCACCCGGCATTTTTTTGTAGGTTAGTTTTCAGTTTCTTTGAGCTTGGGGGTAAAAGTCGGTTTTTTTCCTTTTAATTCACAATTTTTGTTTATCATCTTTTTAAATTCTCACAATTTTTGTAAAACAATATTGGAGACGTGCATCTAAGAAAAAGATCGTCTTCAATAGTTTGCTAAGATTTTTTTTAATGTTGAACTAAGTTCCCTTTATTTTTGTATTGATGGATGGCTCACCCCTTTTTAGTAATTTGGTATAGCCAGGACTGTGCGGAATGTATATGCAAATTGTGCAGGTACAATTGGTCTTTTCTTTCATCACGTGATAACTGCGCGAATTTCCAGAGTGCCGCGATTTCTATTTATTCCTCTATTTAATAATATTCCTCTATTTTAATAATGTTCCTCTATTCATTATATATTGAATATCTAATATTCCTCTATTTATTAAATTTAACCATAGAGGGCGGGCTTTCGATTAGTGCGGCCAAATTAACTTGTCCTCTGATAACCCCCCATAAATAATGTAGACAGCTGAATTAAATAAAAAAAAAATATCTTTTAAGGGAATATGGAAGGGGGTCAAACAAAATGCGCATTTTTTTCGTTAAATGGAGTTATTGGTAGTGGGACCCAGACAACTAATATCGATCATTCACGAAAGGGGCTGGATGAATGGGGGAGGGGGGCAGTAATTTTTGATTTTTTTCAAGTTCCAATTGTTGGTGTTCATTGGGTGCTAGATAAATATTTAAAAAAAGCCGTTTGTTTTCAAATGTAAGAGTCACTATGGTGTCGCAAACAATGATTCATTCAAGACAACTTCAACTTAATATATGAAGTCTTGAATTAATCAAAGAAGCTGTCTTCTTGCAGACCGAAGTGGGGGCCACTAGAAATGCTTTTTAAAATAAATCCACCAGGGAACAAGTGAAGACAACTGTTTTTAATACGAAATTGTAGTCTATTCGTCGCCGTTGCCACTTTATAATACAAAGAAAGAAAGGAAACACTGCACCCCTCCCATAAAATGCGATCTAGCCCCGCCCCTCCACATAAGGAGAATTCAGAGGCAGGAGATTGGTCCATCACTGAGGGAGGAATGGAGGCATAACACAACAATCATCTAACCTCAAAGATTTCTCCTTGATTGACTCAAGTCATTGCATGCAATGATTTATTACACGATAATAATCATACAAAGTACACAATGTCAAATACTAATCCCTGATGATGGTCTTAAACTTTGCCTCAAATATCTGGGAAAAAAAAGAAAAGAGATCAGAAATGTTTCTGCACCAATTAATAACAAATGATACAAATAACGTACAAATTTTCAACAAAATCTCCTCTCACAGTTAACCGTATCAAAACTAAATCAACTTACAAATGGTGGAAATATCATTTAATTCATTATTATCAGGTGTTTTATTATTATTTTAAAGCACAGTCACTGGTTGGAGAAGTTTCAGGAACTATTACAATGTTCTCTATAAAGAGCGAAGGTTTTATTTCACTCAATTTCAGCAAACGTGAAACAGAAATCAAACTATCCAGAAGTCAGCAGATTATCTTGACTTGGAGTCCGTGGCCGAGTGATGACCTTATCTTACAGAGTTGCACATTAATGATCACAAGATAAAAAAATCACAATTATGTAGTTTGTAAACCATGGCTTAAAGGCATATAGGAACATTTGCATTTCATGCATTTTGTTCATTTCCAATACATGTAATATCATCACTGTTCCACAGAAGAATACTCAAAACCTAACATGTTGAAGGTTTGGATATTACACTTTTCAAGAAAAGAGTGAAATATCCATGTACAAACTTTTCATCAATAAAAGTGATTTCGTCCATAGAACTCTTTTAAATCCGAACACCAGTCAATTGACTTATCATTGGAAATCACCTACATTTCTTGATTTCTTCTTAATGACAGCAAGCCAGATGGAATAATTTCACAGGGTGTTTAGTACCAGTACGATCTTTAATCCAAGTGAGCTTTTTGTTTACAATTCGGTAGGTTACTTTTGGGATAAATGCCAATGATCCCATCCCATATTCCTTGAAATGTGTAAATTAATGACTACAAAAATCCCCATCATTTAAAATTGCAATCAGTTTGGCTTTGCAGTCACAGTGTGTAAATCTCATTTTAATCAAAATCTTCTTTCATGTGTCATGCCAGCAACAACAGTTAAACTTATTTACATTCAGTTTACATTTCCAATGTAAATAAATTAAAAAGTTGATTCAAAGTATACTTTCTCTCCTGCAGAACTGCTTTTACTAAATGCAACAGTTGCATTTGGGCATGTTATAAACGGCTGTTATCACCTAGGCAACTGCAAAATATCAAAACTGTTAGAAACAAAAATGTCAGTTTTTGTACAGAATATTGATCATACTTGGAACAAACAAATCTAGTGTCAATCAATACTTTGAAGAGGCTTGCAATGATAAAAACAAGCAAATTGTCCACTTGTACCTATTTCAACATAATCAAAAATCCAGTAACATTTTAGCATATACAACAATTGCAACGATTGGTCCTGAATGAGCAAACATGACTGTCCTCTGACAAAAATGCGTCATTTGGCAATGCAACATTCTACATGTATATATTATACATGAATTGTTTGACAGTATGAACACTGGTTTAGTAACTCTCAATATGGACATACGCCTATAGTTGAATAGTAAACAAAATCCATGTTATACTGTCCATACACAACTGCACCACTTTAAAGGTATATTACATAAACAGTCAAGGTTAAAGATCTATAATAAAGTTAGCAAACTGGAATCATAATTTTTGTCTTTTTATGCATAATTTACATTAATTTACACAAATGATTTGATAAAGAATGAAGCACAAACACTCAAAAGAAACGTCTGTTTGAAAGGCGTGAAGTTGCGAGAATTTTCTGAATTTGTACATAAGGCAAACGCAAAACAATTCAGAAGTACCCGAGGTTTGGAGTATTATTCTGTATACTAAGTTTTGCACAGCACTGGTCTATAGAAGGGTGTCGTGCAGCCATTTGCGTGTGGTCACATTAGTTTGTTGGAATGCCATATTACTACATTGATCGGATAACAGGGTAGGAGGAGGCCTTTGTCATAAAAGTTGAAGACATCTCACACAACTTTCACCTAAGATGATGCGATTCAAGATATTTTCTCAAAAGAAATGGAAAGGAGAGGTGGATTCTCCTGTTTAATTGACGATTAGATTGTAGATTTATAATAGTACTCAGAGGTCACCCAAGATACAAGGTCAATTTAATATCACTTTCAAGTGACACCCAGAATGCTTAGTGCAGTGCTATTATGTTTGAAGATTTCAATGAATCATTTTGTACAGGAATTGTTGTTTGACTTTTCACACTGATTGATTGATCAACTGATGGATTGATCAACTGATGGATTGAATTTTTGGAGGATGGAGGTTCAGTAGCATGAAGAACTATGCTGGGTATATTTGTATTCATAATGTAAGAGGATTCCAAATACTGTATTTGTATTGAAACTGTTTTGTTGACTTTTTCATTCATTATCAAGCCCCTTATTGTCCTCTGAAAGTAAAGTTGTTATTGATTGGTTTTTTTTTTGTAATCTTTTTTTTTCTGGGGGGGGGGGGGGCTGCAGAGCATTGACTTCACATAAAATGACCCATGATAGGTGCTACTCATTTCAATTTAATGCGGCTTATGAGAGTGGTGCATTCATAGGGAACAGGGTGAGAGTTATGACTTGGTGGGAGATTATGTAGGCTCGGAATATTCCCTCTTCTGTTTCCTTCAGGCGAGGGAGGTCTTGACTGACAAATTGTCCGACGAGCTCAGGATCGAGGCCGATGTTACAAAGTGTCAACACACGTAACTTAGGGAGACCTTGGAGATGATGGGTGAGAGCCCTCACTGCATCCAAACTGAATGCATTGCCATCAAGGTTAAGCCATTCTAAACCATACCCAGCAGGAAGGATGCTGATCAGGTCCTTCACATCATCATCTACCAACCTGCATGCACTGAGCCGCAAGTGTGTAAGGGATGACAGGATGTGGCTGACATCTCGCAACCGTGCATGCAGGTTGGTGTCAAACAGAGTGAGCAAAAACAACCTGCATCCTTCCAGTGCTTTCAATAGATCAACAACCTCATCCGGTGATCGTTGGTGCATACGCAAACCATGGATGCCTGTTTGTTCCTGCCTGCGGAAAAAGCTGTGTGATACACGCCCCACGTCAAACCATGACTTTGCCTCAATGCAAACCGAAATGTGTAATTGAGCACGGCGCTGTTCATCCACCACACCAAGTGTTTCCTCAAGGAGGCTAAGCTCCCCCTCCTCTTGCTCAGACAAGTAGTAGTAAACATTCGTCAGCCTAGCTGACTTCATGCTGTCACTCAGAAGAATTCCCCTGAGAAGGGTAAGCACCTGCTTTCTTACATACATGTGAAAAAATGTACCTTCAAGTGGTGGAGTGACATGCTGTAAGTAGTAGCTGAGTGATTTCAGGTCTTCATTACTCTTGCACTTTACACTAGTTGGTCTGACAAGTTTGGTAGCCAACTCCTCTGAACCAGACTCCAACAATGACAACCGAGCCAATCTCTGCAGTTTCTCCTCATCACCTTGCATCTCTTGTATGTGATCCAGAATGAGACCAGCAGCCTGCCTTGATCTACCGCAACAAAATCTCAGCAGGTATTCCATCGCAAGAACATTGCCTTCTCCAATCTGCTTCAACTGATGACGGAAATTGTTTTCGTCATCTTGTAGCAATTTCACCAGGTGACATGCTGCAAAGTATTCTTGGATGGACTTGTGGGGGAAAGTGACCAACGTTTTTACATCCAGACCACTAGTGAACGTTTCACATTGAACGAAACCCACACGACAACCCTCAGCTAAGGAAGACTGACAATTCTGAAATTCAGTTTCATTGAACATGAGTCTTTCCCCGCTAGAGTCTAGTAACCCTTGCAATGCAACACGCCCCAAGTCATCAATGATGGACATCATGATGGACATCATGTGCTGATCACCCATTTCTTCATTGCGGCGAATGAAAAGAACCTCTGCAAACTTTGCAAACAGTTCAGTAATTCTCTCAGGCAATGACTTTTGATTCTTCCAAACAAGGCACATCATCTGGGAAATGATTGGAACTTTCGACATTTCCCAGAGATGTTGATTGGTTTTCAGATATGAAACCAATGCCTTTCCCATGTCAGCATCATCAGGAAGGTTTAATCTGATGTACTGATCCCTGTTTTGTGGATTGAAGCCAGTTGTCTCCACCTGGGCAAATTTCGGGTGACGCCTGAGTACTGATTCGACCATGTGTGGTCGGGTGGTGACCAGCACAAACATTTTTGTAAGGACTCTGTTGTGTAAGATATCCTGAACCCTGTACTCGCCCTCCTTAGATTGCAAAACATGAGACGGAATTTCATCTAATCCGTCCAACAGCAAAGCAATGCGTGATTCATGAGCAGCAATAAACCCTTTCACTATGGGTTTTGTCAGTTTGGTGTCTTGAGCTAGAATTTGGTCAAATATGGCATCCAAGACACAACTAGATTGCTGCATTTGCCTCAGCTTTATCCAAAGCACGAGATAGAATCTACCAAATAGGGGTTTTGAACCAAGTGTGATGCAGGAGTTTGCAACTTTCACTAACAGGGTTGATTTACCCGTCCCGGCCCCGCCAACAACAAGAATCTTGATTTCCTTAACTATTTCCTGATTGAACAAATCGTCCAAGGAATTAAGAATGTCATATAGTGCTTCATCCAAGAATAATTTTCCTTCTGGTAATGTCACCAACCTCTCTGATTTTGTTTTGCCTGGAATGTTCTTTTTGAGTTGTAAAGGAATAAAGAATTCCTCAATACCCACTTGACGTGACTGCAGTGTTGGGTGTGCAGGGATAGTCGTTGCAGTTTGCTTGTAGTTGTCGATAATTTGTTGTTGAAAATACGCAAAGGTATACGGCCCCTGGAGTCCGGTGATTTCTAAAACAAATCAAACAAATATAATGAGTAATTTACTAGAGAACAAATGAACATGATTCATTACAATTATTCTTTTGAGCTATAATTCAACAAAGCCGACCAATCTGCTGGTCTTAATTTCCACGTCTTCGCACCACCAATTTTGTTTTCTGCATTCAGGCATTATATCTTTATCCACAGAAGTATTGAAGTAGTTTTATTTTCCCATTTAGTGCAGTAAAATGTACACTTAGAAATTTTGAATTGGATTGATGCATATTCACATTTTCTTTTTTTTTTAGCATTCCTGAGATCACTACATTAATAAACCATGAGTCGCATGAGATTGATGTTACACACAAAGAGCAAGTCCCTTACACTCTTCAAACAAACCTAGCTGTGATGAAATCAACGCCGAAATTTTGGTCACACCATAAACTGGACAATAAAGAGATGAACTGCTGGTGGTACATTTAAAAAAAATTAATACTGTACGCTGTTTTCATGGCCATTTATTGTCAGAAGAAAAGTGTCCCTCAGGGTGTGAATTTATGTTTATCCAACACCCATCAAACCAACCAAACACTTAAACAATTCATTCTCCAATTTTCCCCTGTGGGCAGATATGGATGCATGGAAGACATGAACTTTCCTGTGAACCCCCAAAAAGGGGTACATGCAGAAGAAAACCGAACGGAATATACATGTGACCTATTGTGGATACAAAAAAAACTAGTTTTGCTTATATCTCCCAGGAAATTCCTAGGAGATTCCAAGATGTTAATGTGAGCAGGAGCGCTCGTAATTATTGTGTTGTTAGAGGCTGCACTATGAACAATCTGCTGTCCATCACTGGTGTCTATGTCTATACTTTATTATGTACCCATTTCAACATCCAGAAAACAGTGTTTTGCTTCGGCTTTCAATCATGTACCCAGGCTACTTATGTCATGCCAAAAATGATTGTGGTTCATTCTGATACCTACCTATCAGGTCTTCAACAATGTCCCTTCTGCCGATCTCCATCAGAGCTGTGCATAACACGTCCCTCTGATCCGTGCTAGTGGATTGTTGGCGCCTCCATTTGACCAGCATGTTGAAGATCTGGTTCTCTGTCTGGCCTGGGTCATCCATCACGATGTGCTCGATCTCTGCAGCGCTTAAACCGAGATGTGTAGCCAGCTTCCGCCATTCAGAGCCAAGCCTCTCAGAGATCTTGCGTAGAACGGGCTCAGTGATACCTACAAACAGACACAAATCAATTAACACGTTAAAAAAAACCTCTCATGTTTCTTACTGTGCTCAACAGCTTGTTTATAAGTGAAGTACATTGTAGCTCATACGCTCATGTTCAGTACCACAACTTTGGACACTTATTACATTCTCTTCCTGATTCTATTGATTCTCTCTGACTCGGATCAGAATAAGAATAAAGCTGACTGAGGTTGGCGTAGCGGTACTTTCCTCGCCTTCCACCACCGACCCGGGTTCGAATCCCGCCCGGGCCAATATGTGGATTGGGTTTTGCCTGATTCCGTGGGTTTCCCTAGAATATAATTCTAGGGTTTTCCTCCCATCACTAATCCTTCCACATCTTTTACCAAGGAACCCAACTAGAAATAAGTCAAGAGACTTCCGTGGGTTATCCCGGTCAATTGCCGAATAATTACAGACAGACTCACAGTGATAAGTTGGTGCACAGTGTTTCTTCTTTTGTAGACATGAACGTCAACAAGTAATACAAAACGTAATACAATCCAGCCTTTGGCCACTCATAAAACGTTTCATCATCTGGCAAAACGGAACGTTAAAAACTACAATATAATAAAAAAAATAAAACACGGTATGAGGGTTGATAGTCGATATTAGCTCCCTGAGGTATTGAAAGTTGACAGACTAGCTCCAGAGGCGAACCGAACTAAACTATGTTTTATTTGTTTTACTATATCTCATACATATTCACAACAATTTCATAAAGTTACGTATACATTTTTTCGGTAAAATGTTGTGCCCGATTTTTTCAGTCTACCCCTGTAAGCTAGTTCCACGATTGCTTCGTAAAGCGCATGAATAGTAGACTAGTGCACTGGCAACCTGTGCGATTGTCTACCACACATGTGCATTTAACCTGTGCGTGAAACCTCGCATATGCGCTTGGTAAACAGCAAAACTAGCAGCCACGGAAAGGTACATGGAACAGTGAGAACCCGGCTCTCGATCATGAATATGTATGAGGTATAGTAATAGGCTTTATAACTTACCAGGAACTTGGGGGTGCTCATCATCCAAGTTTGTTTCTGAAAGAAAATAATATGAAATGTATAGATCTGCATTTGCCTTCACAGTAAAAATAACAATGCACTGTGAAAAGAGGCATACAAATCAGAAGAACGCAAAATATGGCTCAATAGGTCAGTTAACAGAGCACTACAACGGTGATTCAGAGGTTGTCTGTTCAAATCTCACTCTAGTAAATTTCTTGACTAATCTGCTTAAAAATGCAAAGACAAAGAGATGCGACTTTTCTCGTCACTGTTGCTCGGCAACAAGCTGTCAAAAAAGAAATTCTGATTCTGATTGATTCCTCTGTCTCAGATCAAACTTAGAAATATGCTGACTCACGGGGATGGGTAGCAGGAATGTCTTCAACTGCTGGTGAAGATGCCTCTTCTAAAATTATGAAGAAAAAAAGTAAAACAGATTAGTCTCCAATCCAGCCACTGTCAACTTTGGAAACCAGTTACAGTCTTTATTTTGCAAATTATTTTAGTTGATTGAAAGAACTGATGGAATTGAAATAAAACAGCATGGCTGATCATCAAAATAAATAGTACTAATTGTATTTCTAAAAAAAGAAAGAAAAACTATATAGACCATTTGCAAGGTGCGCCATGACAGCGGGCAGGTTTTATTTAAATTTAGTTACAACTAGTGCAGTGCCCGTCTAAAATGTGTACGTTCGGGAAGCGCAAATTGCTTTGCCGGAAGTTGTTTGGGCGAGTGGTTCTCGAAATAGCTGCAAAAATTAGTGCAGATATTCACCCTTACTGGATAATGGTATCACTCTGCAGTAAGGTTGCTCAGTCGACCATCTACAATGGTCGCTCAGTCGACTGCAAAAATAATGTGCCCGTGCAGCCACCACATACGTGTACAAAATTATGGAAACATATGGTATGCAATGCTGTTCACCCATACTGGACAATGGTATCGCCCTACAATGCACGTGTGCGTGCCCGTCCTTTTTCCAATGTTGTGTCATATTGAGCACACGCGCTTTAGCTTTACATGACGTAAACAATTGAAAAGAACGGCAGTGCGCGGTGTTATGTTCTAAGCTATATACTGCCACGTTAGGCCTCAGAAAATATTGCTTTTTTGCAGCTTTTTCGAGAACCGCTCGTCCAAACCACTTCAAACTTGGCACTGCACATTCTGTTGTCCCGAGCAATACACCCGCCGATTTTCAACTTCATACGGTGCCCGGTTCTGGAGATAATCGAAGGACAGACAGACAGACACACACACACACACACAGATTCCTGGAATTATAGTAGAGATACAAGCACAATATACCTGATCAAGTGAATCCATTGATCTCCATCAGTAAGACTGGATAGGACACACGTACACTTACGTGCAGAGAAGATTCGGAAAACGTGGACACAGACAGCTGGGTTGTACAGTGCGGGTTTAATGTTTGCGACTGCGCTTGCGTGACGTGGGTGTGCTGCATGGTCTGTGTGTGGGACGAATGCATTTCAAACTTTCAAACCCTCACCGTTGACTACGCATGCGTGCACAAGATGGAGGGCGCTGTGTCCTATCCAGTCTTACTAATGGAGATCAATGAGTGTATCACACAGAAACACAGCCTTGCCTACTGTCATGACGCACCATGCAAAGGGTCTGTTAGGCTTTATAACTTACCTGCAACTTGGGGCTTCCCATCGTCCACATTTGTTTCTGAAAATGAAATAATAAAGGTACTTGCATTACGGTCTTTCCTCGCTAAATGTTACATTGGGACATCGAGCATGATTTCAATTTTGTTTAATCGATGAAGATCCTAGTTCTAACAAATGAGAATAGTATTAAGGCCCTGTAAACCCAAGTCCATCTTTTGCTCAACTGTTCAATCGTCTGAAGAACTTGACATGAGGAAATACTGAAATCTTTTTTGACATAACGTTTGTTACACAGGTAGACTTTGATTATCATTTTTGTTTAAATGGAAGTCCAAGAATCATTCCGTTACCAACTGACGCATGCGCATTATGGTCACTGACTCAAAACCTGGTTGCAGAAAAGTACCAGAAGCTGCGGGCAGGGTGAGGGAAGTTGCTTTGAGAATTAGCTGGTGCAAAACTCTTGCCATTAATGGGGGCTACCTGTTGCGCTAGGAATGATACATGTACATGTAAACGATGCAGTGTTTGCTCCGATTCCAATTAAATGAGTGAGTGAGACACCTTGGAATGATATACAATGCGATGGTTGCTCCGATTCCAATTAAATGAGTAAGTGAGACACCTCGGAATGATATACAATGCGATGGTTGCTCCGATTCAAAGTGAGTGAGATACTCGCTGATCATCAATTATTCATTGATGATATTTGTCCCAAAAAAAATACACAATATAAATGTATATAAGGACCTATAACTTTAAGTTATAGATCCTTAAAGTTATAGATCCTTATATACATTTACATTGTGTAGTGTTTTTACCCAGAACTTGGGCGTGCATATATGAGGTATAGTAATAAGCTTTATTTACTTACCTGGAACTTGGGGGTGCTCATCATCCAAGTTTGTTTCTGAAAAGAAATTTGTATTAAAAGTAACAACATTTGTTTATACACTGTAAATAGCACTGAAAAGAGGCATTTACAAATTAAGAGAGCGCAAACATACATGGCTCAATAGGTCAGTTAATAGAGCACTACAACGGTGATTCAGAGGTTGTCCGTTCAAATCTCACTCTAGTCAATTTTCTTTACTAATCTGCTTAAAAAAATCAACGACAAAGATATTCAGTCTGATTCGTATCAATTCTTTTGTCTCATGTCAAACATTAACTCGCAATATGCTGACTCAATGGGATGTGTAGCGGGATTGTCTTCAACTGCTGTTGAAGATGTCTCTTCCAAAATTATGGTGGACCAAAATCGCAAATTCAGCCCCTGTCTGCTTTGATATTGTTTTTTTTTATCGGTAAGCTGTATCTTACCTCGAAGCGAGACAGCACCATCATGATCTCGCAACGACCATCAACCAAAAAAGACAGCTCTCCTCCCCCCCCCCCCCCCAGTGCAACTTTTTTTTCAGTATCATTTGTCAAAATTGCATAATTTCGTCCACATTATCACTCTTTTGGGCCAAATAAAGAGAATGGCTGGATTGCTAAGGAAGTTGTTATTTGAGAGTGAGGTCCGGTGCTCGGTAGTTTTTGAGTTAGACAAAAAAGTATTGGGGGGGGGGGGGACTTTCTTTTTTTAGTTGAATGTGTAAGGATGTGCAGGTACCGAAATTCGCATGTTCCCAAATAATTCACCAAGTGCGGTAAGTGACAGCGAGACCAAGCGGTGACACGCCATTCCCCATCGTGCTGTCTCCCTTGCCGCTGGCCTGTGCACCGCTTGCTTTTAACAGGTAAAAATTCCCCTTTTTTATCGAATCATCATTCATGAAGCTGTAGTATTTCAATGTATTGGGGACTCTGGCACAATATAATGAGGTATAGGGGTAGAGAATTTTAATGAAACTTAGTGTAAATTAGGATTTTTGCCCCGTTTTCCGTTGCTAACGAAATTTGATGGAGGCCCTCTTGCGTTCATATTGAGAAAGTGTACATGACATGTCGCCCTGAATCGCTGTGTTTTCATCATAATTTCTGGTCAAAGCTTGTCAAATTGTTGTTCAATTGATTATTTTGAGTGTGTAAAATTAAATTACATGTGTGTAAGTGCCTTCACTGATTTATAGACATAACATTTCTAGGTCAGGTTATTGTATTAAGTTGATAAATTCACAGATTTTGAGTGACACAAATCCCAGAATTTTGATGAATTGGATTTAATCTCTGAAATAATCATTGTATTTAGAGAGAAATCCCTTGCTACAGTAGGTAATTGATCCACAGTCCTTACTTTTACTGTATAGCATAATTTATGACTGTTTAATGACAGACTGAATTAATTCCCTGTCATCACTGTCAATTTAGAAATTCTGGTTTTTACAATGAAATGTATGTGTTTCTTGGAGAGATTTACAGTTAAGTTGGGTATTGTGCTCTCACACCTCGACAACTCTTTCTCATAAATTAAATGCTGTCTTAGATATTTATAATTTATGTACAATAGGGTCTCCCTCAGGATTGATGTTACATTTTACTTTAGTTTTCTTTTATTTTTCTCCCTTTTCTGTCATTGTTTGTAAGTGTTTAATTGATTCCCCATCATGCTGTCTCCCTTGCCGCTGGCCTGCGCACCGTTAGCTTTTAACAGAATTAAATCCTTGGAGTGACTCGAACCCACGTGTTGGTGTGTCTATTACATTTATTCACACTCATCACTCCCCTGAGCTGGCCTCCACAAGTGTATGACAGACAAATGACAGAATACATTGTCAAAAAATGCTGTACAACTCACCTGGAACTTGGGGAGGCTCATCATCCGATTTTCTTCCTGAAATAAAATAATATGAACTTTACATGCATTTGCCTTTACAGAAATAACACAGCACGGTGGAAAAAAATTGGGAGAGGGCAAATATAGGGCTTAATAATTCAGTCAATAGAGCACTGGAACGGTGTTTCTGAGGTCGCATGTCCAAAATCTTTCATAGCTAATGAAGCTGGATGCTGAAAAAGTACTGCTGGCAGGGCAGTTGCTTTGTGAAATAACTGGTATGATTCTCTGGCCATTGAAGGGTGCCCTTTGAGTTATATCGTGATTGGAATGATATATTTGGTGAACTGAGTCAGATACCTTGCATTTATTCTCCACCTGGGAGTAAATTGGACTGTGTGATGATATAGCTGGGTACTGTGAGGGAGTTCATGAAGTTCAAGGTTTTGTTTGAGCATTGACAAAGGCCAACAAAAAGAATAGTTCTGCTTCCGGTTACCCGACCGACCCTATTTTTAGGCTGCGACCCTAAATTTTTTATCGGCAATTCAAAAAAAAAAAAAAAAAAAAAAAAGGTAAATAAAAATAAAATCTGTCTTTTCTGTCTTCACAAAATACCTCTCAACAACCCTTTTGCATCCAAAAATGATTGTATTTATTTGTTTTCTTACTTACATTCGCTTTTTTTCAAAAGAAACCTCCATTATTACAAATTCGCTTCGCGATATAACCTACTTCGCAATTCGATGTCACGCATGGTGACTATAAAGTTCCCGCCGCGCCGCGCAGGGGCCAATTTAGAAGACATAATGAAAATGCGGTAACCAGTCCATAGCTAGCTATGCGACCGATAGCACGCTATCAGTACAGTGCAGGCCACTGTCAACTGGTCGGATTCGACATCGTAAAAATGCCAAGAAAACACCGATGGAGAAAGAACATTTTTGCAAGTTAATTTACAGAATTGATCTAGCTTGTCTGTGTATGTATTTTCTGTGTTCAAGAGTTTATTTTGAGATCGCACTACTCGTATTTGGAGTGATACATGCCGCGTGTTTCCCGAAATTGTTGACCGTAAAAACAGGTCTGTCGGCCCATGGTGGGCCGCTCGCCACAAACGCACGCATCACACACCTCGGAGTTTTGGCCAGCTCCCTGCGTCTTGACTAGCGTTGTGCATATGGTGCGAACAGCCTGAATTTTCCATTATTTTTTGGAAGTATCGAACGTAAAGTATTGACAATAATTAAAGGTAGGTTTTACTCACTTTTTGTTGCCATTTCGTGTATAGCTTTCGTAGTGCAATAGAAATAGTTCAGGCTAAAACTTCGCATATAATTGAATACCCCATTCAATCTGCATAAAAAAAAACTGGCCAAAAAAAAAAAATTTCCGACCGACCGACCTCATTTTTGAAAGGCATGTAATCGGAAGCAGAACTATTTTTTTTTTTGGCGTAAGTAATACCTATAAAGCATTAGATTTTGTTTTCAAATCGCACTGTAATGCTGGTGGTTGTCCATCTTTAACTAACCTCTTCGAGCGAATCTACTCCGAAGATTTCCCATTGTTGGTCAGACTGGTCTCAGGTTCCAACATCAGCAAACTATTTCCTGCAGATAGATATAAACAAAAACAAAAACCCACCATGAGCGATAACGATCAATGCAGAGGTGATGACAATAGCAACATGGAATGTGTGTGTCCTGATACATGTACATGCAGAAATTGTTTGTGAGTAATCCGTTTATTCAACAGCAACATTAGTACAGTGTTGTAGTCGACAACTTTTTTCCGAGTATCGGTTGCCGAGTACGAGTATGAGTACTTGTACTTCCGAGTACGAGTACTTGTATTTCCAAATACAGCCATACGGAAAATGGTTCATTGTGCGTAATTGTGCCCAGGCCCAGTCAGACCGATGTACAGATCCACTCACGGCTAGCTGTTAAATGTGTTTGTCCGGACGCGCGGAGAGGAAAATCAGGAAACTTTTATTTCTGCGCAAGCCAATCAACCATATCAAACTGAAAGTATCAATAAAATTTGGCTGTGGTACGTCAAGCTATACCATTTTTTCCCCCGAATACTGGTATTCGAGTACGAATATTTTAATGATCGAGTACAAGTTTGACATGTCGAGTACGAGTACTTTGCTGCCCGAGTACGAGTACTTTGACATTCCAGTACGAGTACGAGAACTAAAAAAAAGTACTCGAGTATGAGTACCGAGTATGAGTACTACAACACTGCATTGGTTTGTTTTAACATAAAGCCATTATGTCTCCGCCATTTTGTATCCATTAGGGACAGTGATGGAACTGCTGCACATCCATGACCTATTGTTATACTTTCATTTAATTATAGCACTTCCATGCTATGGTACCTATTCAAATGAAATGATAGATAAGCAATATTGCCTAATGCCTGTACTATTTTGGGGTTTTTTTTTACAAAGAAAACAGATAAACTGTAAACCAAGATACAATAATTTTGCGGATAAGCACTGGTATGGCTAAGGAGATGCCTGCCTTGGATTGGCAAGAATTGGCAAGCCTTGCCAACCTAGTCCGGATCAGTCACAAGGGACAGTTAGCCATTAAGACCTAGTGATAGTCACAATTTAGTGACAGTCACTCAGCTGTCAGCTATCACGACGATACTGGGCGGACCCTTGGGGACTAGGAATAATTTCAACCAACTTAATCATAATGTCAAAATTCGCTTCTTCTTTTTTTTTAAGCATCTTGGAGCTAAAACATGTAAAAGCTTTAAATTTAAATCTTCGATTTATTTTATGGATCATTCAGTTAAAAACGTTTGGAAAAGAAGGACATTTCTTAATTATCAGCCAACAAGAATCTAGGTCAGAATGTGCTTCATGAAGCAGGTATATCAGCCGCGTTATTCGTAAGTAAAATCCATGAAATGACCATTTTATATAAGACGGTTGCACCGGCCGATATAAGACTGCAGCTGACAATGCAACGATGGAGATCACAAGTCCGTTACTGTTTGGATACAATAACAGAATAGTTGATGTGTGAAAAAGTGATACAAGACTTTGGCAACGTTCTTCGTTCTAGTGCAGCGTTTCTCAAAACATTCATTACAGCAATGTGTGGAGGGAGGGGCATGCCCCGCCCATGTTTTCCCTCTCCTCATTTACCCCCACGCTCCGCATCAGAGTCCCTCGATACTCATTATTTGCTGATAGTAAATTTATGATAAGAAACTGTCTGGAAGGGACCCTCATCGTGCCCCGCCCATGTTTTTCCCTCTCCTCATTTACCCCCATGCTCCGTATCAGAGCCTCAATGTCCATACTCATTATTTGCTGATGGAACGTTTAATAAGAACCTGTCTGGAAGGGACCCTAATCGTGCCAATATATGTATGAACTTTGGACAGCCACACCCACCTCCCAAATCCCGAGTGTCGAAGAATTCAACCCCACCCCTACCCCACTTCTATCCTTTGACTTTGAGGACACAAATACCGTCAAATGCACGTAGTGATGAGCAAATATCCAATCTTGTCATACCATCAATGAGTGCCTGCAGTAGGTGTCCACGTATCCACCCACATTCAACATCATATCAATAAATATCACACTTAATATGGACCAGCCAGACAAAAAGTAAACAAACAAAACACTTCAAACCATTGACACTTTGACACTCTTCAAATATTACAGGCCGAATAAAGAAAAATGCATCCCAAATGGCAGGACCAATTTTTGAATGAGTTTTTTCCTGTTGCACTTTCAAAATCAAGGATTGTGTAATGAAAATAGCCCTTCCTCATTACCTTCCTCCCCACCTTCTATTTTTGGTTTAGCCTGCCCCTCTCATCCATCACACCCCCTGAGCTGAGTGTGTATCAGTCCAGCCAGGCATGCAGCATTTGCATAATTCTATTGTGAGCCCCATGTGCATGGAATTTGAAATAGCCATGTGTGCTTCAGTCTGCTGGGTGCTGTGCTATGTGGAGGGCAGTGCAGGTTTTGCCTGGGCGTGGCAAGGGAAAGCTTTGCACGTATATATGTTTGTGCCTTCCACTTTAGTTTGTCTATTGTGCCCGGGTATCCCACTTGACGCCATCAGCCTTTGTCCCTTAATAAGGCTTAAATGCGACATGACATAATCAGTCTTCTCTTACTCTAATTTTTGTTTCAATAGGTCTATTGATTCAAATAATGTAGTAGTCTTTTCGCAAGCAGTGATTTTCGTTGATTATTAAAGATGTTTATTTTGTTTTCCTTAAAAATCTGAGTTTTTAATAAGAATATAGAAAGACCTATGATGGAAGTGAAGCCAATGTCAATGTTCCCTTCCAGGTGATAAATAGGGAGCTACATTTTTTTAAATTCACAATTTAAAAAAAATGTAGCCCAGTTGATTATATGGCGAGTTTTATTGGAAACTTATTTTGAGTATATCTTCTCGGGGTATAACTTTGAGAAAACTCACATAATGGAAATCTTGGACATTTTACGCCATCATAGCACCGGAATATGTTGGTAAAATGTCGCCAACATGCGAAGACTAGTGGATGTCTCACACTGCGCATGTGCAGCAAGTAACCCCCAAGTGACTACACCGGCAATAGGCTATGAACATACGTGTTTGATGTAATGACCAAGTAAGTTGTAGTGCAGGACAACTAAGTTAAATGCCCCCTGGGTTGGGAGTAGAGGGATGGTGCTTTAAAGGTACCACACTCACTGTGACCATCACCGAGCCCCGCCCTTTGTCATTTCTCATAATTAACTGTTTTCCTTGCATTTATTTCTACAACAAATTCCTTTAATCCGTACTTTAATTAAAGAACTTATTTCATAGCCCTAATTTGCCCCTACATTTAAAAGTAATTAGTAATAAGAAGTAGAAATAAGTAGACGGATCCGATTTTTCTAAATGAATTAATTTACTTGAAGCCTAAACATCTTCTCTCTCTACCAAGTTATTTGTTTGTCTCGCTGCGGCACCTGACCACACTACAATATGAAAGCCCAGTCATTAAGCTTTCATTTAGTACAAGAATAATTCAAATCACTCATGTTACTTTTCAAGTTACAGCATTTTGAACACAAACATACTTTTAAAGTTCTGTCCACGGATCACAAAAAATTAAATGTTCTTTCTGCAAAACTTAAACAATTCTCATAGGGATGCAAGTGAATTTTTTCGTTTTGCAGAAAGAGCATGCATCTTTTTGTGATCCGTGGACAGAACTTTAAAGCAGAGTTTGTGTTCAAAATGCCGTAACTTGCAAATTACATAAGTGATTTGAATGATTCCTGTCTTAAAAGAAAGGTCATTGATTGGGCTTTTATGTCCTAGCAAAACTTCGTTCAAAAATTGGTCCTGCCATTTGTGATGTTTTTTTTTTACTCAGGCTGCAGTCCACTGGTTATGTGACAAACTATTGATGGATTGTGCACTTTTTGTAAAAGCGTGAAACGTTGCACAGATTCAGGAGATAATTTGTTCAAGGGGCGTGGCAGCCATTTTAAAGATGGGGGGCCTCATTATGCCTACCCTGAAAAATATTGTGCCCATCTTTCATAAAAGCACAAAACTGCACAAAGACATATTTACTGATGAGAATTTTTTTCTTCCAGATGTGGAGCCACCACAAACTCACCCTTTTAGAGGCGTGGCAGCCATTTAAATGAAATGGGAGGGGGGGGGTTAATTGGGCCAAACAAAAAAAATGGTGTGTTTACGGTAACGGCCTGAAAAAAATCCAGGTAGGTAGGTAGGGAAATAATTTTATTTTGTATTTTTTTTTTCATTTCAGTTCTGCATACCCATGCGTGTTCTTTTGCAAAAAAATGTATAAAACCACTATTCAAGCATTGAAGATATTCAATTGATACATTTCAATCCAAATTAATTTGTATCGTCAGCCAGGGTTCTCCCCAGGATTTTTTCAAACATGTGGGGATGATTTGCTGTGATTCAACAACCCGAAAATGTTTGAACTTTAGAAGCTCTCTGGTGCATTTTAGAGCAAATCTGGGGGTCTTTATCTTAAGATTTGTCCTTGAAATTCAGAGGAGATCTTGTAGGTCACTAATATTTTGGTAATTAAAAGAAAAAAAATCAAAATTGTTAACTTAAAAAAAATTAACATTTCACAACCTGTGTTTCATTGCTTCCTAACTAGAAAAGTATGAATTACATTTACATGTAAGTTTCAAATTAAGAAATTAAGGTGGAGAAAAAAACAACTTTTGCTTCCGATTACATGCCTTTCAAAATAGCGTCAGTAGGTCGGAAAATTATTTTGCCAATTTTCTTGGGGTGCTGATTAATGGAGCATCATTTGTACTAAAGAGCAAGGAATCATGTTTATTTTGTGCCTGGATTATTTTCATTTGCGCCACGAAAGTTATCAAGACTGGCTATCAAAAGTGATTAAAACTTGCCTCACCTAATTAAAAATATATTTGAGGTCGGTGATTCCACTTCATGCTTAACATACATCACGGCCGCTAGCACCGCCAACATTCCGCCTGGCTGGCCGAACATCGCGCCGAACTCACGGCCCACGTGGCCGAAAATCTTGCACTACTGCAGAAACACGCTACGATGTTTCGCCACAAGTTCGAGCTTTGCAATCTCGTCATTTTAATGGAAAACACATCCACAGAAAGTAAAGATCACGTTCTGTGAATTAATTTGCAGAAATTCTCTTTCTCCAGCGATGTTTATTTGGTAATATTTTTACGATCCAACTTCGGCCCACTACATCATCATGCTGTATGCATGATACGAAGTATGGACCGGAGAGAGGCAGTAGTCACTGGTTCCGGTCCTTCATCATAGCATTGATTCCGTTAGCTGGCGAAGGGAACCAGTGTACCATGCTGTATGTTAGCTGGGTGCTGCTGGTACTGGTCGACAGAACACGTCATCGTGTGCATTTTGATCACACATGCATCAGAAAAACAGGATTTTGGTCAAGATTTTGCATGTCAAGATGAAATAATGGCCTATGTAACGATCAAATTGTGCATTTTAATGGCGTGTATAATAATTATATTGTGCGTATCAGGGGCTAAAAAATGTGATCGCCATTTTTTTGTCGGCGTATTGGGCCGGCCGCAATTCCAGCGTATCAGGCCGACACGCAGTACGCACGTTTGTACGTGGGGAGCTAGAACCATCCTGTCCGTCGGCCAGCCAAGCGTACCCCGATGCGTTTGTGCAAAAATAATCGTACTTCGTAGTTTGAGAATTCAAGTTTTGAGGGAGGGGGGGGGGGGGGGGGGGAGAATGCACCCCATACCCTCCTGTCATGCTGCCACCAACAACAGTTCACGACAAGTTGCACTCGCCTCACAGCATATCAAAATCTCTGATGAGTATCTAACCCCAACAAAATCCATACAAATCAGCAAAATTCACACAAAATAATGTTGTGTTAAACTTTAGTACAAGGAGTACAATGTATGTTTCTTTTCCCCAAACTTTGGTAAGCTAATTAGTTATTAGATAATTAGTTATCTTATTGCAGAAACGAGCTACCGGTAGTCTGTTTAACTAACATAAATCCTAGTGCAATTACTAGCAAGGTCAAGAGATGTACGAAACCTGCAAGAGAGATCCTAATGAGTTGCACTTTTGTACACGCGCAAGGTGAGTGTGAACCACAACTTGCACGCATACAAAAGTGCAACTGTTTTCCATATCATTTCTCATAAATTGCATAAATCCGTACACATTATCACTGTTTTGGGCCAAATAAAGAGTATGGCTGGATTGCTAAGGAATTTCTGTACTGATTATCATTATTTGAACAAAAGGTGCTTGGAAGTTTTGGGGTTAGACAAAAAGTATTGGAAGGGGGAACTTTCGTTTTTGGTTGAGTGTTAAAGTTTTGCTGCCTGTACAGATTCCAGCTTTGCTTTTGAGAAGGAACCACCAAAGTCTCTCTGGCAATTATGGAAGTACATGAATGTCTACGGTCACCCTGATGCCAAACTGTCAAGAAGATGTTTCAAATACAAGTTCAGAATCGTGTAACTAATGAACCACGATACTTGAATGTCTCATCGGATAACTTAGCAGTTTAAAACTCTTACCTTTTTTGTGAAAAATGGAGGGCTACACTCTTTAAAGATGCAAAAACTCCCGTCCAAGTACAACTCAATGTTAGCGAGCAGACTTCATAAAATGAAGGCATGCAAAGGCCGGCTGAATGCGACGTCCTCAATCTGATGAAACTCTCGCATGCAAAATCTTATATACGATGGCTTTCGGTATCGAAATGTGCATGTTGAATGTGCACGTGATCTCTTTGTGCCGCACCCACTCGATATCCACCAATGAAACTGATGGATTTGTAAAGTTATCACCAGCCAGTTGCGTGATACCCAGGGGCCCAGGTCTCCAATGCTGAGCATTCACTCACTCCCTGGACGTTGCATCCTGCAGGGATGGTACACAGTTCAGTCACCCGACTCCAGGAAACCTGAAATCGAATGGCACGTACGCTCACTAAGCTTCCAGGGACGGTACCGGTCCTACCCCTGATCAGCAGTAATGTGTGACACCAGGAACCTAAAATGGGGCGGCAACGAAAGCTCACTGCCAGGGATGGTACATGTACATTGTTTATCAGTAACGTGTGACACCAGGAACCCTCTTGCACATTAAACTCGATGAAACGTTCAGTTCCAGATGCTGGTTTTATCTTAAAAGTTGCATACCAAAATGTCATAGATACCAGTGATAAATACCCCAAATTCCAAAAATCAGGAAAAATACTCACAACTCTACAAGGTGTAGAGAAAAACTTAAAGCTAATCTTAAAAAAAAAAATATTAAGAAAGCCTGTTGTTTCCGTCTTAACAACATCTACACTCTGCAATTGGGAGTCATGTTGGTAACATGAAGATTGACATCACCAAGTGTTCATGCCATGCATATAACTCACAAGAAGAAGTTTCTTCAATACACTCATTAATGAGAGGGGAACCTCTTAAGACTGTCAACAGCCACACATTATCTGGGGCTTGAAATAACAATACATTTGGGGGGCTGTGTATGGACTTTAACTAGACTGCACCATTTCCTTGAATGTAAACTGATATTCTAAAGGTTAGTTGGGTCAAGGAAAGTCAATCTGAGTAAACATGTTATTTCCCATGTATAGGGATTTCCCTGTACATATTTCCTGTCACAGGCTGGTACTGAAACTGAAAACCAGGCTACGTAATGTCGCGCACTGATCCGACAAATTATAGCAACCCCGCGTGCGTGTGCGTCGTGCCAATGCTTGCGTGTGCTTCGCCGAATAACAAAACGAAGTACTAATTTAAATTTCCTACGGTGCGTCTTAAGAAGCACCATTGGAAACGCCTTCTTTCGTGGATTATTTCAAAGTGACAGCTTGCCAGAAAGAATAATATCACAGGGAGTTTAGTCACCTTAGTATCTTTTAACCAAGTATGTTTTTCAACAATAATTACGCCAATTACTTTTCGGATAGCTGCAAATGATAGACTTTTTGAACACGTCCCTTTCAGAGAAACTCATCATTTGCCAACCATGAACTCAGAAAACAACTAAAGGTGTCCATTAATTCAGCCTGTAAACCGCATCAGTTGAAAACAGTGTGCCAGACTTCCCGTAACAGCCTAGCATAGTGTCAATTGTAAGGAAATGGGGGTTGTCCAGAAATCTTATCTCATCCGGCAAATGTATTCCTTTCGTTTTAACATTCCCTGAAAATGTTAAGAAATCCAGATGTTTATTGACCCCGACCAAAAAGCAGGGCGGCATGACATTAAAAAAAGTGGGTTTTTTGCGCCAATAAACGGCTCAGATAAATTCACTTTTTTTTTCGCATTTGAACAGCTCACCCAAGTGCTACATCACGAGATTTAAACAATTTCAGAATTTTGCTTTTTGCGGGATGGGGTCACATTTTATAAAAAGTAGGGGGGGGGGGGTTAAATGGTGTTAACAGAAAATCTATCAGTCACAGGTAATCTTGGTGTGTTTTTTCCCATCCAGTATATAGTGGATGGGTGTGGACAGAATGTGAACATGTATGTCATTTCATTAACTTTTTGTTCGCTTTGGGGGTGTGTCACAACTTTTTCCTAAAAACAAAAATTTGGATTAAGACAGTATTACCGTAGCTCATTATTGTTTCCACGAAATCTTAGCTGGTACCGGTACATCATCGTGTTTAGGAGTAAAAACTAAGATTTCCAGAAGTGTCTACAGGAAAATAGTGATTTCATATAAAAAGCCAAATTGATGTTGTTGTTCGGTCTGAAATCAGTGAAATAATAGTTTATATTACTATACATTTGTAAATGTATCTCAAATTGTTCATTTGACAACTGATATTGACATTCAAAATTGATTGTTACATCAAAGTTACTTATTTTCCTGGGGTGTTTTTTTGTTTTTGTTCCTTTCCTCAAATTTTTTTATTTTTCTTAATCCGCCCCAAATATTCCCTTTTTCATGTACCTGATTCGCTTCAAAGAATAGACATTCTGGCTCTTTTTTCTAATTTTAGTGAAACAAATTGATTTTAAAAGGACAAAATTGTAAATATTTATCATTCCCCAATTTTATAAATAAAAGGTCTTCCTCCTGCATAAAATCGCAAATATGATTTCAAATTTTGCCTTGTCATATACTGCTCAGACCGCCAAGGCCAAATTCAGCCAAAAGTTGATATGAGTTTTGATTAATGTTGTACACTATGTACATGTATCTTTTAATCTCTTCTTTTTCACCCTAAATTATGAAAGGTCTCCACGCCCCTAAAGAAACAATTTGTCCAAACTTGTGTTTCAATTACCGGTAATTCTAAATTCAAATTTTTCATCTGCTGCAAAAAGTCTTGATTTGTGAGTCTCCTTTTAGGTTTATTTTGCCACCTTTTCCAAATGGACGCCCCGCCCACAAAAGGTCAGGGAAAATGGGTATGCAACTGTGCATTCTTCATTTTGGCTCAAAAACGATACCCAAGAAACACTCAATTTCTAGGGTGGGAAAAAATGACATCAAATGGATTTGGGTTTTATATTGAGTCATTAATAATCCCTGAAATGTTGAAAGAATGTTTTCAATTCACTGAAAGTTAAAGGCATATTTGCGAAGATAGGTTTTGTAATTATTAAAAAGAGTGTTTCATGACTTCCAAATTTATGCAAGGTGCAAGTTCGATCAAAGACCATAGATTAACAAACTCTGATCGAATGCACGCTAGTCACCGATGGTTGGACAAGTCTAACTATTCAGGACCAGCCTACTGCGGCTGGTCGTGCAACGATTTATAGCAGGTTATCAACATCAATTTTGTATAGCATTGTGCAACTGTCAACAAAAATGACAGAAACGAAAACGACGAGTGCTTATAGTTTCATTTTCATTGCACAGTTTCTCCATTTCAGTTTACAATTCTATCACTTTTGTCACCATTGTACAATAAGAATGGCGCTTATGTAATTTGTGAAGTGTCTTCAACTACACAATCACTGTATTTATAAACAGAAACGTCAAGTGTTGAAAAATTGTGCGACGGCCATTTTCTCATGGTCGTTGACATGACTTTAGTTGGACTAGACTCGTCAGCACTTTTATCTTCAGTGTGCATGCGCTAGGTACCGGTACGTCACGAACCAACCACTAGTTAAAGGGGCACTAGGTCCTGAAATCCCCCTTTCATCTGGTTGAAAGGAAACCAACCTAATGTCTTACCGTTCCCGAGAAAAGAAAAGAAAAAACCCGCTTGTTTACATTGGACATGACGGAGTACGAATACGTTTTTCGTGTCGTTCTCATGTACGCTATACATGTTGTGTGTCTCGGGAACAGCGCGCGGTGACCAATCACCAATGCAAAAAAAATGTGGTTTCTTCAACATCCGCAAAAGGCGAACACTTTATGCGTACGAATGAAATCACAACTAGCATCCAAACAGCTCGAATTTATGGGGTCCCCGAAATTCGTTCTCGCACGCATAATACAGGAACAAAAACGCCCAGTTTTGAAAGGATAGTTGTGTGGATGTTTATATCATACTTTTAAAAGTTATTTCCGATTATCATCATCTCGTTCAAAGCGCGTTTTGTAGCCCAATTGGGCTGTTCCAGGACCCAGTCAAGGGCGGATAAAAAAAAATAAAAATTGGTTTCGTTTTTTTTGGGGGGGGGGGGGGCCCCCCCCCCCCCCCCCCCCCCCCCCCCGATCTGCCCTTGGACCCAGTGTCCCTTTAACCATTGGTCCTTGATCCAACTTGCCCAAGGATGGCTACAAATGCATGTGCAACTTCATCTGCAGCATTCAGATATAAAAAGTGTGAAAGTATTAACTTACCAGTCCTGGTTGCCATGGCAACAGTGAGTGATGACGTGGTCTGCTGACTTTGGCTGTGGAATCATCTTCTTGTACTATCTCTGGTAGTGGCAGACGTAACTCGTAGTGTCTGTGACTAGAAGAGTCAAATTCCTATACAAAAAAGTACATTTTAAAAAACAAAACCTACAGGCCTAGAGATGTTGTTCAATGGTGTACAGGCAGATTGGCCACATAAAGAGGTCTAGTTGTCATGCCTATCCAAGCAGTACATTTGCATTGTCCTCTAAGATGGCCGCTCAACATGAAGTCAATTGAAGTAGTGGCTTGGCTGTACAGTACTGGATTATTCAGTACGGCAAAACCAGACATGGGATCTTAGTCAATTCTTGGTGTAACACCTTAACCTTATGAGCAGTTCCAGTACTTTGGCTAACACCCTGCTCAACTGCTCAATTAAACAACACACAACAGGTGCTTGTCAATGTGCCACGCCTGCTACATGTCAGTCTAACCAAATCAATCCAACGGCCTGAGAGTCTGAGCTTGCTAGTCACCACAGTATGCATTATTGGATGGGACAAACTCCCATTGTCTCAGAATTGGTAGTTGAAACTTGAATGCTGTTCTGTTGCTCTGCTCAATACAGGATGTATCAAAAACAAGGAAACCCAGTTGTAAATGTAAATTATAAAAAATCTAATAAATATTTTGAAATAAGTAAAGATCATGTGAAACGCCAATGTGTCCTCTTTCCAATGATACCTTGATTGTGTGTCTGTGGTGAAGATACAATGCACCCTAGAATAAACAAAGTCAAAGAATAACAGACTGACAGACAAACATACAAAAGAAAGTTAAAAACAAAAATAATTGTCTTGCCTACCAACCTGGATAATTGTTAGGATGTTACCGTAAACACACACATATTTTCAGCCTAAGTGAACCTACCATGATACGGGTCTTGACACACATCCATGGCTTGGCCGGTGTCAATTCTTGCTGTCCTCTTTGGAGGTTTGTGGCCATGAACTTCCTGTATGCATCTTCATCGGTCTCTGCAAGCTCATCCAGCATTGACCAAAAGCACTGTGCCTGCTTCATCAGGTCATGTTGGACGCCTGTCGCCATACTTTACTAAAATTGGAAATGAAAGGAGGACAATTTTGAAAATGGAATCCACGCGATATTCCAAACGGAGCCCTCGCCGATAAACGGTAAATTTCACTTTTCATCCAGATTGTAAGTAAAGCTTAGTATCATGATCTTCAAATCATAAATCTGTAATTGTATCTCAGGTGGCATAAAGTAATTCTGCGGCCGTTTTGAGGGTGAAATCTGATGTTTTTGTTGGAAAATGGTTGGGTTGTTAATTGTTTGAAACACCATGTAAGTACTATCGCCAGATCATGTCCAAATGTTAAAAATAATGCAGGGGCTACTGTTGCGGCAATTGCTATCGTTACAGCATCGTCTGGCTCCCTGACCTAATAGTAAATGTCTTTCGCACAACTGCATGTGCGCACATCACATGACAAGGATTAGGGTCTGTGGATGGACAGTTCGCCACACATGCAAAATCATAGCGGGGTACTAACAAAATCAAAGAAAGTGTTCTTGTTTTGAAGTAGATACAAAATGTTGCTTGTTTAACCGCACCATGGTTTAAGCTGGTTTGTATTGATCATGTGTATGCTCCAACTTTTGTGCAAACAAAAGGGCGATCGTGAAGTGTAGGGCCCGGTTCCTATATAGGCTAAGGCCGGTAAGGGAGCAAAATCCACTTTAAAATTATTGGAACTACCAAACTAGTTGGCAACATTCTCAATAAACAGGTATGTCATAGATAAAGGGCAGGGTTTTGATTTTTTTAGGGAAATTTGGGGGTAAAATGACGATGACAGCGCGGCGACAACACGCGACCTGAAAATAAAGATGGCGATCACCGCGTGATGTACCGTGAGCACGCAGGCCATGCTGAATCACAAGGCACAAACCACGCAGGAAAATCGTGGGGAAAATGTCCATACTCGGACGTCCATTTATCTGCTGCCAAACATATTAATTGTCACCTCACCTTGTCATTTGAACCAAGAGAAATCCAGGAAGCTGTGTTAAGGTGAAAAAAATTTACTCAAAATGTGTTTTTAGAGCACATTTTGGATGCATACGTTGTGCAGAACTAACTTGAAGCAGCCGGTCAAAACTGATTGTAGTGGCTGAAAAGACAGTGGTACGTTATACAGGTGACATCAACAACCATGACGTCGCATGAGCCTGCCAATGATAGTGCAATATGTCATTATGAATATTTATTTTATCATGAATATTTAGTTTATTTCAATGGATACTTCAAATACGTCCAAAGATTGATTATTGCAACAGCGATCGTGCGCAGCCTAGCGGTTAAGAGTCTCGTGTGTCAAGCAAGCGTCAGAGGTTCGAATCCCGATGAAGTAACTGACTGATTAATAAATAGAAATTAAGGAAAGGAGAGGGTGAGAGTAGAGGAGGGAAAGTGGAGGAATAACCATAAAAGATGTAACTTTTGGCGCTAGAAAATTAATTGAAAAAAGTGACGTCCGAGTACGGAATTTTTTCCAAATCGTGATTTCTACCCCGAGAATCTGTTCAAAATTGCAAAACGGGTGTCATTAGAATTGAGAAAAGTCTGCTTTTTGATTGTAAAAGTGTTTTTTGAGCAATAAAAAAACATTTTTGACTCAAATTCGATCAAAACAAAACAGGGGCCCTACACTTCACGATCGCCAACAAAAGTTCCATCTTCTTTTTTACTACCGGTAGTAGGGCCTACTGAATTCATGGAATTTATGGAATTCCATTGTACATGTATGGATATATCTAATTTTGATAGGAACAGGGTCCTTAACATAATGACGGATTACCGAGACTACTGACTAATACTAAAATTAAAAAGGCGATAAGTTGGGCACCAACTTATTCGGGCATGTCAAGCGGAAAGAATGCAGTATTCAGCGTTTGTGTACAAACATGACAAAGTTTATGGAAAGTCAAGAAATTTTTCAAAGTATTTTTTCAACAAATTGGATATGATTCTCAGTCCCAGATTCATGTCTTTTTTAACATTTTTGCAATGACTGACCTTTATTGAGATGATATATGAAGAAAATGTGGCGTCAAGTTGCAACGTCTCTCCAAAAACGTTCCCTTTCTTGCTGAACTTTCATACATATAGAGTTTCACCACTGTGATCTCGATTAGTTTCACCTGCAAATAACGTTTGTTTACGAATCGACCGAGTTGACAGGCGCCCTCTCTAGTTGGACGTGGAAATCTTACTTTCTGAGGGCGCCCTTCTCAATTAACGGTAGGTTACAGTGCAACCACAGACATAACGACACTAGTGCTAAATGCCCATACTTCTAAATTCTTTTTAAAATACTTAGAACTATCACATGTATTTAAGCTGCACAGAGAAATGGCGATCAATATGTCATCTTTTATTTTCTTTTCAATTTTTGGTGGGTTGACCATTGACTTTTCGAGAAATTCTCACCCAAAGAAGACGACTCCTATTTTACCCAAAGCGGAAAAAGTAGCCATAGAAAAACGATCCCTCAACAACGTAAAATAAAAATCGCGCCACTTTCGAGCTCAATTGCATCCAAAATGCTCAGAATTGGAAGTCCCAAGTCGTCTGGGCCAGAGGTTCATTGCCATATTGTTCTTTTCCAATTCCCCAATTGTATGGTTTCAGAACTCTCTAATAGGGAATATTTTGAGGGTATAACTTTTATTCATGAGCTCGGCGGGTAAGTTTAGGCCTATTCACAGGTGTGCACCCTCACACGTCAATTTAATTCAATATATTACATTAATTCTTTAACGGTTCCCGTCAATTTTCAATAAAACAGAATTTTGACTGTTTTTAACCGAAATTTTCCGGCCAAATTTTCTTTTCAAAGGCACGTCTGTTCCCAAATCAAATTGGAATGTGTCCAGGGTACCTGGATCTTGCATCTTTCCTACAAGTTTCAAGGAATTTCATTTTTTGGCCAAAATTGAAAAAAAAACCAAGGGGTTAGCCTTACATTTTTAACCAAGTTTGGCCAAAAACTAACTTTTCTCCAAACAACGCTGAAATACCTCTGGAGACAAGTGGAGCGTAAATCAGTACTCAAACACCCACATTTTGGCAGATCTAGGCAAATATCATCCATTTTGGGGGAGGAAATACATTTAAATAAAACAGAATTTCGACTGTTTTAACCCAAATTTTCGGCCACATTTTCTTTTCAAAGGCTCGTCTTTTTCCGAATCACAATGGAATGTGTCCAGGGTTACATATACCTTAGGCACCTTTCCTGCATGTTTTAAGGAATTTTATTATTTGGCCAAAATTGAAAAAATAAACAAGGGGTTAGGCCAAAAAAAAAGTCTCCGGTTTCTGGTATGGAGCTTGCCCAAAAAGTGGTGCGGCGACGCGGCTTTTTTTTTTTTTACCCGACTTTTTTGCTTCAAATGTCGGCTGATGACTGCAAATGGTGCCCGACTAAACTTAGTGCAAATATATGGGAGTCCAGAGAGGCCAAATAAAGCTTATTCTCGATCATAACCCCATCTAAAAACACGTTAAAATTGTGCAGCAGCAGGATTCCGGTCAAGCCAGTGAGTTTGGCGGTTTTGAGACATCATCTTTCATGGAAAAAAAAACCTTTTCATTTTGCCGACGCGCATGGCTACGGCGACACGCGCGCATACCAGAAACCGGAGACTTTTTTTTTTGGCCTTAGCCTTACATTTTTTTAACAAAATTTGGCCAAAAATTCAATTTTCTCCAAACAACGCAGAAATACCTCTGGAGACGAGTGGAGCATGAATCAATATTCAAACAGCCAAATTTTGGCAGATCTAAACTAAAATCATCCATTTTTGGGGAGGACATACATGTAAATAAAACAGAATTTAGATTGTTTTTAACCCACATTTCCGGTCAATTTTTTTTCTTCAAAGGCACGTCTGTTACCAAATCGAATTGGAATGTGTCCAGGGTTACCTCAGGCATCTTTCCTGCAAGATTCAAGGAATTTAACTTTTTGGCAACGCAGAAATACCTCTTGAAACGAGTGGAGCATGAATCAGTATTCAAACACCCGCGTTTACATCTCGAACGGCCAGACGTCGAAAGGCGGTGAGCAGTGTTTGTGTTGAGCGCCCTCTTCTTTAAGAAATTGTTGCATGACGTTTAAATACGGAATGTCCTCCATACTGCAATTGAACTCTGTTTTTCCTTTCCATTTCTTCCATATGCAGCCAATTCTCATGTATTTAGGGGGAAGAGAAGGACCTTTTAAGAGAAGAGAAGGACCTTCTGTCAAATCGTCGGTGTTTTCACGAAGTGAAAAAAAAACACATCAATGTCATGCAAAAAGGTCATTCCGAGATAATCGCCTTTGAAGTTAATCATTTTTTTCAAAACACCCTTTCGACTAGTTTTTGGTTATGGATTTAAGAAATTCTTGCATTGTCAAGTAACGTATGCTTTGTTCTTTGCTAATTCAAAGCTGTTTATTAGGAGTCTCTCTTAATCAAACTGTAATTTATTAATAAAGATCGATACAAGTTTTTTTCACTTCGTGAAAACAGCAAAACACAGAGACCTCACTATTTTGTCCCATTAAGTTTTACACACTCTTTGTCACTTCGTGAAAACATAAAACGTTCTAAGAAATTGTTACATTTGCGCGTCTGACGTCAATGCAGCGCGCGCGCGTCTGTTCTTCATCGACTTCGTTCATAGACTTGACTCAAGTCGGAATTGCTTTAAGTCGGTATCTTAAAAAAAAAGTGGCGAAAATCACTTAGTTTACGCCTTTCCAGATGCCCGACAAGGTACACTCCAGCGTGCGTTCGACCTAAGTGCCGTATAACAATGCGCACACACTGTATGTACATTGTACAACACGCGTATTACACGTATATGTGTGTGCATGTATTGCAGAGCATGTGCATACATGTGGTGCAAAAGTTAGCAAGCACTTGAAAATAACATGCACATGAACGTTTTTAACATAATGGTCCGGATTCGACGCATGGGGGCGCGCGTTATGTACTGTAAGGACGTATGCGATATGCGCTGTGATGTGAGTGGATTTAGGCACAGACCGAGCGCAACCCAGACTTGGCCAAGTCTACTTCGTTCACGGCGTGCGCGTCCATCCCGTCCAATCCCATCCTAAAGGGCCTGTCACATTATATGCGATCTCATAGGAGACATTAGGCGACCAAATATTTCATAAATTTAACAATCGCAGCGAGGACGCAAGAAAATGACAACTTTCTGTCTCAAAGAAGACTACATCGACCGCCTTGCGTCAATGCCACTTCAATGTCGCACGATTCACGCTCGCACAGCGCCCGAGTTGCGTCATTACGGCGTCCTGCCCAGGGCGCAGAGGTGTTGCGATTGTTTTTAGCATGTTCAAAGACGTTGGCGCTCATCGGAGACCATCAAGATCCTCTGGCGCCCATCTGGCGACCTATGTAGTTGTCGCTGCGATGTAGTAGTGTTTTTTTCGCGCCCCAGCTATTTTTCAAGGGCGCAGTGAGAGCGCATATAAGATCGCAGACAGTGTGACAGGGCCTTAACGTGTGTGTAGAGAAATGCTTTGTTCCCCTGCTAACGAGTTACGTTTTTGTCACTTCGTGAAAACAGAAAACACGGATTTTAGGCATTTTGTCAAATGTTTGTTTACGATAATCACAAAAGTAAACAATATTTCGCTTTGAAACTCAGCCAAATTCTTCCTTTTGTCGAATGCAATAAATTGGTAGGCAAAACTCAAAATCGAATTCTACATGTTTCATGCAGAACATCAGGACCTCTTCCAAGTAAGGTGGACATTATTGATGCACTGTTGTCTTTGTTGGCTAGCTACTTCATTAATGACATGTCATATCCAAATGTATCAGACACACTCTAACCTTCTTGCAGTTGGTAAGGGTACATCCTTAAGTCTGTTATGCATTTGAAAGGCAGAATAAAAAGACACACTAGAAGTGTGTCGAGCTTTGCTGACGTAAAATGACCTTGACTCATTTGCGTGTCATTCTGGTGTCCGGTTTACACGTTTTCTTTAGGTTTTTTTTTTTAAATTTACTCGTCGAGTGAGTTTTTATACTAATTACTCATCTGTGTGTCATTTTTAAATTACTCCCCATGTGCGTCCCAAATCTTTGATTCACCTGATGAGTAAATTTCCAGTGAGTATCTCTGCAGATTACTCATTTGGTGTGGCGTGCTGAAGTCAAATCGTTTTACTTGTCAGTATGGGTATTCCAACATAATATCTATTTGGTGCATCATTAGACTCGAGTAACTTTATGCGTTTTAATGAGTATAGCAATTCGGGCGATTCACAATGCAGAGCGCCACCAATAGTTTGCCACGGAGTGTTCATTTTTCCCAGTGCATTGTGGGAGATTTTTCTTTTCTTTGTATTAATATGGTGATTTTTGGTCCAATCTATGACAAGTTAGCTCAAGTGTCTACTGACACTTAGTCAAATGGGCCATATTTTGTCGACCGTAAACTTGAAAAGTTGACTCTCCATGGCAAACTCTTGGTGGCGCACTGCATTGTGAATCGCCCGAATTAATAACGCATTTGTTAAGTGTGTCATCTGTGAGCCAACTTTACTCAGAATTCATGCGTTATGTTACTCCGAATATATACACAGCTAAATCAAATGTTCTCATACATTAAATAAAAATGGCATGGATGCACACAATTAAAAAAAAACAAACCAAGTCAAACACTTGTTGAGTATCGAGGGGCTAAAAAGCCGCTTGTAATGAACAAAACAAAAGTGATCAAAACAATCATGACGGCGAGAGGAAACAGGCTATTATACATTATCAAATAGGTTGCACTTTACGAATATTTAGTTCAAAATTCAATTCAATTTCAACCGTCTCAAAGCACTTGAGCACCTGTGCCTCCAACCTGCCCACTACTGTCACGATTTCTTTAGCAAAGTTTTTGTGCGATTATTAACCGTCTCTGCCTTCACAGGCAGGCCAACCCAATTTACTCCTGGGTGGGAAGTGCTGCTGCGTGAAAAAGTGCCCTGCCCAATTAAAGAAAACGAAAACCCAACAATTTTTCAATTCTTCAGAAACAAAAGAGTGTCCCAATGTTAAGTTTCATTAATAAAAAATAATACACGTGTATTCTCCTATCACCTGTTAGTATCGCAATCAAGATCTGTTACACGGTTCCCTCTGGAGACATGTGCACAATAGGGAACAAAATATTGTATACGTCTCCAAAGAGCAATTTCTATAGGTGAATATGTCTCTACAGTATTATCAAGAAATAGATATAGGGATTTTACTCCAAAACTATATTTCGAAGGTCTGTTGATTGGCCGCAAATTGAAGTATTTTATGTAAGGAATTTTAAGTCCGAATTTTAGCCCAGGAAATTAATTATGGTTAAAAACTTAAAGCATTTTGAAAGTACACTTTCAAACTCGAAAACTTTAGTACACAAGAACAATGAAATGACTCCACAAGGTGGTCTACACGATGTTCCCCAATACCTATGTTCCCCAATACCGATGTTCCCCGAAATCCTTAGGATTAGGGTTAGGGTTAGGGCTTGGGCTAGGGTTAGGGTTATAGGGTAAGGATTTCAGGGAACATCGGTATTGGGGAACATAGGTATTGGGGAACATAGGTATGCTACCCTCCACTAGGACACACATTTCAGTTTGGGTGTATACGTGTGTGTTAGTTGTTGAGTAGAGCGTAAACGCCACTACATCCTTTTTTTCCCCAAAATTGATGAATACGATTTGATTGCAAATATTGTATCAATCTTTTCAACTGAGCAAATTCTAATTTTAGTTATGTTTATAAATACGTCATGGGGTGTAAACATTATCAACATCCGTATACAACACATTAATTAATGATATTAATGGTGTGAACGAAAAACGGTTGGTGTATTATAGAAAGGTTAAAGGTTAAAACATACAGAACAGAAGCGGATCCTGTCACTTTTCAACAATCAAGTTACATGCATATATTCGTCAACTTGACAGTAATTATATAATATTTGAGGCTTTGCATGGTGGAGTATCGGTATCGTTTCGGTTTGCGGCAACACCATGTGGTAATAACTACTGCTTAGAATATATTTAGTTCTGAAAAGAACTTGTCCTGCTTATTATCAACTTTCGCTAAGTAGTTTTTGTTCTGATAAGAACAGTCAAGTTCTTTTAGAACCTAAAGACAGACAAGTTCTTTTAGCACTTAAAGCAGGACTGTTCTTATCAGAACAAAAACTACTTATAAGTAGTTTTTGTTCTGATCGGAAGTTGATAATAAGCTGGACAAGTTCTTTATAGTAATTATAACTAACGTTTTAATCACAATTTCTGTTACGAAACAGCAAATCATTACCCCAATAATGTAAAAGTTATAGAACACCAAAGAGTATTTTAAAGATATAATTATATTTTAAAAGCGCCAACCTTTTCCACTGAGAATACATCTTTGTTAGAATCAGGTAGGCGTATTATCATCAACAAGAGCAATTATGATTGGCCAAGACGTATGGCCTATAAATTGTCTACATAGTGCCCTCTAGTACAAGGTGAGTGAGAAAGGAAGTGACATGGATAAATGATTTTCCCCTTAAAAGGCAGTTAAATTTGACACACCAATGCAATGAAGCATGTGTTAAACGAGCAGTTCATAAACTCATGTAAAAAAATGATCCATGTTATTAGAATGTATGCATGTTTTACTACAAGAGCATTTTTACAGCTGTTAATGCTAAACTCTCCCAAGCTGTTCAGGCAAGTGAGAACCAAAGATTACACACAGGCATTCAAATGCAAATTGAAATTGAAATAACTTGAGTCAAGACTTTAAGTCAGTTTCTTTGTGTATACGAGGAACATATCAAGTTTTATTTTCTGAAATGATGACGCTGATTTGTGTCTGTTTTCCGTTGCAACTTTTCGTTCGTCCATGGTAAGTATCTAAAAGTGTTAATCAATGCGTATCGGTAGATGATTAGTAGTGGACAGCTGTATTTGCTGGTGCATGTGTCTACCAAAAATAGAGATAACTGGTGGTTACAGTGTACACATTTCTCAAAATGTTCAGTTACTATAGTCAGTAACATGTACCTATGTTATTTTTGTTTTATGGAGCGCGCCACACATTGTTTTTACTATTTTTGTTTTCTAACTCACCCGAATGTAAATCCGCCAAATTTACCCTTCTCGCGCCGCGGGCATAATACCTCACACGCAGGGTCGTCGGCGCCGTGCGCGCCAATGCAGACGGAGCAGTCGTCCGAACGTGCTTGAGGCACTGGATCCACTGGAAACCCGTCGGAGGCGCTGTTCAGGGTTAAGGTGAGAAGAGTTGATATGGCAACAAGCACCAGGAGCTTGGGGAGTGATATTTCCGCCATCTTTTCTGTAATAGCCAATGAGAAAAGAACAAAAAGATGAGGCCAAAAAATACCGGATAGGGGGCGTTACAGCTGTAGAATTATAATGGATGTTTAAGTGTATGTATACATTTATAACACCTGACTTCCGGTTTGATGACGTCACAGCATTTGGAAGCCCAAGGACAACTTTGTAACGGATATCATCATTGGTGATACGGACATAGTCTTTAAACACGAATCAAGGGATGGATTTGAACTAAAGAAAAGAACATTGATTATTTTGAAATTCTCCCTTCAATAACTTTCGGTCTGATTACGTCATGATTCTGACAACTTGCAAAGTCATTTTCGGTTTTTTAAACAATATCTGGGGGCAATTGGGTACTATTTTTGACGAATGGTTATTAATATTATTATTTTGTCTTGCTTGCTGTCATTTAGAATAAATCAAGAATTGTATGTGATTTCTAGGGACTGACTTTTGGAATAAAGAGTTCTATTGACGAAATGGCGCTTCGTGATCAATTCAAAAAGTTGCGCATGTTGTCATTTTTTTCTCGAAAAGTGTTATATCCACTGAGCACAACTTCAACAGTCAGATTAGGTTTTGAACATTCGTCTTCAGATTTTGAGTTGTGTTCGAATTATAAACGAACAATGTACGAAAAGGGAATGACTATATGCCTTGAGATGATTATGTACGGTGGCAATGAGGAGACACAAAAAAGTGTTTATTTGTTGCTTTCCAAAGAATATGTATCACCACTAATTAATAAATATTGATTCGCCACTGCACTTCTGGTAACTCCCGAAGTAATGGTCACGAGGTTTTGTGCCCGAAATAAGTTCGTTGGTTCGTTTTATTTAAAACATCTACATAACATTCTTTATTTATACAATGTAATCGGAGTTTTTGTAATTTGCTTCAATTATAAAAGTAAAATTTCTGTTACAAGCAGCTGCTTCATTTAACCATTTGTTCCAGGCTTTGGTTTAGGTACATTATGCCTGTAAAATTAATCCGACTCAAAATTGAGGCCATGAAACGCTTTGCAATGTTTATGTGTTCAAAAGTTAAACACAATGTACATGTACGTATTGAGCTACGTATCCCTCGCCCTTTCTTTAATATTCAGAAAATTTCTTCTTTTTTTGTTTTTAGTGTTTCCAGATAATTACCTTATAATTACCATGCTTTTCGTTTCCGTCTTATTCGTTTATGGGCGATCCCTTTCATCGTTTGTTCTTTAAAATGTATAAGATTCTTTAATAGATATATTTTCGTATTTACCTCCGAGGTTCATCCCCCCCCCTCCCAAAAAAATCTTAGTGACTGTAAAATTAACAATGTAACATATATTGAAACAAGATGTAACGAAATAACGAAATGAAAAGGGCTAAGTAATTTCTTTTTCATTGTTGATCTGTTCTACTTGTTTAAAAGTTTGAGAAAATGACATCTTTACTTTGACGTATGTTTGGCTATGGTTGTACCATCGGGAACACTAACTTCTCTTGGGTAATTTCTTAAATGTTTTCTTGTGAATGTCTGACCAACCACGTATTTAAAGGGCCCATGCGAAGTAATTTTTCAATGCAAACCTTGAAAATACATCTTCATTTGACAAATGAAAATCTGCGTAATATTTCAATTTCAATCTAAATTGAATGAGCCCAGGCGTTAAATTAAATGAAAACCTATAAAGGTATGCATGAAAAAGGACTCCAAGTAAATTATCCCCTCCCAAAAAGGACAATATTGTAATACACATTTTGCAAATCCTTCATCATTTACATATTTCATAATTTCAATATCAAATTATTCAAAAAGGAATTTAAAGTCGTTTGTTACATTCCATGTAGTTTTTGTTATTGAAATTATTATTAAAATAATGTTTTATAGCAGTTTAATCAGAAAAGCATGAAATATCTTATATTTTAGCAACTCGCATCGGCATTTTGAAACGTTAACGTTTGCTGTATGGCTACGGGGAGAAAAGAGATTAAATGTGCATGTTTTTATGTCAGACTCGAAAATAACACGAGGAATGTATCTTTAAAAATGTTTTCATTTCAATTCTAATGCGAATATGCATGAAAACTATTTGGAAATGTTAGCGCGTTGCCCCACGCACTACTGCGTTTAGAGCGTCCATGAAGGAACTTTATGGCGCGTCTCACGCGCTGCTGATCTAGTCTTTTTATTATCTATGAAAACGAGTTGTTTACGTCTTACTCGCGGGCTGGACACTCCATTTATAGCTAGAGGGGTGTTTAGAAAAACATGAAGTAAAATTGTTGCACAAAATCGTTCGATTTTTTTTTTTTTTTTTGGACATGTTTTGACTTTGGGACGGAAAAATTTTGATTTTTTGACCGAAAAGGTATTTATGAATGGGAATAAACATGTGCTTGCTCGGTATTAAACACTATGTTTAAGACTGGTTGGAGTCTGGATGCTGATAATTACCCTCGCCTTCGACTCAAGTAATTATCAGCATCAAGACTCCAACTAGTCTTAAACATAGTGTTAACACCTCCCGACAAAGTGTTTAACACCTCCCAAGCACATATTTATTCCCTTATTTATGGCTATATTACAAGCCAATGTTTACTTAGAAGAGCCCACTTAACTTGAAGGATCTGAAATGACAAGCAAGATGTTGCTGCTGAGTTGAGATTGTTCCAAGTTCATGAGAATGTTTGTACGTTAGTCTCACAGAGTAGAGGACGGAGTTTCAAAGTACACCCTGCTGATCCTTCTTGTTGCCTCTAGCATTGCTGATTCTATCAGTTGCATACTGGTGCCCAGCAAAATATCGAGACCATGAATGTCCGAGACAAAGACCAAGACCGAGACCATATGGGTACCGAGAGCGAGGCCAGTAATGCTTTACTCGAGACCTTCAACACTGACACTTTGTGATCTGATAGACAATGCTTTGGTAAACATTTTTGGTTGGAAAGGTGAAGTCGCTTGACCTTTACTTTAATGGCGTAAACGGACGGACAGAGTTAAGTGAATTGAAAGTATCAACAAAAGCGGGGATATTAAAACGAATGTACCTTCTTCCAAAAAGGTTCAAGGGATAAAGATAAAACCTTGTACAAAATTGAACCCTTGTCAAAAGATGTGGGAAAAAATTGCAACGTCATCATGACGTCATCACATATCAAGTTCCAAGCGATTTAAAGTCAGGTTTTTAGAAAATACTTTCAATAGCTTAAACTGAATTGATTACCGGATTCATTTTTTGTGTGAGGGGGTACATATTGTCTTGGGCAATATTTTGAATTCCCGGGTACAAAGCGGTTGACCTTTACTTGCAGTGTTACCGGAAGTGCAAAAAATATGTGAATATAACTTTAAAACAGGAGTATTTCACCACAATACGTATTCAGCAAATGTTTAGTGAGAAATGCCGAACCAAAAAAGTCATAATATTAACCAAAGTAAACATGATATCGTTTAAAAAGCCCAACATAGTGAGCTTAATTAATGGTCTGCTTCAATTCTCATGAACCCGAATAGTGTTTCTACCAAACAAAGTTATTAACACCACGTACCTATTTGGATGTCAAACTTCGTGGGGAAAGCCGCTCTTTCTGTTGCGCGTACGGTGACCGAGTGTGCTACAGTAGATATCAAGTCAGTTGAAGAACTACGTAGCCGTCGTGTGCAGTGCAGGTAACAGTCTGTCTGGGTCGGCTCGTGGGGCTCGCCTTTTTGGATGTCACACTTCGTTGAAAAGATTGGAAACACGCTCTTCCTATTGCACGTACGGTGATTGGTGTGCTACAGTAGATAGCAAGTCGGTTGATGAACTACGTAGCCGTCGCGTGTGCAGTCAACAGTCTGTCTGGGTCGGCTCGTGGGGCGCGCTTTTAAATCTCTTTGGAGGTACTGTTGAGTGGGTTGGGCAGACGTTAATCTTACGTCGATCAAAAGCCTCGTTCGCGTTGGGCTAAATTTTGTTAAGTTACGTTACTGCGAGTGATCGTCAACCTTCCAATGTGGTTTTTCATCCGTGCGCGTACCTGGATTATTTCAGCCCGCGGAATGTCATGGTTGCGTGGGGTCCAAATAGAAATGGTTTGTGAGGACAAGGGGTAATTAAAGTTGGCAAAACGATTGTACAGAAGTCTATGGAATGTCCCCTTTAGTGACCCATTATTGGTAATAATTTTGTTTACGTTTTCATCAGCGTTGGTTTGTTAGTTGGTTGGTTGGTTTGTCTGTTAACAAGATAACTCAAAAAGTTATAGACGGATTGACATGATTTTTGTTAGGGGTGGTCCTTGGTACTAGTACAAATCGATTAGATTTTCGAAGTGATCCGGATCTGAGTCTGGCTCCAGGATTTTTTTAAAGGATTCTTCACCATTGGGAGATAGGGCCAGATTCCCAATTTTGCTTTTAACTCCACATTAACCCCTTGACGCCGGGATCGTGCCTCACTTTGTCGGCTTACATGCATGACTGCACAGAGGCCTTTGTCTGCTGGCAGCTGCACGGCCCACATACCGCATTACGCGGCGTATTTCGGCTTAACCCTCCGACGCAGACGGCCCATTGACTAACACACTTACAGTAAGGGGTCCCTCCGGGGACCCAGACATTTAGCGCCTTGGTTTGAGGCTACACAACACTGTATCTATGGGACACAATCTCGACATGTCTGTAGACTATAAATAAGGAGGTCATTGACAGGAAAAAGATGTTGTATACATAGTCTGTGGTCAAGTCGTGCACTTGGCTACCCGCAAGTGACTTTGTTTTGTGCACGTGTATATGGGCAGCCCACGTTGTCAGGCTCAGATATGCCTGACCCGGGGTCACACACTAAAGGTGACTGCATATATCCGTAGTGGGTGCCTCTGGCTAGGATTAGATGGAAGATCACCAGAATTGGTTTTAATTTTTTTTTTATTAAGGTAATTAACCAAATTGGGTCCCCAAAAGGGCTAGTTTCTGCGTCGGAGGGTTAAAACAACACAGCAGGACGGATTAGCGGAAAGCGGCCACCATTGATATTTTTCGATAAATTCAGAATTATAAGCAATCGTGTTGACATTTTAAATGTGCAATAAAATATGGAAGTCCCGTGGATATGCGAGTATTTCTTTTCGGTGTACTGACAATATGGCGGGGAATTGTTCAGCCTTGGCGGAGGTTAGCGCTCTCTGAGTGCTCTCTATTTTGTTATGACTACAACAGACACGCAAAATACAAAACGTGATGACTGGAACAAAAAAACAGTACACCTAATCACTATTGCCTACAGGCATTCAGACCCAAGACATTTTAAAACAAACTATAAAGTACATTCATTAAAAGAACACTAAACATAGGAACATTGAATACATCGACATGAAATATTTTACGTTCTCGACGCCGGGCGACAAAACCTTTACAAAACTGAGCAGGGGCGGATCTAGCTTTCAGGAAAAGGGGAGGAGGGTGATATCAAGGGAGGACGGTGATTTAAAGGGGGATTGAGTCTAAGGCGTGCACGAGGCACGCCCTGATAGGGGCGGGGCATGCCCCCAAAAATTCTGAAATGTATGATGATTTGTCTTGGATTCTAAGGCGATTCGAGGATAAATTGAAGAATGTGAGCATTCCATTTTATTTTTTTGGTCCCATTTTAATAGTTCATAAAATTAGGCAGCTGCTGAACGGCGGAGGGGATTGCAACCGCCCCCCCCTCTCAATCTGATACTGTAGAAGGAGGCTTGTTGGGAATTAGAGGGTGAAATTATTGCTCGTAAACGATGAAAACAGTTGTTCTCCTTCGTTTCTACTCATGATTATTAATTTGTGATGACAATTTTTGTTTCTTCAAAAGCCAGCCATCCAGTCAAAGTAAGCAGGAAAAAATACCTTATATGGGAGACGTGATCTATTTTTTTTTTGGGGGGGGGGGAAGATTATGACTACTCAAAAACAGAAACAGTGTCAGTAGACTTCAATTTGGAGTTCCACGGAGCCTCAGTCCTTGGAGTTTATGTAACATATGCTTATCATCTAAAAATACATGGTTTTTATTATTATATGGCTTTCTTGTTTTTGCAGGGCATAATAAAAGTCTGCTGTCTGAGCTGACGAAAGAAAGGTTCGTGGCTACATTGTACGAACTGTTATAACTTCTGCATTGAGGTATGAGAGCAAAACTGGTGAGGTACCATTGCAATCAGTTATGGCGAAAAAAAGAGAAGTGTATGGACTAAAATGATTCTTGTTATATCGCCCTGGGGTTGTGGTGCGTGTGCCCTTGGGCAAAACACTTAATTTGTCACTCATTGCTTCTCCCCACCCAGGTGCAAATGGAGATTGTTATTGATTTTAGCTGCCTTGCAACGAAGCGGCTGCATCGAGCTGTGAGTCCCTAGGGAGCTGATATTATATTTAGAATGTCTCATTGGCCCAATGATCAGGGGTAATAATAATATAAAGCGCTTTGATCTTAGTTAAAAACGCTATATAAGAACACAATATTATTTTTCATTAAAAAAAACTTTGAAAGTCACCAAATCAATTCGTCTCCAATCTTAAATATCAATGTTTGTCCTGTGTGGAGTATAGGCCAATGTTTTCCTTTCATGGACTTCAGTAAAATGTTAAACCACGTTTTGATTATTATACACACAAATACACACAGCCAGGGACTGCCATAAACACGTCGAATCACGGATTCTACGCACAAGGATTAACGACTAGGCCCAACTCCTGGTTAGACGCGTGATAACGGCCTGTACTGGTGGCAAATACCATGAATACTTTCCAACAAAGACCACTGCGCGCGGTGGCTTTCGGATTTGCAAGGCTCTTCGCCCGATCTGGCCTCGAAGTCTGTCAAGCGAGCGAATCATATTTTTGAATATTCATGAGTCTACGTTTTTGGTCTTTATTATTGAATTCTGATATGTGATAACTACATAACCATAACCATGAAAATGCCGAGCACAATATAAGTGATCCGGATCTGAGTCTGGCTCCAGGATTTTTTTAAACGTTTTTTCACCATTGGGAGATAGGGCCAGATTTCCCAATTTTGCTTTTAACTCCACATTAACCCCTTGACGCCGGGATAGTGCCTCACTTTGTCGGCTTACATGCATGACTGCACAGAGGCCTTTGTCTGCTGGCAGCTGCACGGCCCACATGCCGCATTACGCGGCGTATTTCGGCTTATAACAACACAGCAGGACGGATAAGCGGAAAGCGGCCACCATTGATATTTTTCGATAAATTCAGAATTATAAGCAATCGTGTTGACATTTTAAATGTGCAATAAAATATGGAAGTCCCGTGGATATGCGAGTATTTCTTTTCGGTGTACTGACAATATGGCGGGGAATTGTTCAGCCTTGGCGGACGGTTAGCGCTCTCTGAGTGCTCTCTAGTTATTTGTTATGACTACAACAGACACGCAAAATACAAAACGTGATGACTGGAACAAAAAAAACAGTACACCTAATCACTATTGCCTACAGGCATTCAGACCCAAGACAATTTAAAACAAACTATAAAGTACATTCATTAAAAGAACACTAAACATAGGAACATTGAATACATCGACATGAAATATTTTACGTTCTCGACGCCGGGCGACAAAACCTTTACAAAACTGAGCAGGGGCGGATCTAGCTTTCAGGAAAAGGGGAGGAGGGTGATATCAAGGGAGGACGGTGATATAAAGGGGGATTGCGTCTACGGCGTGCACGAGGCACGCCCTGATAGGGGCGGGGCATGCCCCCATAAATTCTGAAATGTATGATGATTTGTCTTGGATTCTAAGGCGATTCGAGGATAAATTGAAGAATGTGAGCATTCCATTTTATTTTTTTGGTCCCATTTTAATAGTTCATAAAATTAGGCAGCTGCTGAACGGCGGAGGGGATTGCAACCGCCCCCCCCTCTCAATCTGATACTGTAGAAGGAGGCTTGTTGGGAATTAGAGGGTGAAATTATTGCTCGTAAACGATGAAAACAGTTGTTCTCCTTCGTTTCTACTCATGATTATTAATTTGTGATGACAATTTGTGTTTCTTCAAAAGCCAGCCATCCAGTCAAAGTAAGCAGGAAAAAAATGCCTTATATGGGAGACGTGATCTATTTTTTTTGGGGGGGGGGGGGAAGATTATGACTGCTCAAAAACAGAAACAGTGTCAGTAGACTTCAATTTGGAGTTCCACGGAGCCTCAGTCCTTGGAGTTTTTGTAACATATGCTTATCATCTAAAAATACATGGTTTTTATTATAATATGGCTTTCTTGTTTTTGCAGGGCATAATAAAAGTCTGCTGTCTGAGCTGACGAAAGAAAGGTTCGTGGCTACATTGTACGAACTGTTATAACTTCTGCATTGAGGTATGAGAGCAAAACTGGAGAGGTACCATTGCAATCAGTTATGGCGAAAAAAAAGAGAAGTGAATGGACTAAAATAATTCTTGTTATATCGCCCTGGGGTTGTGGTGCGTGTGCCCTTGGGCAAAACACCTAATTTGTCACTCATTTCTTCTCCCCACCCAGGGGCAAATGGACACATGTGAGGGCAGAGATTGTTATTGATTTTAGCTGCCTTGCAACGAAGCGGCTGCATCGAGCTGTGAGTCCCTAGGGAGCTGATATTATATTTAGAATGTCTCATTGGCCCAATGATCAGGGGTAATAATAATATGAAGCGCTTTGATCTTAGTTAAAAACGCTATATAAGAACACAATATTATTTTTCATTAAAAAACTTTAAAAGTCACCAAATCAATTCGTCTCCGATCTTAAATATCAATATTTGTCCTGTGTGAAGTATAGGCCAATGTTTTCCTTTCATGGACTTCAGTAAAATGTTAAACCACAATTTGATTATTATACACACAAATACACACAGCCAGGGACTGCCATAAACACGTCGAATCACGGATTCTACGCACAAGGATTAACGACTAGGCCCAACTCCTGGTTAGACGCGTGATAACGGCCTGTACTGGTGGCAAATACCATGAATACTTTCCAACAAAGACCACTGCGCGCGGTGGCTTTCAGATTTGCAAGGCTCTTCGCCCGATCTGGCCTCGAAGTCTGTCAAGCGAGCGAATCATATTTTTGAATATTCATGAGTCTACGTTTTTGGTCTTTATTATTGAATTCTGATATGTGATAACTACATAACCATAACCATGAAAATGCCGAGCACAATATCTTTAGCTTTAAGATGAACAATGAAGTGTCGCTTTTGTTTTATCGGTTCGGCATCCTATCTCTAGTACCTCACCAGCTTTCATACCAAAATCCAGAAGTTTCAACAGTTCGTACAATGTAGCCACGAACCAGTCCTTCGTTAGCTCAGAGCAAAATTTTGTTATGCCCTGCAAAAGCAAGAAAGCCATTAATAAAAGCATTTCTTAGATAATAGATTTATTTTTTAGATAATAAGCATATGTTACATGAACTCAAAGGACTGAGGATCCGTCAAACTCCAAATTGAGGTCTACCGACACTGTTTCTGTTTTTGAGTAGTCAATATGAGAACCCCCCAAAAAAGTAGATCACGTCTCCATTAATAGGCAGCTTTTTTCTGCTTCTCATACTTTGACTGAATGGCTGGCTTTTGTTGGAAATGAGAGGGGTGAAATTATTGTCCATTTGTCTTTGATGAAAACTGTTCTTCCTTGTTTCTACTCATGAATATTAATTTATGATGACAAATTTTTGTCAAAAGCCAGACATTCAGTCAGAGTATGAGAAGCAGACTATTGGAGACGTACATTTTTTTTTTGGTTCGCATTATGACTACTCAACAACAGAAACAGTGTCGGTAGACTTCAATTTGGAGTTTGACGGAGCCTCAGTACTTGAATTTATGTTCATGTAACATATGCTTATCATCTAAAAATACAAGTTATTATTTATATGGCTTTCTTGTTTTTGCAGGGCATAATAAAATGGTGCTCTGAGCTAACGAAGGAACGAACTGTTGAAACCTGCATTTAGGTATGAAAACTGGTGAGGTTCTAGTGCAATTAGTTATGGCGAAAAAAAGAGAGTAGTATGGACTACAATAAGTGTTATTTCGCCCTCCCCCTCCCTGGCCATGCATGGGCGTCGCCAGGATTTTTCTGTAGCAGGGGGCAAAGCAAATTGTTCCCCTAAAATCCTTTAACCTTCTATGGCATATTCTCAATTAATAATTTTGTTTACCGGGTGGGCGGGCGACATTTGCCCACCACCCCCATTGACACCCCTGGAGATGCCCATTTTGTTAAATGTGTATTAAAGTAATAGCAAACACGACTTCACACCTCTTTTTGTTTTTGTTTGTCTGCTTTTCCGGAAAGAATGTTATGGGTTACTTCGTTTTAATTGTTTTTGTTTATCTTTGTAGCTGTCGTTGCCTGTAAATTGAAAACACTTAGTTTATGTACATAGTATATAAACCTATGCACTGGGTTCAAAACTACATGTAGTACGAGTTCATCGGTGCCCTAAGACAGTCACTGCACGAAAAGAAGGTTTCTTTGAGAATTTTAAACATTGCGGTGCAAATAAATGTAGGGCCTATGGCCTCGTACGTCTTTTGAAACTCCCGCACTAATCACATTCAAAGTGAGCAACTGGGCTTTTAGTTTCCCATTGTTGTTGCATTCGACGTGGCAGTCCCTGGCTGTGTGTGTTTGTTTGTGTGTATAATAATCTAAAGTCTTTATTACGAATGAAAAAGGTTACCGTACAGAAGAGCCAGTTGATTGGCCAAGTTCCACTGATCACGCCCCTTCATTTCAGCGAGGAATGTGATTGGACAGGACGACCATCATGACGAGCTGTCATGGCGAACCCGGCGTCGTGACTAGTTTGACCTAGTTTGACCTCCAGCGTTCATCTTTTGTTGAAAACGGTCCTCGATAATGCGTTTCTGTGCTTAGTCTATATCATATGGGAGTTTTATAATTACAGAGACAGAGGAAAACACAATGCCTCGTCCTACAAAGTTATGTAACGAGTTCCGGCTCGTGCATTCTGTGCATATCGGACTTTTATTGGCAATTTATTAGTTGCGCAGTCACGGCCACTTGAGTTACTTGGTTACGAGTGAAGGTGGCACAAGCCTTTTCGAGGTATGACAGACACAATAGGAGGGCGCTGTTTGATTTGGGTAGAGTCTTTTGTTTTTACCAAAACCAAACAGCGCCCTCCTATGATGTCCACCATACCTCAAATAGGCTAATGTCTACGGGAAATGATTTGAGCCGGCTTCACATGCCATTCGTAGCTGGGAAGGAGCTCGTCTCTTACTTCCGTTGCTGATAAACCAGCGTCCTCTATCTTATACGCAGAAGAATCTCATTGACCGTACTTACAACTAGCCCAAATTTAACCCATTGTTCAGTAAAACACAAACTACCTCACACCCGCGAAGAACCTAAAGGGAATCTGATGCAGACCTATGCAAGTCCTTACTAACTCCAAATTAGATGAACTTAGTAACATTGGTTGCGATTAGCCAAGTCTACAAAGTCACCTACCTGGAGATCCAATTAGAGTCCGTCTCTGTCAGCCAGCAACACGTCGAATTCCTCCCTGAACCCAGTCTATAGTACTCAGGATACGCCAGGGTACCAAAACCTGGTGTCGTGTCCACGGACTGAGTAACGAAGTCGACTTATAAGCGAAGTCCTCCGTTAAGGCGACGCCTTCTTTGTCGCGTGCAAACAAATATCCAGGAAATCACGGGATGTGGACAAAGGACCTCCTGAAGAAGTATCGTGGGATGGAAAAAAACCAAGGTTGATTTTGAAATGACCAAGCTCCTTGATCATAACATATCTTAAAGTACTGAACCGCATCCACATTGAGAGCCACATAGCGATACATCTTAAGCTTCCTGCACAAAATGTTTCCTGAATTTGAAATCTAGACTGTTTTTCACTTGATATTCATCACGACAAATTAGCTGTTTCATAACCAGGAAAACCTGAAGTCCGATTCTCCGCATTTCAACTTAGAGGATTAGAATAGGTTCCTTAGAAATGTTCACCTCATGGGCCCTTTAAAATATTTCGACTTGATTTCATTAATGCAATGACAGATGAAAGTTGGTTGAAGGTGGTTGCATGATGATCAGATGTGACCACATACTTCTAAAACAACGCAATCATACCTTGGTCAGTGCTTTCACTGTGTACTATATCCAATGACAGTTTTCCCATTGACTGACTAGCATGAACTAAACGAAGGAACCCCCAGGAGAATATTGATGTAGCAAAAACTCCTCGAATTCTGTTTGAACTTTCTGTTTTTGTATTTGGAGGGGCTCCATAGTTTAGGTGACGAGATCACTTTATGGGGGATAATCGTTTATTTGCAATCTCTCTCCGAGATAAAGGAGTCTTGTGCCGCAAAAATTAGTGAAAATTATTATTGATGTGTAACTCTGGGGATGCTGTAACAGACGAAATGTGTATAACGGCTGGCAAACAAAGTAACGTACGTAGAGAGACAGTACAGGAAGTATGTCCGCCGCCCAAGCGACGGGAGTAGGTATTATAAGCACGTTTGTCATTATACATCGCCCTCATACATGTACATGTCTACGTTACATACGTAGTGTAAACATTCCTTTGTTTTTGTGTAGTTATTATTATGAATATTTACAACTGTCGGACACAAAATGAGACTGGTTCTTCCCTTGATCCCTAGCTGCTGCTGCTGCTGCTGCTGCTGCTGCTGCTGCTGCTGCAACAACAACAACATTCAAAGGCTGTCCTTTAGGAAAACCAAGGTTGAATTAAACTGGACAAGTTAAAAAAACATTTCTTAAAAGAACTCAAAAAGAGACTTCCAATAAAAACCTTAGACTTCCTCATTAAAAGTAGGATAAAATAACCAACTATTGATACGCGAACTATCATAAAAGAAGCAAAAACTTCTGTTTTCAGCAAAATAAAAGGACCATATCTAAGCTTCAAAACTGGAAGAACTATAAAAACTAGCAAACTTTCAAAAGAAACTGAAATAAAATTCTAAAAATAATTATACATGATAAAAAGACGACACATTTAAAACAATAGAAAACTCACTAAATGACTCCAACAGCAGATTAACTTCAAGCAGAAAACACTCTCCAGGTAGGAGGAACATAAATGTATATAGAACTCTGCTTGTCTGCTGGGTAAACTGAATGAGGCTAGAAACATTTTAGTTACTCAAGATTCCCGCCCCCCTCTCCCCTTTTGATGGTAGTGTGCCCCCTGTTTGTTTACTTTAGCCCACATGTTCCCCCTATAATAAACTGCCACATGTTAACATGTGGCAGTTTATTATAGGGTGAACATGTGGGCTAAGTAAACAAACAGGGGGACACACTACCATCAAAGGGGGGGGGGGCCGGGAATCTTTAGTAACTAAAATGATTTCTTTTTCTAAGGGAAGCTACTCCTATTTAATACACTATAAATTAAATACATGAAAATATACAACTAAAACTGGGCCCTGCCACACACCCACCAGGGTGCACTGAACTAATTCAAGTGAGAATTTCTACGCGAGTCATTAGCATAAAAAGTGCTTAAAAAAAGCCCCCACATTTCTTTTAAAAACGGAGACCATTTGGCTTTAAAAACGGTGGAATTGTGTAAATATACCCAAAGATCAACTCCGTGGTTTTTGGGCTTCCATCTGAGGGCAGGCTTGATAAAATTACGGATAAAAAATGGTTCCTATTTGCCTGTGAAAGTGGAAGGATGCCACTTGTAAAATGGCTACATGCAGGCTTGGGGACTATCACTTTTCGGGAGGTGATTTTGTTTGGATGTGAATATTTAAAAATGTAATTGGTTAATGTACCTTAAATTGAAAAGAATCGAAAAGATGAAAGCCAAGACAATAATTTAATTTTTGTTTTAGAAACCCCAGTGATGTTGGCTTGCATGTTATTTAACTTTGTTGATTTTACACTGTTTTCAATGGGGGTTGAATTAGTACAGTGGACCCACCAGTGCCTGAATATGGCGCCCTCTGGCGACAAGCAAAGTACATGTATCAGCCGGTGACCTTCGCTCGTACCCCGCCCTGCAAACAGGACGCTGTGAAGGGCTGACGAATTGACGCTCTGATTGGATAGATTTTGCGTGACCTGTGACCTGCAAGTCGTCACAACGACGACACTGCAAGGTTTAAAAACGGCCGTTAAGTCCGAGTCATTCGTCACTCTTTTATTCCCATTCATAAATGCGGCGCCCTATTTTGGTTGAAAAGCATAATAATGTAGGAATAGCTGTAAAATTTATCTGTTTTGTAAATGTTAAACTCCTGTCAGTTGCTCAGGCTCCGTTTCGAATTCAGGAAGGGTCAAAATTATCATTCGACGCTCAAAATTTGTCCACATGGTCCGCAATGAAAAAGAAATGACATCCGGTATGGTGTGCATGTATTTCTATGGCAAACTTTTTGGATAGTATTTGCGCGCATTGGCTAACCGCGGTGTACAGCTGCAGCCAGATGCTTTATACATAGGTCATGATAAATTACCCAGAGTGCCATCCCTACTTCCCTCATAAGATTCTGTGAAGCTCATCTGCCCTTCCCAGCGCCCTGTTTGCAGGGCGGGGGTACGAGCGAACCGGTGACCTGCCGGCACAAACCGCAGACAGATTCACTGGTGCCCGCGCAATGCGTTACCGAATAGTAATTTACATTATAATGTTCTGTTTTTTTCTTCGAACGGTTAATAAGAATGTATGGAGCGCCAATCGAACATTTTGCATATGATCTGGGGTAGCTGGAGCTCAATACCCAGGCTAAAATTTAGAAGTTTCAGGAAAATTTGCAGGCTACAGTTTTGAGAATGGACAAAAATCGACTGTTAGTTTTTGCCGTTCACTTTAAAAAAATATATACATCCCCCTGGCGGACTGCTACAACAGTAGTGTTCTAACACTGTGTTCCAAGCCAACAATTCTTTAGTTCATTCACTTCCGTCAGGTTTTTAAATAACATTCATGATGATTGACTGATTGTGGTTTTAATGTACTTTTAATGAGTTTTACTTTGTATTTAAATCAATAGATTGGTGATGTATTAATATTTTTAATGAGCTTTTTTAGTGTATTTAATGACATTTGTTTTATTAACTTTGTAAAGCGCATTGAGATTGTGTCAATGATGTAATGCGCTATATAAGAATTAATTATTATTATTATTATCATTATTACCTTTGATTGAGTTTGATTGAATGAGTTTGTCAAATTTTTTTAAAATGAGTAATGTATCCCAGTAGTACCACTATCCTGTTTCCCCCAACAATTTCCCCTCTTTTTTCCAACCCTATACATATATTTGATTTACATGTAAGGCCAAAAAAAAATACTCGTCTCTGGTCGAGTTTAATGATTTTCGTCAACCTTAATTTTTCTTCAAGTTAACACGGAAGCTACAACAGCGCCCTGTATTGCCGCGCCTCCTCTAATTTTTGTACCACGGAGCACCAAGGAATGGGGAAATTGCACCACTGAAGGCAAATGATAAAGGCACCAAAGCAAATTATGGAGGACACCAATGTATAATGAGGGCACAAAAAAGCAAAATAGTACCCACCTTGTCTGTACAATACAAGCTTGAAAAAAAAAGCCCCCCCCCCAAAAAAAAACCCCCGTCGCCACATCAATTCCGGAACTTCGGTCTGACCAGAGACCGACTACTTTTTTGGGGGCCTAATCAATGTTTATTCCTGTTTATAACTTTAGACAAAACTATTTAGACAAAATGTGTTTGATTGAATTTAATGTTGTTCCCTATGAAAAAGTTAAAAGTACTTGTTCCTTTACGATAATTGCAAGCGATTAGTTTGAAATTAAACTGAAATGAAATTTAACCTTCAGTGTCTGAGGTTGTATAAAAAATACAGTAATCTTCTTATTATTTCAGTTTTGACCACAATAATTGGGCCTTATTATGTGAAATGGTTCAACTTCACCGTCCGATTTGTTTAAGCATGCGCTGTTACTAATTCTTAAATTTCCCATAAGGCCTTATTCACAATTAGGAAGCGGTGGAAGCCTTCTTTATCGTGTTATGTGTTTTATGTATTTTATAATTTTTTAACTGTTGAATGGGACGTTTCAGACTATTTATGCATTCCAAGCCTCACATTCAATTTGATTTTACATGTGGCTGAAAACGTGTGTTTAATCACAAATTGTCAATTATTTATTAATTTGTAATTAACTTTATTTTATTGATCCGTTTCTATAGTGAAGTTCCATAAATGAAGATTTTACATCGCGTTCAATTTGATATTGCCGACTCGTGAATCAGGCCTAAGTTTTTTCTGCGGCCACACATGCTTCACGCTTTGGTACAAAAAAAGTAAAACCGGGATTAATTTTGTTTCAATCGGCTCGCCATAGTCTTCGGAATGCATTATGGGGTGGGGCACCATTTTGTCCGGTACTAGACTGTGCACATGCGCTGAACGCACACGGATATTGGGAAATCGTGGCAATATCACACCAGGGTGGAGACGAGAAATTGCCCGCAAATACCGGAGAAAGTTCACACAATTTTACTTCATTTTGACCAGTGACGGTAGAACAGCAAATCGGCCAGAATGTCTTGGGATTCGTATCTCGACAACTTGGTTGCCCAGAGCAAGGATGCCTCCGGGAGCGTGCATGTGGACCGGTGCGTGATTATCGGGCTTGACGGCGGGGCAAAGTGGACGACCGACGGCCACGCGAACGCGCTCAAATTACAGGGGCAAGAGGGGGCCAATATCGCCAAGTGCTTCAAGTCCAAAGATTTCACGGCCTTCATGGCGGGCGGGGTGTTTGCTGAGGGAGTCAAGTACCAGTTCCTGCGAGAGGAAGATGGTAAGCTAGTCCTGGCGAAGAAAAAGGGCAACGGAGCGCTCAGTATCCAGTCTTCAAAGACGGCCCTGGTCCTCGCGCACTGTCCGGAAGGCTCCCAACAAGGAAACGCCAACAAATCTGTAGCTGTCATTGCAGAATACCTGGAGAGCTTGGGCATGTAACCCCGCACTTCCCCACTCCACTCGTTATGGCATTTTGTAACTGGTAACTTTTTCACCCTTTTTTCCCTCTGGTTTTAACAACATGTTAAAACAAGCAACCGGCTTCGAAAAAAAGAGAAACACTTCCCCGACTCGCTGTTAAAACTAAAAGAAACTGTACTGTACCTGAGTGGTCGTAATTATGGTGTAGGCCTATGCCAATGCAACGAAATAGCTGGTACAACACAAACAGTTAAAATTTTACTTGCAGCTTTATATACATTATTCAGTTTATTGTTACACAAGCGTATGGACACACAAGCTCTAATTTTGTGCACCAGTGCTTGTCGGACAGGGACATAATCGCAGTGAAACTGCAACACATGCTGAAACTACGGTTTCACTGCAACCTGTGTGTCTTCCAATGAATCGATCAACCAAGTGAACAGCTTTCCTCAACATCATTACCGCTCATGAGCACCCTGCACCAACTCACATCCCCCGGAACAACAACAATATTACTGACTATAAAAAACTCCGATACTTCAGACGTAGTATTATAAGGCACAAGCAGACTTCATGAGCTAAAAAAAGAAATCTTGACAATATACGGACAGTTTCGTCAATTCGACCCCGATGCAACTGCAAAAAAGTTCACAGCTGCAATGACCTGTTTGCAAATCGTCTTTGGTCCATAGTGGAGGATGGTCCATATATGTTACAACCAACTAGACAACTGTGTGAAATCTTTGTAAGCTTGGCTAGTTGTGAAGCTGTGAAAATGCATACTTTGGCAGCAAGACATTTCAACGATTCACCCCTCAGACAATAACCTACACTACAGCTCGTCCGGCGTCCCCCTCCCCAACCAACTGCTGCTGCTGAAACCTGTGGTTTAAACCAGGAAATAAGCCACGAAAAAAAACCTTTTCGTCTGTGGCCGTCCGGTGTATTGGACTAACCGTGGTTGACAAAACCTGCTTTTCTGAGAACCAGGAAGTAGATGTACTATTAGGGTCGCCAAACATGCACAGAAGACCCAACATGCACAGCATCCCAACTCCCTTAATCTCAGCACAGGAAATTAATTGCAAAATTCTGATAACTCTTTCATGTCGGTGTATGATGGACTTTTGTCAAGACTTTTGGTCATGTGACGCCATGTCACCAATCAAACTTCTTGACAACTGTATTTCCCAACTTCAGCAAACACGGGAAGCCATTGTGGTTTGTTCATACACAAATGGAAATCCAGCATGGACTCGGACTGTCATGTCTGGAACAAAACAGACCTATGCTCTTCTGTGCTTTTCAATGTCAACCATTTTGATGGGCACCATTTGGGAGGATGAAGTACCAGTATACAGCATGGGAACCAGTGACACGCACACCCTCCACCTTCAAGCGGATGTCCCCATTTCATCTACATCATGTACTTGGCAGCGCACCAGTGGAGAGCACAGTACATCCAATGGAAGTGCAGCGGACACCGGCAGTCATGGCAAGACTACCAGGGACTGGACAGGACACCATGTGAAGAGGGCTGGGAACCAATGAGAACGAAATGGTCACTCTGTTTCACGCCAAGGGTGCTTTGGACTGTAACTGTTTGGAATTCCTCGGATCATCCACTTTGATACATGCAACCTGGAACTGACAAATGACGGACATCATTTGTGACACTTGGTCATTTTATGTCATGTACACGTTCTCTACGCGTCACATGTACTTTATGCATGGCACATGCACACTAGAGCACACCAAATAACCTTTTTTCACTTCACAAATTTTCACAGTTCAAATTTAGGCACTCGGTTCGAAATTTGTAATCAGAAAAACAAAAACCCAAGAATTTCTGGAGAAAACCCTTCAGACTAATACCCAAAATACAATCAATCACAAAATTACTATAAAAAAAGTGTTGTATCTAGTGGGGTCATTCATTCATAAAATTAAAATGGCACCGAATTTCCATTTTTTGTGCATGTGCCCATAGCTGTGCATGTGGCTGTTTAAACTGTGTAATACACTATACAACCATTGTTAAAGGTTTGCAAGGAGGAAGTACATGTACATGTATTTTGATAACCTGTGCGCAGTACATGCATGGGACCACTCCCGATCCAGGAAATAGTAGGACAAACATGTAATAATATATTATGCAAAAGGCCCCACTCGTGCGCATCCTGGTTCATATTTCATCCAGTCAGTCAGCTGAATAAAAAAAAAACCCACCAAATTGCTGTCTACATCGTACATGACCACTTACCTGGCTAAGTTTGCCATTACCCAATTAAAATTGGTACTGATACCAAATATGTTAGCTAAGCAGGACATTCTGTACGTAACACTTTTGATTTGTGTAATAACGTAGTGCATTGTGGTTTCCTGTCACTAGCTATTCCAAAAAGGCCATTTCAAACTTTTTTTTTTAAGTTAGTCAACCAGTTATTTAAACCCAAAAGTCACAAAAATGTATAAATCATGTAGAGAAAGGAAATCTTTGAGAAATTATGTGCGTTTTGCAACGTGAAATTCGAAAATTTTAAGGAGTTTTCCAGAATCTCTCCATTTTATTAAGTTACAAGATTATTTTCATATCAATTCCACACAAAAAAAGGAAAACTTCTTCGAATAAAAAAGTCAGTATTCCCAAAGTATTTTTTTTAATGGTCAGGAAGTTCATGTTCTGAGTGTAAAACAAACCGGGGAAATGGGGCAAAGAGTCCAGTGTAGACAATGTAACTTGTATTAACACAATTGATAATTGATTTTTGCCTAGAAACAAATGTGATAAATGAACTTTGGAACTTGTCAGTGCTAACAATCGGTGACTAAAAATGATAGCTATGCCCATCAGCCATCTTAAGTAAATAATGAAATACGTCATGCACTTTTATAGACCGTGTGTATGCATCAGCAGTATCGATGAAAAGCTTCATTTCAGTATGGGCGGCATTCAAAGTACACCGACCATCTGCCTTCAAAATGTCAAAAGAAGCATTAAACTTTGGGTCGTTAAAGAAAAACTATTTGGTTTTATCATATCTAGTTTACTGTAAATGGTACAGTGCAAGGACATTGAAAGATATTCATTGCAATTTAAGCCGCAAAAGATAAAATATTCTACATGTACTTCTTTGTGACAGTAGAATTTTTTTTGTAAGAAAGCACAAATTTAACCTAATGCAAAACTGTTGCTTGTCCCAACATTAGGGGTCGATTTAAAAAACAAATTTTACATGGACAGAGCCAAAGTTACATACATCTGTGCGTGTCCCTCTAAATCGACCCCTGCCCAACACATTGCTTTCCCCTTTAAACGACAAAAACATCAAGGATGATTTAACCAAAAAAAACAAGGGCAAAAAAAAAGAGTTCCCCTCAAATAAAAGATTATCCGCATGACGTGATTAACAAATATTTACTCTGGCCTGTCCTATCTTTGCTTTACAGGATATCGCCAGATTTTTAACAAACAGTCGGCAGTAAATGTGCATGGGACTTTAGGAATGTGGCTTTCCTGTATATCAGTATTTATGACCATTAATCTGTAAAATTCTACAAAGGTACAATCTAAACAAAATTTGTGAAAAAGTTTTGGAAGGAAAGCAAATCATATTGTTAGCTTGTAACAATAACATGATCATGTGTCTGCGAAATTTTACATTGTCGAAGCAGATAAAAGAAAAAATATGTCATGCCTGCGGGAGAAAGCCCATCGAAAAGAAGAAACATATAAAAACTAGAATACTATATTCATTAGTCATACGCAGTTTGGTGCCCGTAGTCATAGCATGGGTTGTTCATAGAGCAAGGGGTTATTTATGTCTTCGTTGTGTGCAGTCATGCATGGGGGTTGTTAAGCCAGTCCCTTAACACATGGTAGCCGGTGCACACATGCACAACCACACATGTACAAAATGTACATTGTACATGTACAATGCGTTCAAGCTATATGTACATGTACACTGTACATGCATAGTCCTAAGCTATGGTGTACAGTTCAATGGTATGTCTACAATTTCTGAAGGACATTCCGCAGTTTTTTTTTTCTTTCTTGGCCTTATAGTACAGCTGAGAACTTCTGTTGCCATAGGGCAATGACGGACTGCATTTATTATTAGGACCTTGCTAAAAAATGATTTGCTGAATACCTTAAATTTATGTTGTAAGAAACTGGTTGGAGCATTCCATCAAAAGTTGCACTGTCATCGGCCTATTTTATGAGAACCCTAAATACAAATCATGTGCACCACTCTTTACAAAACAGTTATAAGTAAATGCTGTAATCATGTATGTACGCATATTCACAAGGTCAATATAATATACACAATCTTTATTAACCAATGGATCATGTTTAACTTAAGCTAATGTGGTAATATGCACACTGCAAATATGACAACATTGAACAATTCATAATCTTTTGCATTTCATATGCAATTAAATTTAGGCGAATGATATTTTTAGCGTTATTAGGGGAACATATTTTTTTTGTACCTTTAAAATCGTTGAGTCCATCTCTGTAATAATAAAATATAAGATTTGAAGAATGGATTGGAATTAAATACTGGTTACATGTAGTTTTATTTTCTTTAGTTTTGTAATATTTGAAACAGCTATATTTTTTTTTCGTCATGGAATGTGTTAAATGATTTACCATGCTAATTTTAATTCGGACTACAGATGTAACGATCCTAACCTTTAAACTAAGAAAAGTTAATTTGCTAATAAAAAGTTTGGTAGTGCTTATGTTAGTCTAAAGTTTGTCACTGGGAAGGACTTGAACAAGTTTAGTTTGGTTGTGTTTTAATAATGTTATTCTATGCGCTCCCTTCACTTTTTTGATCACGGTGCCTAGGCTTAAGATCAGGCTGGTAGAAAAAGTTGTTTCCTTTTAGTGTGAACTACAAAAAGAAAATTATTTAAATAATTATTCAGAAAGAGAAACCGGAAAGCAAGTTTCTTCTGTAGCCAAGTCAAAATCCACTTTTGTGAAATGCATGAAACAGAAAATGTCTTGACGTATTTACATACTTATTGTTCTACTGTCAACAAAAGACCAAAAAATAGTATTAACTAAATTTGCAGCAAATGTGCATCATGAAGTTGCATGAATGAACCATGTCAGTTATAGACATTACATGTACACATTTATGCTACATTTACATGAACAGTATGTGGACATGTCACCTACATTCACATGAAAATGTACATGTGATGAAAAAGTACATGAGCATGTATGTAACTTTCCTATACTTTACTGTACAGCACAGACTGCAAGTACATGTACATGTAGGCGGTCTTCATGTTCGAATTGAAGACTTTTAATACATGTAACATATATATGCAAGATGAATTTGCATAATATTAGCTTACCTAATCGCTTCTTTCTCTATCTTATTTAAATGAGTAGTCCTGGAATGCTGCATACCACAGTCCGGATTAAATTATGCAAATGACATGTAAATTAGGCCTTAACTGGATAGGAAAATGTCACAACCTCTTTTTCCTTTGCATGATCTTTTAAGTAGGAAATATGTAGAATGAAATGTTTGCTTTGATACTAGAGGGACCTTGCTTTCTGTATAGACATCTTTATGCACACCGTTGGATGTACACATAACACATGTTAGAGACATGTTGGAAAAAGTTTCCTTTTGATCATGTAATACGAAGTACTTGTAGTTGATAAGTTTAAACGGTATTAAAAAACGAAGGTACAGTTGCCTCTGGCTTGCATAGTAAAATACAAAGGAAATATGTGAGTGTGGGCTGTTTCTTTGTAAAAGGAGTGTATTCTGTGTTTCTGCTTGTCTAGGGCCAGACTAGTGTGCTCTAATAAGTACCCATAATGTTAATAGGAAGTGCTATTGTATACGATACCCTGTAATGCTAATTGGGGGGGGGGGGGGGGGGGCAGGGTCAGTTGCTCGCAGCAGACCCCACTAGAAATGTTTTAGTTCTATAAGGGACTATGCATGGTTAATGTGTTAGACAGAATAGGCACTACTTTATTCATGGTCATCTGCGCCATCTTGCTTACGAGGGCCATATTTACACACATTGCTGTGCACGCTTATTATCAATTGAAGACATTTGCGCTTCCATGTTGCAAGTCATCAGGCGATCATTTCAAAACGCGCCCGTGTCTAGCATCATCTGTTCTTTTTGCCCTATGAACAACAAGATGGTGCATATTACTGTGAAAGTGCTTATTGGCGCCATCCCTGCAGGCCCGTCACCAGCCCTGCACATGGGAAGGGGGGGGGGGGTGCATAGTATCAACAAGGGGGCCCACTACCATGAAAAATACATACATGTATGTATGCCTTTTGCCGGGGGGGGGGGGGGGGGCATAGTATCAACTAGGGGGGCCCGCTACCATGAAAAATACATATGTATGGCTTTTGCTGGGGGGGGGGGGGGGGGGCAAGCCCCACCAGCCCCCCCCCCCCCCCCAATTCCCAATTCCAGTCACAAGTTATTTAAATGAACTCTGATAAATTCCGTTATTGTAAAGTTCATCGACTTGGGATTGGACTTGTTATGGACTTGACTACAATGCAAGCAGCCATCTTTGTGCTTAGTTTTAATATAATGTTGGCTCATTAACAATGAATGAACAAGAGAACTTCCCTTTTTGGCAAAAGGACACGTCTCAGATTGCTACAGTGCAATCTGTCTATTGTGTAGGCAATGTCTTGTGGGGGATTAGCCAATCATAATCAATTGAAAATGAGGAAAGAATTCTATAATTATATCTCGACTGATCCTGTGCACAAACCCTATGAGACTGGTCTGACGTGTTTTCTCAGTAAACGCTTCAATATTTTCCCTGCTAAATTTGACTTTTTAGGACATCATGTTATCGCTTTCTGATGGCTGTTTGATCATTGCATGGAAGAGTTAGTGATGTCCATTTATGGAATTCTTTCCAAACAGGGTGTGTGCAAGTACTGGTAGTCAGCTAGAGACCAACTTCACCACAGGCTTGCTCAATCTTTTAGTAGTTTGTGTTTTTTCTTCTTAACTTAATTGTTTCAGTGTGATCATTTTCTTGGTTTGAGAGCATCATTGTGCTTTAAGTTGTCTTGTGAATGTTTTTTTTTCTTCTTTTTTTTCGTTCTGACTTTAGCTTTGAGGCAATAAAATAATGGAGCCCATGCACCTTGGAGAATTTTTTATGGATGGCAATCCATGCTTACAATTTATACGCAAACAATGCAAGACAGAGCACTGTAGCAGCCGAAAAATTCCAAATTGTTCTCCCCTATTCTTTTAAAGAATTGATTGATAATTTCACATAAATTGATGCACAAGTTATCAAGAAATGTAACACAGTTCATAACTAAGTTTTTTATAATGCATAGAAATGAAGAACTTACCCTGATCATCTGAGATGTCAGTCACTGATAGTTCCTGTGGGAAATAGAAGAGCAGTTACATAAGATGGAATGTGATTGGTTGTAAGTGCTTGTAACCTCGATTCTGATTGGTTGACAGACATCCACTTTTTTTGTGGGAGAGGAAACACCTTCGGTGACAAGTATTCAACACTTTTTTTAGGGGCAGTGTTTTCAAATAAAAGATTTTACCTTTATGTTGGAAAAAAGCATTTACAATGTAGTATACTTTCAGAAAATTGTTTATCTTTTTAACACATGCATTTTGTTTTGAAATATTTTTTTTATTTTTTTAAATTTTGATTTGTACTTTCGTTTTTGTTAATATTTTTGTAGGTGGTGTCATTTGCTTTTGTGGATTTTTTTCTTGCGGGGGGGGGGGGGGGGGCGGGGGTTATGGTTGTTAGGATGGAGGATGCTGGTATATTAAAGTTGTATTTTCCTCTTGAACTCCAAATATACATTTTGTATTTGTTTTATGATAGTAAGGAGCAGGAGGAGGGGGGGGGGGGGAGGGGCCTGCGTCATAGGTCTGTAAAATCGAAACTTTAAATTAGCAAGTAAATGAAAGAAAAGATATGTCGACACCATTTTAGCAGCGCCCTCATTCGCTCATTCTTAAAAACTTTACACATCCTAGACTTCTACGAACAAATGCAGGCACAAATGGATGAAGGGGACCTGATCATTCTGTATTATGCAACATTTTAATACAAATTCGCGATGTAAACATAAGCGGTCAACACTATCGACTCGCGTTACGTTGGCACAAAGTTTTAAGTTAAAAGAGTTCAATATCAAGGTCAGAGATGGCAGTAAGAAAAGTAGATTTCTTGGTCCTGGGAGGAGGTGCCAGTGGTTTGTCTGCTGTTTTTTACCTTCAGCGATTGCTTGGAGAGCGGCTTAAACGAGTTGATTTGGTGGACGAAAAACCTCAGTTTCGAAACAAAGTGAGTTACCGCCACCACAATACCGGCTTCACTTTACATGCTTAATAATTTGTACACACGAAAGTACACATGACATGAAGCACTGCTATGACCTAGCTGGAGTTACCTAGCCCCATAATGTGGCCAGTTTACTGGACTGCCTCCGTAAACATAGGCCACACATCCACATGTACAAAAATCGTGTCGACGGAGCCAAATTTTGATTTTCACATTTAGGCTTAGTTTGTAGGTTTTTTTGCTTTAGAAGCATACTCACCCTCTTTACAGGCTAATCAGAAAGTGCTGCCTTTTTCAGATGTATATTTTTCGTGAAATTTCCAGATTCATTTTTACACGTTTGCGTATCAAAATTTCAACATGAAATTTCACAAAAATTAGACATCTGAAAAAGGCAGCACTTTCTGATTAGCCTGTAAAGAGGGTGAGTATGCTTCTAAAGCAAAAAAAACCTACAAACTAAGCCTAAATGTGAAAATCAAAATTTGGCTCCGTCGACACGATTTTTGTACATGTGGATGTGTGGCCTATGTTTACGGAGGCAGTCCAGTAAATAGGCCACATTTATGGGGCTAGAGTTACCCAGCCCTGAGTTTTATCATTGGGTTGTCATCTAGATGACAACCCAATGATAAAACTCAGGGCTGGGTAACTCCAGCTAGGTAATCCTTACTTTTAGGACCCCTTTCCTATATAAGGTTAAAAGACTCACCAAAACAGCTGACTATGACACTCAAAAGTGACATTCTGATATTTATTGACACATTTGAACATTTGGCAATGACACCTCTTGAACATCAGCAGGTTTAATTTTGTAGAAAGAGGGCAGGGTTTTGATTTATGAGGGGTTGAAGACGACGATGACAAACAGAAAATAAATTTTAAAAGCAAGATGGTGAACTGCAAAAAAAGGTAGGAAAGTCACATTTTCTTTGAAAGTGCTTTCAAAATTATAACTAACATGAGTTTGTCTGAAGAAAAAAGACTTCTTTAGCCTGCAAAAGTCACTTTGGTACTGGACAGTCATCTGCAAAAGTCAGTTTTGAACAGAACTCGTACAAAATAGAGGTGTCCTAAAAGTTAGGATTACCTCCAGCTAGCTATGACCTAGCCCTAGGCCTAAAAATCTTGCATGTTCGTTAATTACTGAAGTGCAGATTTCTAGACTACAAAATAATGGTTTTCTTTCATCTTATTACTTTACATGCTTTTAAAAATGTAAATTAATACATCATTGTGTAGCTTGAGTAACTCCAGCTTAACAAGCTCATCAGGAATTCCTGATGAGCTTGTTAAGCTGGAGTTACTCAGGCTAATCATTGTGTACATTTGTGACATGATGATCAACGATGACAATGCACAGTCCTGTAAACTGGTAAAAGAAAAAGCGACGTCCCATATCCTGATAATTCTAGTTCAAAACGTTTGTTCACTTCTTCATTTTTAACTCCTTTATTCCTCCGTGATTTGACATAAAGTAAATTAGCATTTCTGCCCGCTTCCTCTTTGTCGGCCGCTTGGATTAAAAAAAAAAAAAAAATTGAAAGGAAAGCAAAAATGTTGACCGATCCATTGGAAAATAACATACTTGCAAGTCGGAACTTCTAATTTTAGACTGGGTCGGTCACTTCCCACATCATGCAGTGGAACCTTCCAACTCCAATCTAAACCAGCCTCGAGGGTTGATCGTTTTCGTGAGAAAATTGCATAGCGGCATGCATGCCATGCAGGCACCGTGTCCTTGAGGCAGTGTTTATTAATTCTTGCAAAACCGTGCTAGAAAACTATTAAAAACACTGTTACAATGTTAAATTCTCTTGTCCCGCATGTCTGTTAAATTTTTTTGTATCTTTGAACAGTGTAAAACCAATGGATATAGGCTATCTTGAAATAAAAAATTAAAAAAAATAAAAAAGCCCGCCCCCCTTTTTTTTTCTTTATAAACCTGGACGCTAAACACGTTTTGTTTTACTTGGTCTTACATGTTTATCATCGTTATCATGCTACATAATAGTTTTAATAATCAATATGTTTGCAGATTGCTTTGTTAGAGGCTAGCCCGCACATTGGTGGATGGATTCATTCAACGAGAACTCCAGAGGGCAGTATTCATGAGGCAGGGCCACGCAGCATGCGACCCGCAGGCATCGTTGGAAGGAATTCGCTGAATCTTGTAACTACTTGGATTTCAGATTCTTGTCTCCTTATTTGCTACCAAGCGAGATCATGGAAACAGACCTCCCCTCCCTGAAGCCGCTGGCCAACAAGATCATGTTCATGCACGAGTGACGTGATTGTTTTCAGTACAGAAATCAGGTTTTTAACCCTTGTGGCCCAACAATGATCTTCAACAGTCAGTTGAGACCCAATAAAGTGACACAAAAGAGGGCCAGGGTCGGAGGGACAAGGTGATATATGTATACCACTGCCAGGGCCTGATAGATGAGTTGATAGCCATGCAAGGCTGTCACTGGAATGTCTTTTATTATTACTTTGGAAAGACACGACGATTTGTTGAGCTGCTGTCTGCAGCTGGACATATTTTACTAAATGTGGAGAGACACAACAATGTTTTAAAACTTGCTTTAAACAAGTGAACCAACATATTTTCCCAAACCTTTAACTGGGGAAAGTTGTAACCTCGGCATGCCTTTTAAGTAATTAAAAAACTAAAAAAAAACAAGATCATAGTTGATGATTGTTGATCCAGAAAGCATCGTTTTTCTGATATTGGGGTGATTGACTTTAATACAGAATGACAACATAAGTATCTGTTTCATTTATTAAAGGGAAAATACAACATTTGCAAACATCAAAAAATAAAACTACCAAATCATTTTGAAATACGTTGCTGGACTGTTAGTGAATGACAGTGTAAAGCATCCTGTAAAATCATGGCACCTGGTATACTGTCATTTTCAAGAAAAGTGGTATTTTTGTATCAATTTCCAATGCTGATCGGCCGATCAGCGTTGGAAAAAACTGGCTTTTTTTCAAATACTGGCCCCAGTTCACCATCGCACTTGTTTGCAATCGATTACACACCTATGAACGGGTACAAGCTAGCTAATATATGTAAACTGCTCTGTTTCTTCTTAAATGGAGTCAGGGAACCAGACTACAGGAAAACGATTGTTTTTCTTGGTTTTTATAGCATTTTCGAACCCAAAACCTCAAAAAAGTCAGTGTAACTATATTTGCTATATATTTCCAACCCCCCAATTCCATCCATTTCTGAAAATTACAGCAACAGCAAATGATGTATATTCCCTTTAACAAGATCTTTCTTATAAAAAAAATAACCTTCAAATGTTGTCTTTATGACAAAAAAAAATAGGCATCATCTCTTGGGCTTGACGATGAGGTGATTCCAGTTCTGCGCTCCCACCCTGCAGCGCAGCGAAGATTTACCTTCACGGGTGGGAAGCTGCACCAATTTCCATCAAGTTTCGCCACATTGCTGACGAGGCAGGAACCGTTCTCCCGTCCGTTGGCGGTCGACTTGGCCCGGGAGGTTTTAGTCAAGAGATCAAAGGGTGAAGACGAGAGCATGTTTGACTTTGGGGTGCGCCGTTTCGGGAAAGAGGTGGGTTGATGGTTAGTAAGGACGTTGGACAGATGTTTGAAATTGCTGTAGTTTAAATGAGTAAAAAGTTGCTTGCAATTTTGGTTCAATCTTTGCTTCAGCAATTACAGTGCATCTGATTGTGTCCTTGAGGAAGTTATTTTACCATCATCTTCCAGCCAGTACCATTGGTTGTACATGTAGGTTTAATACGTCATTGTAGGTACTTGTGTTAGGTATGGTGACCGTCTTCGAGCCATGCCACTGACTGTAGGTGTAGGTGTCCAAGGCATGGTGCCACAATCTTGTAGCCATTGTCACTGACTGTGGATTCAAGTCCATATACAGGTCCATAACACCAATTATGTTGTGTCCCTGACCAAGGTATGGTGCCACAATCTTCCATCCAGTGCCACGGACCGTAGGTGTAGGTCCTTGTGTCCACGTGCAAGGCATGGTGTCCCAATCTTGCAGCCATTGTCACTTACTGGGGATACAAGTCCATATACAGGTCCATAACACTAATTGTGTCGCGTCCCTGAGCAAGGTATGGTGCCACAATCTGCCATCCGGTGCCACTGACTGTAGGTGTAGGTCCTTGTACTTGTGCAAGGTGTATGGTGCCACAATCTTGCAACTATTCCCACTGACTGTATAGATACAAGTCCATGTGCAGGTTCACAACACTAATTGGGTCGTGTCCCTAGTCTAAGCAAGGTATATGGTGCCACAATCTTCCAGCCAGTGCCACTGACTGTAGGTGTACCGTAGGTCCTTGTGTCCTTGTGCAAGGTATGGTGCCACAATCTTGCAGCCATTGCCACTGACTTCAGTATATGCATACAAGTTCATATACAGGACCATATCACTTGCGACCTTGTGTCCCTCAGCAAGTTACGCTGCCACAATCTTACAGCCAATGCCATTACATTAGGTTTAAGTCCTCATGTCCATGAGCAAGGCACGGTGCCACCATGTTACAGCCTGCTCTACTGATAGTATAGGTTCAAGTCCATATAATCTCGGGGATCAGGGGACCATAACACTTGTTTCCTGGTGTCCTTGAACAAGGCATTTTGTCATAATCTTATACTAATTTCACTTACAATTGGTTTTTAATCCCCATTCAGGCCCTCCCCCCCAAAAAAAAATACTACTACTAATCAAAATAATAATAATAAAAAAAAAAGGAAAGAATGAGTCATAATATTTTCTGATTTATTTTATAGATTACAGAAAACTTGATCGACCCTTTCTGTCGGGGAGTATTTGCCGGGAAGACCACAGAGCTCAGTGTGCGTTCCTGTTTCCCACAGCTGTTCAGTTTTGAGAGGCAGCGCGGCTCAGTAATTCTAGGTGGCCTTCTCGGGCCGACCGGTAAGTAATTACCACGACACTTGAGGGGTCTGGGTGCAAGATATAGTTACTCATTTCTTTACCCATTCTGGTTCTGCCCCACTACCTGAACATTCAATGGTATATGGGTTCGTCGTCATGGAATATTAAGACAATGAAATGCAATGTATTAACCCTTACCTTACCAACTCTATCAAAATCCATCCCCCAATTTTGGTGGATTTTGGGGAATTGGTCCTGCTGGCCTGGTTTAACTAAATTTTGATGGAGTTTGATGGAATTGGCCTGAAACTGCTGGGGAATTCAACGCATTTTGCCTGGCATCTGGTACTGCTGTTTTCTAGTAAGCCTTGTGTACGAAGTCCATCAAAATCCACCAGCACTTCAGTGTTGGATTACATTATGTCATGTATGATGTATATGAAGAAGAGTGAGTGATGGATTTCGAAAGACATGGTCCAATAGCAAAAGTAAGTAGTGAGTTAAAGTTAAAGATGCTAATTGGCAGTGCTGTCTACAGGTAAAGATGGAACTGAAGATCAAGAATTTTCTCATGCTTAAAAATGATTTTCCATTCCTCATCACACTCCCCAAATTTACCTTTTCCGATATCACTACAACAACCTGTTTTGCATGTTTTGATATATAACTCTATGCTCATGAATTATCACATGTGCGTTTCTGTTATCCTGTTCATACTTTTCTTCTAATTAGCCATCGACCCAACTGTTGGGGAAAGTGATCTTGTCCGTCGGGCTAAGAAAGAAAGATGGTCCATTTGGTCATTAAAAGGTAGGAACTAATTAAAGGGAATATACATCATTTACTTTTGCTGTAGTTTTCAGAAATGGATGGAATTGGGGGGTTGGAAATATATAGCAAATATAGTTACACTGACTTTTTTGAGGTTTTGGGTTCGAAAATGTTATAAAAACCAAGAAAAACAATCATTTTCCTGTAGTCTGGTTCCCTGACTCCATATAAGAAGAAACAGAGCAGTTTACATACATTGGGGAATTGTAAGGTCAGGGAACCAGTCTAGCTGGCTTGTACCCGTTCATAGGTGTGTAATCGATTGCAAACAAGTGCAATGGTCAACTAGGGCCAGAATTTGAAAAAAAAGCCAGTTTTTTCCAACGCTGATTGGCCGATCAGCGTTGGAAATTGATACAAAAATACCACTTTTCTTGAAAATGACAGTATACCAGGTGCCATGATTTTACAGGATGCTTTACACTGTCATTCACTAACAGTCCAGCAAGGTATTTCAAAATGATTTGGTAGTTTTAATTTTTTGATGTTTGCAAATGTTGTATTTTCCCTTTAAAAAGAAAAGCCTGTTCTAGTAGTGTTAAAACCTTAAAAAGGAGGATGTTTGTTGGTCCAAGAGGCGATGTCCTCGCACTGACTGACTGACTGTTGATCACTTGTGAGCCAGGCAGTGCCATCGTATAGAATTAACCCATAATGTCAATGAATAGGCAAAATCTGGTCCGCTGTGTTGACCAGATGCTTAAAACATGTAAAAAGAATAGCCGTTCTGAATCAGTTGAATAGAACTTTGTGTGTACTAGCTTCAGTAGGCTTACCTGTTGTTGCTCAGCATCTCATAGGTTTAGTGCTGATCAATCTCATTCTACAGGAGGGCTTCAGTGTCTTGCTGAGAAACTCAGCGAAGTCGTGCAGCGAAACGGGGCCGAAGTGCGGACACAAATGCCGTGCACCAAGATTGAGTTTGTCCTGAAGGAAAATGGCGGGAACAAAAAGGTACGCATACGTGATTTTACAATGCGCATTTTACAAAGCACATTTAAAAGTTATTTCTAATCCAGGTGTGTTAAATTGCCATCTCTCTAGCAATACATAGTTAATCTAAGATATCAAACTTCAGTACAGCACCACTACTCATATAACATTCAGTACTTAAAAAAGGCCTTTTTTTGCAAACAGATTGCCCGAGTACACACCGCTGAGTCAGTTTGGGAAGCAGACAGGTTGATATGCGGAATACCAGCTGCAAGTATGTGTATCCTGTCTCGTGATTGGTCATACATGTTTTTTGTTGTTTGTTTTGTAGCCAATCAAGAGAGATTATGTGATTGGCCATGTTCCACATGTGTGAAAGCTGTCATGTGATTGCATATGTAAAATACTGTGGAAACTCCTTGATAAAGAATCCCAACTGTTTAATGTCTTTATACTGCATTTTTTTTACCCAGGCCTGTTGATAAGGGGGGCCGGGGAAGGGCCCCCCCCCCCAATCGACAAAAACTATGAGCGTAAAGAGCAACCACAATTGTGATTTTTTCGTGTGGTACTGTGGCCCCTTCTTATGCCCATAGCTGGCGAAAATGGTATGATTGGTTGCCCCAATGGCAGAAAGTAATTCTTCAAAATAGAACAGAGCTTTGAAGAAATACGTGAATGAAAAACGGCTACACTTTGGAAAATATTGGCAAAGCTTACCCTTGATTCTGCTATCTTGGTATCCTGTAATGCGCCTCAAAGTGTACTCAAAGTGAGTTAATGTACTCAATACTCATGTCACTGCACAATGACTCGCTCGAGACAGATTAATTATCAGCCATGTTACTACGCATGCATGAAAATTGTCTGCTGATTGATCAAAAGCAAATCACATAATTGCTGCAGGGTTTGCTGTCCTGACAATCAAGCGAGGTTTATCCGCCATGTTTTATACCATGCATGCATGAAAGCTTAACAATGATTGGTCTGTGGCATGTCACATGATTGTTATGAGGTTTATTTTTTTGTTATTACTTATTCCCCTGTATTTATACCTAGCATTCATTAAGCTGTCTTCTGATTGGTCTGTGTCATGTCACATGATTTTTATTAGGTTTGTTTTTAATCACTTATTTCCCATATTTTATACTGCACCTTGCATGCATGAAAGCTGTCTTCTGATTGGTCAAGGCACATCAAAAATTTTTCCGATTTTTAATTTTTTTTTTTGCAATGCACATTCTACACCATGCATGCATGAAAGCTGTCTTGTGTTTGGTCGATTCCATCTCAATCGGTTTTTATATTTTTGTAATAATTGTAACTGAAGCTTGCCAGTACAGCAACTCTTTCAACTCGGTCATGCAAAGAAAAAGGAGACCTTTAGTTTTTATGCGATCCCATTTATGACAGCTGCATGCTGTTTTGCAGGATTGTCGGTATAGCATCCTGTTTTTTTTCCAGATCTGGCAGAAGTACTTCCTGTTGACCTCTCACCCTTATCCCTGCATCTCCAGCAAATACAGAGCGTCACAGCTGCAGTAGTCAATCTAGAGTTTGAGGGCTCCCACCTCCCCACCGAGGTATAAGTATACCATCAATTCCTGACACCCCATCCTCCCCTTACCCCAAAAAATTCCCCTCCCCACCCCACATCTGCTGTTCTCAGTCCAGAGTTTTAGGGCTCCCACCTCCCTGATCCCCCCACTCTCTCCTGACTTCCTTTCTGACATTCCCACCCCCAAACTCCCCCACACCCATCTCACCTGAGCCCCTTCCCATGGCATCCCCCATCCCATCCCCATATACCAAGAAGAGTTCAATGCACAAGACTGCATTAACATCGCTCCGCGTTAAACAAAGGTTGAATTCCATTAGAACTTTTCACAGTTTTTCCCCCCCCCCTTTTTCACACTTCAGGGCTTTGGTTATTTGGTGCCTTCGCGAGAACCATCAAACGTGCTTGGGGTGATTTTCGACTCGTGTGCATTCCCGCAACACGACAGGCCAGAGATAAAGTCAACACGAATGACGGTAAGTGTTTGTGTCTTTGTTTGCAAGAAAATGTTGTCCTGAGAAATAATATTTTGATTTTGAAACAGGTTGAGATTGGTGAAAAATTGAAAAAAAATTCACATATTAATCTGCAGTTTCCAAGGGCACAAATTGAGGACTATTTATTTGTATTTTTCTGAATGCACTGCTTAAAAAAACCCATTTTTTTTCTTGTTCTATATCACTTTTTATAAGTACAAAGACTTTTACGGTAAGATCTATCAAGTGTCCAGATTTAAAAGCAGTTCTTTAAGAATTCTGAAATTGGGGAAAACAATGGAAAAACAGCCCAAAATCAAGTACTGTGGACAAATGCCACCCCCGTGTACCACACTGATGTACCATGCAGTACTCGTTTGGGGGTAGTTATTTTTTTGGTGATATATAAAGAGTAACAGGCAGGGCGGTTTAGGGCAGAACAGGGACTAATGAAAATGTTGTTTGTTTCTCCCAGTGCATGATGGGAGGGGCCTGGTTCCACGACCTCTTTGGTGACCCAGATAAGGTGGATTGTGATTGGCTGGCTTCGGTTGCCTTGGCGACGCTGAAGACCCAGATAGGGTTGAGCGCAAAACCGACATATTGCCGAGTCAATTTATCCAAAGACTGCATTCCAAACTACAAGGTTAATCACCACAGACTCTTAGGTAAGTCAAAAGGTGGTTTAAGGATACTAGAAAAGGGTGGAGGGGGGTCAACAGAAATGCAAGTAAAAAAGATTTTGTTTATAGCAAGGGATGAGCATTAGCAAATGAATGCCCTTGTTGCCGTTTATTTGATGATTTAGTATGGTACCACAGGCAAACTCCTTGCGATCACTACTCTTGCATTGTGAGACTAGGAGCTAGTCTTGGGTACTTGTCCCATGGTACTATACCAACCAATAAAAGAAGAGCATTTGGCTCATAAATATGTATGAGCTAATCACTACAATGTGTTTTGTATGTTTGCAGAAACTATAGATGCCTACGTTGCAGATAATGACCTACCTCTGACCCTCGTTGGTTCCTCCTACAAAGGCGTCAGCGTCAACGACTGCATTTACAACTCTAGGCTCGCTGCCCAACGTCTAGTGCCCGATGGTCAACTTGCAGTATGACAAACGTAATCTAGAATAGAGTGGTTCTTGCAACAGATGCAGAAATGTGCTGTGTCGGTTGCAAGCCAGTGAACAGGCCAAAAAATGCCTTCACCGACCAAATCACAGTACATTTGTACATGTATGTCCCCTCTAATAATAATCTCATGGGGTCAATAATTGGGATGCCCATGTTTGCCAAGGCAACCCATCGAAAATATTTTTTTTAATACATGTATTAGAAAATATTTACTTGTTTACTTGTTTTAGAAAAACATGTCAAAAACACAAGTGTACACTACAGTACAGCAACCGTTGACATGAAAAGCCAGTTTTAATTATCACCATTTCTGAATGGTTTATTTTTTTTTTTGCTGTTCTTCCATGAAATAGTAAGGCCAAAAAAAAATAATTGTTCAGCTTCTGATTACATGGCATTCGAAAAAAGGGTACGATCATATGGAGGCGTCAAGGCGTCTGCGTGTAGTCAAGGGTAAAAGGTAGTAATTGATGGTTTTGGGTGTTTAGACCCAACGTTCTCACGCGCGAACACCAGGCATTCCCGTGTTCCCAGTGAGAACAGCGCATATTCTCCGGTGTTCCCTGGTGAAACGTTCCAAGCGTTCCGACTTGTAAGACATTTGCATATTTTGAATAAGGAGACTTTCTTTTCATATCCATTTTGAGTATAGCTCCAAATGAAACCAATGCGTTTTGAAAACCAACTAGACAACAATATGTATAATATTGCCGCCTTTTTTTGAATTATGAATATAAATGTTCTTTCATGATTTGTTATAAAACACATGAAACACTTTCTTAAAAAAAAAATTCTTCGAAAGATATTTTGATATACATGTATATTGATTTGATGTTGCAATAAAATATAGTGTATTAAAATCTATCATCCTTTGACAAAATGTTTTTTTTGTAAATTGAAATATTAAACAAAAGACAGAATTATTCTAAATCAAAGTAAAGGGAAATAAACATGCAGTCCCTAACAATGATACTTTGCTTGGAGTATGTTCCTTGCGTTTTTGATTTCTATAAAAAAAAAACGAAGCGCACACACACATTTCTGTTTTTGTTTTAAACTTAAAAGGTATTTTATGACCATCGAATCCTCCCAATTTTTTTTTCACTTTAACTTACATGACGAGGATCCTTTGACTGATTTCTCAGTGTCAAGTTGGGTAGTGCAAATAAGTTAGGAAGGAGGCAACACGAAGGTTTTAGTTGACGCCCTTCTGTGCAGTTCTCTTGTGGTTCATTTATGCACCTGTAAGAGTCAGGGCAAGCAATTAAAAAACAAGGCAGTTACCCAAATTTAAAATGATATCAGGACGAGGCTAATGTCAGCAGTAAAATAGTGGTACTCGTGTAGTTTAGGACACCTCGTATGTTTTTAAAACATACAAGTTCAATTCATAAATCAAAACCCTGCAGGTCTCTTTCCAAAAAAAATTATGCTAACTCAGATGGGCTGGTATATTCAGCATGATATCTTAAAGAACTAAGTTTAGATGATTCCAAACACAAAAAGTGTCTTTCCCTGCTTGTATCATAGCCAAATGTTTAGGCATTAAAGTTCCAAAACATAAAAGTGTCTTTTCGTTTTCTCATATGGAACAGGGTTCTAAACTACACGATTTTACAAAATAGTCGTCTTTCTCCCAGTACATACAAATCAGGCAGTAGTAGGCAAAGTAAATAAAATAGTTATGGACCCTGTTGCAATAAAATAATGAATATCAATTTTCAGGGTATTGTCGGAATTACCAACTACATGTAGTTAGCAACATTTGAAACCAGAAGGATAAGACTGTTGGCAAAACGCAAAGCACAAAAATATAAAGATCAGTGATGGCGACAAATTATTCTATTAGGCAAAACCGTGTTGGCATCAACTGTAAAAAGGAAAACGGGTAAGAAAATCATATTTTCTACCAAAAGATGCTGTTCAAAATTACAAATATTATAAATATGTCAGAAATTAAGAGAATTCTGCTTTAAGTTGCAGAAGTCATTTTGAAACGATAAAAAAAAAACCACTGTTCTTGACTCCAAGTTTACAACTAAAACTTAAAAGACAATCTCCAGATTGATGAATTCAGAATAGCAATAGGCATAGCTTATACTAGATCCTAAAATATGTAACATGTAAACATAACTAGGCTAGCTAGATGTTTTGCAACCTCCCAATTTTAAGAGTCAGTAAGTCTATCTGTATACATCTGTTATGTCTAAGTAGTAGCCCAGGTGGACTCCCTTATTACCTCCCTACGTTACGGAGACGTGATGCAATAAAGACGTCGTCCAACCCGGACTAATTAACTATAGGTCTAATAATACGTGTAGGCCTAGACAAGTTTACAAAATTTCTCCACACAATTCTATTTTTTTGCAGGGCTTAAAATCGCACTTTAATGCTCTTCAGAAATCCTTAATCCACCACATTTATCTATAAATGCTTGCAGTTACAGTGAAATAAGCCCTGTGAATAATCTACAGAGGTATAACTGTGAAAATTATACTTGAAAACTTAAGCAAATTTTACGTACCTGTCATACTGTAAAAAGTAGACGCAGGACTAAGCCCGCCAAAAGTCACTGCAACGCCAACGCGTAGTTCACTTTGTATGTTTTCCACCAGAGGCAGATTTCCAGCCTTGACTCCATGGGCCGCGTGCGCATTCCATCACTAACCCCTGGCCGTGTGTCGTGTGGGCGTGGTAGGAACAAACATGACGCAGGAGATCGTACGCATGGCAACGAGGTTGGACACATTTCATGGCGCGAACTACATGTTCTTAAATTCAAAAGTTGTACAGCATCCAATTTGTTTGTTTGTGTGCTAGTTACTCCAGTCAGAGTCGTCAGGGAACCAGACTGATCTAAAGTATGAAAAGTTATGATTTTCCAAGTGACAATCAGAAGCAATAAATTAAAATTACCAATCTTAATTTTACAATTAAGGTGTCCCTTTTATGGGCCTTAGGCACGATCGAGTTGGCCATTTTTGTCGAGTTTCCTGAATGTATTTCATTAATTGTTATCTGTTATATGGGATGGCGCCAGACTCTTTATGCAGGCATATATAAATGCAGCCTTATTTTACTGTCATTTTGGGTGTTTTTTTTATCTGGCTTTTACTCATTAGGGAATGTTTAAGTAAACATTAAGGAATTACAAATTTTAAATTATTCATGGAAGCAGACTGGAATTAATTAATTAACTTGCTTTCATTTCTCTTCGCAAGTTCCAAAAATTAAGATTTTACCTCATTTCAATTCAATATGTCGCGACTCGTGCTAGCCCATTGCAATGGGTTTCCCATGTCATTAGCCTGTGAAATATTACATTTCAAGGTCGGTCGGAATTAGAAATAAAAATCCAGACAGGGTCGACGGTAATAAAGAGTTGTACATTTCTTTGTGTGTTTGGTCGGGAGCCCAAAATAGGGTCTGTCGGAAAAGGGGAACCAAAGAAATAAGAAGGTATGTGTACCCTCAGTGAAAATCATCATATTCACCTATACATGTTTTTTGTGGATATGTGGATGCAAAATTAAGAATAGCTGATGTCAATGTCAAATACTGATAGAGGAAGTGACAGTATGCAAGGCAAACTGGAAAACTGTCTTAGCCAAATATACTACACATAAATGTATACGTATGGGTTGTCCAGGATTACATAACTTCCCAATGACTTCATTTCTTGGACTATCAACTTTCCATAACTCCTCATAAAAATAACAATATTCCATGACTTTACAATGGCTTTCCATATGAAAGCTATAAATTCCAGGAATTTTCCATGACTGTGGCTGAACCCTGTAGTTCAGCATGTCCAGTGGAAGTCTTTTCATGCATCCAGTCTACACAATTAATGGGGCAGATTTAGCCTATTCATTGGTGTTAACTTGGGGGGTATCCTATACGATAGCACTGCACAGAAAACAGGGGGGGGGGGGGGTGTTGTTGAGTGAAGACGTGCCGGGTCCCCCGTGAATTGTTTTTGGAATCCACGATGTAGTTGGATACATAAAAGTACCGGTGTCATATGAAAATCGGACTCGTATGAAAATCGGACTCTTTTTTACTTTTATTGGTTAAACCCTCTCACGTGACCGGTCGCTCTCCTAATTGTCTATGAATGAGCATGCGCAATACCACCAATGAGTCCGTATTTCATAAGAGCTAAATGCATGCTACACCGGTACCTGGTACCACCATGGGCGTCGCCAGGATTTTTTCTAGAGGGGGGCAAAAGAAATTTTTGCCAAAAAATGCTTGTATTTCTCAACACATTCTCGATTTATCAGTTTTAGAGGGGGGGGGGCAGGGACATTTTGCCCCCCCACTTACACCACTTTGTCTTCGCGCCTGTTTTTCTTTTCTTTTTTTCCCTTTTTTTTCTTCCTTTTTTTTTTTTTTCTTTTCCAGGGGGGGGGGGCAAGTGCCCCCCCTTGCCCCCCCCTCGCGACGCCCATGGGTACCACCAAAAAATGATAGTAAAGAAAGTTTGTGATCACTTTAGTCACACAGCCAATTAATTTCATTATCACAGGAACATAAATGAATGCTTTCCATCTAGTAATCATAAAAATTAAAACCTCTTTGAAATATAATGCCAAGTTCAATAAAAGTTCATAAAGTTCACAATTAAGTTTTATGTTACATTGTGTTTTATTGCAAATCTATAGTTGACATGCACAGTGCAATGTACATAAATATACAGTCACTGAAATGTAATACAATGTACCAACGAAAAACAGAAACCAAAAATGTTTCGCACGTAATGAGCAGGAAATTCCCACAAAGATTGTAACAGTTTTTATTGTTTGGACATTCCCTCAGTACACAAACAATGTGAGTTGAATGCTTATGTTTCAGAGTTTGTGTATAAACATTGCGTGGTTGGTTGTTCTGCATCTATGTTTAAATCAACATCTACCTGTACATGTACATGTATCTCATACAAAATAGCACATGGGCTGTACAAAAATAGTGCTATCAAAATGTCATCACATCATGTAGTATTAACCACTAGGGGAAACTGACTAGGTACAATTTGAAATGGATCAACGAACCTGAATGAGGCGGGATTTGAGCCAGCGACCTTTGGAACACTGTTCTGGGTGTTCTACCAAATGAACTACCAAGCCCTATGTTGGCAATCTGCCAATTTGTTAACATTGCTCTCTCAAGCTATTTTCAAATATCACCTCCATGACAGATTTATTTGTTTTTTTCCTTAAGATATTGCAATTAATTCTGAATGAGGCATCAAATGAAAGAAATTAGAGAAATTTGGAGGAATAGAAAATACGATAGTTATAGAAAAATTATTTCACAAAATTGGAATTTTAGCGGTCCAACAATATGGCCTAGTCCGAGTATCATCCGTTGTTCCACAGAGCCTTAGATCTGCCTAACCAACATCTGATATGTGTATGCATGCAAACTTTATGTGACCCCACAAGCCAACCAATCAGAATTGACTTTAGAAATAGTGACATCATTTTGATCAGAAATGTGGACTATAAACTGTTGACTGGCCAATTTGGCTGCCATGTTTTTGTAATATCACTCCCGCCGAATGGTCAGAATCTCGAGGTCAAGACGCTTCTTGTTTTGCATAATTAATTTTGCTCTATCTGCTCGCATATCTTAGACCCTTGCTATGCCAGGGGATAGTTTGTGTGTTACAGATGCAAAGGTGACCCGAAACATTAACTTGAAAATACCATGTAGCCAATGTTACAAAGTTAATAGCAACCATGCACAAAGACACTGACAATTTGGGCGACTGCCAACATAGGGATAGACAGCTCAGTTTGTAGAGCACCGTACGGTATTCCAATGACCACTGGTTCGTTATTCCACTCCAGTCAATTTCCCTGTTCAACTTCTCATTGAATTTTCAAAATTTCTTCTAAAAGGTCCTTATTAGCATTGCAACCATATTTGAGGTGCCAAAAAGCAGTGTTGTATTCGAGTCCCTGCAAGTCCATCACAAGTCCATCACACGTCTTCCAGTCTCAAGTCAAGAGGCTAGCCATTCAAATGAGCTGTTACAAAAGCATTCCTTTGTCATGGTTCAACCACTTTACTTGCGACTGGCTTTATGAAAGGACTTGTGATGGACTCGAATACAACACTGCCAAAAGGATACACACGAGTAGACCTTTATCAATTTTTTTTTTAAATCCGCAAAAATCCGCAAAAATTGAAAAAACCTCAAAACATGGCGTCGAATGCAAATAGGTTTTATAGAAATCTAGGTTGAAGAAAATCTACAGCAAGCATATGTAATGCTATACCATGGGCGGGGCTAAGAAGTACAATCGGAGGGGGCACAGTCTATCTCCCAGCTTACAAACAAATGCAACTTTTCTTCACCAAGTGAAAATTTACCTAAAAAAACACAACAATTCCGTTATTCACGACAAACACAATATTATTTGTTTACTAATACATGTACACACATGATGAAATACACGATTTCTTCACAGTTTACAAACACTGACCCCCTTCTTCCTTAAAAAAAATCCTTATAAAATGTTCGGAGGTTGAATTTACGAGTTATGTACAAAAAGGGCGAGTTATAATAGTCCAGTAAAATAAAATTTACACACATCTGGTTGCTGGCATAAACAAGAGAATTTATACACACCTAAAATTACGGGGGATAATACACGTGCTTTGCATTGTAGTCTTAAATCTTATTTCTCTTCATGAATTGTCACTGAAGTCTTTTTACAATGTACATGATTGAAAGTGCATGCAAAGTGATTTTCTTCACTTTGAAAATGGGTAAACTTCTGTTGATGTGCTTGCAAAGGTTGGCACATTCCAACTTGGGCACGTTTCTCACTTGGGTTGCTAGCCAGAAGCCAGAGCTTGATTTTCAGCTTGAGGTGCAAAACCCTTATGCACAGGAGTGGTTTTAAAAACTTTCTAAAACAATCCATAAGTTTCACATCTTCATGTACAAAGCTTCAAATTCGTACCGCAATTCATTAAAAGGGAATGAACAATATATAACAAAATATTTGGGGAAAAAACAAGATTAGGTTTGTTTTTTTCAAACTTGCATTGAAAGAATTTTCTTGCATATCAAAAAACCTGACAAATATCCTTTTTTAAACAAACCTGTACAAAAGTTTCCCAGATTCCCCTTAAAAAAAAAATGCTAAAAATACCTCTTCTGATCTTCAGAGAAGCTCAAAATGTTTTTTTATTTTCATTTTTAAATTTTTTTTATAACTCCAAATCTGTTTCTGATCAACTCAGTAGTACCTGAACAGCCCCAAACCACCCTGCCTGTTTCTCGGTATACTGCCAAAAGCAGTGTGGTTAATGGCTTCAATCAGGGATTCAATACAATGTGATACATTATAATACAATGTATTACAATGTAATACAATGTATTACAATGTAATACAATGTATTACAATGTAATACAATGTAATACAATGCAATACAGGTGCCAATGGTTAATGATTTCCACCTGAAAATACAACGTGTGCATCAAACAATCACAAAACATCATTTGGACATTTAGGAAGATGGTCGGACAAAAAAACTAAATACTGATTTTTTTCTTCCCATTTTTGTTAATAAAAAATTATCAAATAACACATTTACTTCTCAAGGAAAAAGAAAGAACAACAAGCTAGTTGGGATGACTTAATCTCAAGACTTATCTATTTGATGTAAAACTTGGCTTCATTTAAAGGAACAAAATTACATTGCAGCTTTTCAGTTTTGTAATATTTTTATAAGAGGAATGGTTTAGTATTTTCAAATTCAAACGGATGTTGAGGTCAACAAAAATTTGGAAAAACAAAATCAACACCTAAAGAACGTAAATCATGTACGAATACTGATGATAAAAACTCAGACAATTTCAGCCTTTTTCATGTTTGTTACTATCATAATTCCACATAGAGAGTGCCATAAAAACAAGATGTCTGGTGTCTGATGTTGTTTCAATGTTACAAGCATGCACATGCAGGCCAGACACCATGTAATTTTTGAAAGATTCAACTGACATGATGTAATTTAAACTTTACTGCTGATGACATGACATTCATTGATTAAAACTTGACCTTTGCATGTGAAAAAAGAAAGAAAAAAATCCATTGTGTTTTGTGAAGGTCAAAACACATACATGACTTTGTCACAGACTATGTGCGCTTTTATAAAAACGCACATTTATAAAATCATGCAACTTACCACTGTTTTATTTGTGTGTGTAATAAAAACACATGACATTGTCTTTGGACAAAGTCACGTATGTGTCAATTAGCGTTCAGATGTCATACAGTGATCTGTGGAAGTAAGTAAAGTCTGTTATGAGCCAATGTGGCCCATCAGGCCAGTATTTATCTCCGGTTTCAGAAGCAAGAAATGACTGAGAATATTTCTATTCCCCCTGGATGGGATGCTAGTCCATCGCAGGTTACTCCCCAGCTAATGCTGGTACCCATTTATACTCCTGGGTGGAGAGAGGCAAGTGGGGTGAAATGGCTTGCCCAAGGACACAACATAAAGACCAGCAGCTGGATTCTAACCCCTGACCACTAGGCCACATTCCCCCACGATCTGATGATATTGAAACAAAATAGCCCGATCCAAGTAAATCCTTGACAAATTACATCAATTTACAACTCGCCGATCGCTTAGCTAACGTCCTATGCGACATTAACGAATCATACACCAAATACATCAATACAAGAATACAGTTCCTGAATAGCTACACGTATCTCAACACGTCCGTACACAACGAGGCCGTTGCCAACCACAACAAAGAAATCAAGGAGTCATCTCTGGAATAAGTTGCAGGAAAGTTTACAAAGTATTTGTTGCAGAATTCTGAACAACCTTTTCCCCGTGATGAGGTAATTATTTTGTAAACAATATTCATAAAAACCCGGTACCTAAGACAATTTACCCATTCCTATTGGTCGAGAGCCCGCCATGTGGGTGGTGTTAAACCGCTGATAAAACACCAGCTGGTTTTAAACACAATTCTTTCTGTGCCACATCGTGCATTACGTGCTGTATGGGCACTGATTACCATATAAGGAGATTTTTAGCAGTACGCACGTGAGGCACATATCTTAAGACATGGCCAGAGGGGTGTTCCGCAAAACACGAAGTGAACTGTTGAACACAATTGTTGGAAATCTGTGAATTTGTGACATGTTTTGACTTTTTAAGTGAAATATATTGTTGCACTGGAATAAATATGTGCTCACTTTCGGCTCGGGCCATTACCAGCAACCAGGCCTCCAGCCGGTTTTAAACGTACTTGTTTAAAACCAGCCAAGCACATATTTATTCCCTTACCAATAACTTCATCTTAGATTCTGAGAAGTTGTTCAGCATCCTAGAACTAACACCGGGTACAATGCGCCTATTGCTGATCAATGTTTCCCCAACTTATCCGGGACAGTTTATATTGAGAATACTCCTAGCCTAACCTTCGCACCACAGTACTCAATCAACCTCAATCCTTCAAAAAGCAAAAAGCAAAAAGTTCCACGAAAATTCAGAGCCAAAAAAGAATAAGATGTGCATCCTCAGAAAAAAAAATCTGCTCATTAATTTATAAAAAATAGCTCTGTTTATATATATTTATATATATGTATAATACAGGTTTGAAGTTATCAAAGCTGTGCTTCAATGGAAATTGTGAGACAGCAGCACACGAAAATGTTCGACGGATCCTGAGCTAGGCTTGGGCGACTCAATGTTGGATTCAAATACAATCGATTCTAAACTTCGAAACGGAATAATGGTGCCTGTTATTTTTCGCTTTCAGATGTTCGATTCCCTGAATCACAAATCCTGGACGGAACCGGAATCGATGAAAAATATTGGGTGTCGCCCAAGTCAATCGCGAGTGAGCGATCACATGCGCATCTCGCGACACATCCCAGCCTTGCCGCCACTGGAGAATCGGACTGGGCGGAGCTGGGAAGCAGGCGGGTCCGGGTTGCGGTTGGAGGACTTCATGAGGACCAGGGCGGAGCCAAGGCAGGCTTGGACTGGTGCTGCCGAGTCGCCAGGCAGCGAGATGATGGTTGTCCCAACAGCTGCCATGTCGTCTTCCGTGGGTTCGCAGGCGATCAGTCCATGGCCAAAAGTCTAGGAAAACGAGAAGCAGCACATAAAAAACTAGAGCATTTTTTTTCACTTAGAAATACTGGATTTGGTTGGAATGGAGGGCTGTGGGTTCAGGCGGCCTACTGGCCAAAATCTACAGAACCTGGTGGAACAATTCAAGCGGAAGTTAGCCCTAACCCCAAGATTCTTTCGAGGCTGTAGACCACCTCCTGCCAATCCAAGAACATAAATTCCTGGATCCTTCAAAAAGCCTCCACATGGTTTAGGAGGTAGGCCAGGCACTCCGTATATGGATCTTGACACCCTTTGAAAACTAGAGTAGGCAGCTTAGTTCTTATTTCTAGCATCACCGTGCCGGGTAGCTAGATGCTTAATTCATAGGTAGGGTTAGAGGCGTCTGTCTCTGGGAAAGATCAAGACATCACCGATGTCAGCAGGGTAAGGCTTAAGTAATATGTTCTCCCTATTGGCGAGACAGATGTATACCCATACTGCTGTTTGGGCACTGGCGCGGTGACATGACTTTATATACTTTACCGTAATCCTTCTGTGACTTTTTTTTATTTTAAAGTAGTTTAATGCATTTAATGTTGATTCTGCAATGCGCCTTTGATCATTTATATGCAAAGGCACATTATAAATTTCAAATTATTATTATTATTATTGTTATTAACCCTAACAGTCTTGAATCCTCCAATTTCAGTATAATTTTGCACACCCCCTGGGGAGTTAGGGTTAATGTGTGATCAGGCTCCTATGATGTTGATGCAAATTTAATGGTGCTGCTAAGCACGCAGATTTACCAACAAAAGAAAATATTATTTGTGAAAACTGATCATCACCAAAGTATGTCATGCAATGTACGAGTTACTGGTTCTCATAAGCTTGCTGTGCTATAATCTCTGTTTTGAAAGTCCAGGAAATTGGGGTCTGGACTTAACGTAATTCAGGACAGTTCTTAGCAAACATGCTATGGGAGTTAGGACAGGGTACAAATTAATGACTTGGTAAAGGTTTGAAGTTGCCAAAGGAACTAAGCATTTTTTGGTACTTACTTTGGCGGGGGATGTGGGTCGTGACCCCGGGGGACCGTCGGCGCCAGCTTTCTTCAACCTGCTGTGTCTCCGAGATGACGGTGCAGTTGCGGCCGAAGCAGGCGCGACCACCCAGGAACCCATGGGAAGCCCCTCAATGTAGAGAAGGGCGTGGCCAATGGGACGGCTTGCACGGTGTTCTAACTCCATTGCCCTGCGCTGCCGATCGTTGCGCGCTTCAAGACCGACTTTAATCTTCCAGGCCACCACCAGGATGGCCAGGAAGAGAAAGAAGCAAGAGAGGAAGACAGAGAAGAAGACGAAGAGGTCGATGTGGGGCTGGTCCTGCCGGAAGTACATGATGCCGCTGGTGGCACTAGCCAACGTGGACGACGTCCTTGAACCGGCCGGGACGGCACGGCTCAGCAAGGTGATGTAGAACTTGTGTGTCTTCAGACTGTGGATGTCCTGGGGTAAGGTTACCACTAAACGGTTCCGTAAGCTACGGACGATGGCCACAAAGAAGGGATCCGCGATGGTGACGAAGGTGTTGATGGTGTCGCTTGCCTCATACTCGAAGAGATTGTTGAAGACTGGAAGTTCCACTGAGGACGTCACAGCCTGTCCAAAATTAAGCACAGTATTAATACAACATATCCGAGGACCCCAAACCTACAGAACTGCCCCTTAAACTGAGGGCATCAGGAACAACAGCACGTTAAAAATAACCACACAAATGAGAGGACAATGTGACTGCGGATGTAAAAACTTGCAAAATGTCCTAGAAGCTTCAATCCAGGAAGTCCGGCCTGTCAAAAAATTAAAAAAATTTAGAAGACAACAACGTGATTGAGGAAGTCAAAACTTGCACACTAGTCCTAGAAGGTCCAAGCTAGGACATCACGGCCTCTCCAAAAATAACCACAGAACTGACAGAACAATTTTTGAAATGTGAATTCAAATTCAAGATGCCTCAACTATTGCCAAGATCTACATAAGATAACCACCTCTTAAAAAGAGAATAACAATGAGGATGTCAAACCCTACAAAAATTATCCTAGATTGATGAACTGATGACTTAAATGCTTGTTCAGACATGAAAATGTCACATTTTTAGAAGAACATGACCGAGGACATCAACCTGCAACACTTCTTTCAAGGTCTCAACTGAGGACATCGGAACAAGGAATAGCATTACATACATGTCGATAATAGAACATTTATTATTAAGCTTTAAAAATGTTTGAAAAGTCTTTATCGAAGAATGCCAGAGCCCGTCCAGGTATAAATGACATCACTGAGTGGATTATAACAAATGACAAAATGACAGAATGACAAAAGTCACCAACACGCTCACCTAAGATAAGTTCTGCACAAATGTCTTGCAGCTGCTTTCATGGAAATTTGCGCAATGGCTTAACTTCACTTGTGCCACAATTTATTGCGTACTTACTTTCCTTTCACAGTGTGCAAGTCAGTGACTTACACAACAAATTATGGCGTAACTTGCGCCATCATTTTAGGTAGCAATGTTGTGGTGTATCGACTGAAAAGGAACTATTTTACTACCAAATCGTGATCATCGCAGAGCCTGTAATTGCATAACTTATCAAGGTTGATACAAGACACCCACAGATCTGTGTTTCAGGTACATGAATGGCTTTTTACTTGTGACAGAATTTTCAGAGGTGCCACACAATTAACCTATCGCGATAGAATCATGTCAACGTAGCTTGTGAAATATAGTCCAATTATATGATATATAAATGGAAGTGGAACGCACAAAAGCTGAGAGTAACAAAACTGAACGTATAAAACGCCATCGGGTTGTTTAAGGGGCGTGGCTAACTCGTGAACGGTGATCGGTTAATTACTAAGAAAGTCTGCCAAAACAATTTTCAAGATTGTGGGCGGAGGTGATTCAACAACTGTTTCGTGAACAAAAATCATACACAAATAACAGTCGAAAATGCTGTCATTATCCTCCTCCAAGATATTTAAACTATATAAAACGTTGGTCATAAAACAGTTCATGGAGTGCATAGGTTTTGCATGTGGCGTACAGCATTTTTGGCATAGACTGGACTGAATAAACTGGAACAAGCATTTTTGAAGACTACACAGTACCTGTTCTCCTGCCGAGGCATCCAGCTCCTGTGGCACGTTCCGCCGTTCCCGTTGCCAGTCCACGCGCCGTCTGTCGCGGTACACCTCCTCATACAAGTTGGCATCGTCCAGCACGATGCTCTGCGCACCTGTGGTCTGGTTGCTGACCACGCGGAAGAACTCGTAGCTGTAGGTGATGTAGACATCTAATGCACCGGCTGTTACGTCGATGGTAAGCCGGATGTCCAGGTTTGTGAATTTTGGCTGGACGACGAAGAAGGAGGTGCGACCGAAGAGGAGGGGGACTGAGTCTAACGGGCAATCTGTCACAAGGTTGGTGTTGGGTTAGGATGGAAAGGAATAAGAAAACACATTTTGATATTGGGTTTTGGTCTAATTGGTTCACTGCCCTGGTTCACTGCCCTGAATCCTTCAAAATCCTCTTTGCCAAAGTGGAGGAATTTGGAGGATTGAGGCTACGTGGCAAAAGTGCGTTACTGATTGCATAGGATGCACTTTGTTGAGGTCTTGGGCTGGACCTTGTGTTGTTTTTGCTCAGCCATGCATAAATATAGGCCTGGATTATGCTTGAAATCCTCCGTACTGCTCTAGATTGTCACTGGCCAAGCCTCAACATATTGACAGTCACTGCCGCAGGATTTTGCAGGATTCAGGCAGTGGTCACCCCTCCATGGACCATATTCAAGAAATAATGGAGGAATTTACAGGATTGAGGCTATATGCTATTTTCCATGAGGCCAATTGGAGGAGTTTGGAGGATTGGGGCTACATCCTAGCTAAAAGGCCTAGGGAGTTAGGGTTAAACCTTTGTGAAGTTAGCTGCTATTGGAGGTTTATTGGAGGTTTAATATATTTTATCAAGACCTCATCTCACATTAATCAGACTTTTTGGATCTCAAGACTTACTTGTTTGGGTCTCTGGATCAAAGCAGGTGTCCTGATCTACGTGCATCTGGCGATAACACTGGTGGCCGTCTGTGGGTTGACCAATGAACAGCTCTTCGCAGATAGAGCACTATTGAATGAGACACATTTGAATTTGATTAAAAGCTGGAGTACACCAGTAATTTATGGTGAATTATATTGGGTATTATGTTTCTGGCTTTGTTTGATTTGCAACTTCGGCCCTTTTGAATTATAACTGTGCAGGGCGAGTCAAAAACAGCGGAACCCAAACCCCAAAAAATATATTTCATGTTCAAAAAAATATGTAGCACCAAAAATAATCATGACTGGAAAGCCAATTTCATAAACTACTTTTAGATGACAAAAGTACTGAAATTGCTCAATCTGTTCAAAGAAAAAATATTGTGTGTTCTGACTGTTTGGAACAACAAAGAAAATGACACAGAATACTTGTTTCAACAACTGTCAACAACTGTTGTACACAATATCTTTATTAACAACCCTGTTAGGCTAACAATATGATTTATAAAATCAACTTTTTTTAAAGACGGGCCTTCAAAAGTTCTTTGCTGAATATTTTTATCTTTCAAACTGAGGTTTTATCGCTGGTGATGTTTGAATTGTGACGACGAATTGTGACAATTGTGACGACGATTCTTGAAATCGCATTTTTTGACGAAAGAGGTTTGAAGGTCATTCCGTTTAACTGATAACATACTTTGAACGGATTAAGCAATTTCAGTATTTCTTTAATCGAAAAGTAGTTTACATGTATGAAATTGGCTTTCCAGTCATTATTATTTTTGGTGCTACATATTTTTTTAAATATGAAATATATTTTTTGGGGGTTTGGGTTCCGCTTTTTTGGACTCAACCTGTAGTTTTGCAAAGCTTCTATTCCTCTCCGAGTGGCTTTTCCTAATGTCCTACCTGATGTTGCCAGCAAGGGGCTGGGTACTTCTCCGTTGGACAAGACGGTGTGTCTGTATTGTTCTTGCACTGGCAGTCTTCCCCGTTTGTCTTGTCGCAGCGATCCCAGTGGCCGTTACACTGACACCTGCGGAGCCAATGAGAAACGGTTAGGGTATAAGCTTTGTGCACAGTTAATAGAGGGCGCCAAACATGTCCACTAGCACTGGATTCACCGGGACCACTTCCTTCTTGTTAAACATTTAATTAAAGAGGTTGTGGAATGCTCGAAGACATTTCCGTCATTTTTCGTGTATATGTAGCCTAAGGTGTGATGAAATAAAAACGACTATTGTGTCTGTCATGAAATGAGTACAAAAGGTACTTTTGAGAGCTATTTTTCAGGTCCTGTTTCGACCCGATTGTGCAATTTGTGTAAAAGTCGTCGTTGCGGGCAGCAAACAAAACACAGTAAATCGTGACGTAATAAACAGGACTCCCGATGCAGAGTAGCATACACGAGTCCTGTTTATTACATCACGATTTACTGTGTTTTGTTTGCTGCCCGCAACGACGACTTTTACACAAATTGCGCGTTCGGGTCGAAACAGGACCTGAAAAATAGCTCTCAAAAAGTACCTTTTGTACTCATTTCATGACAGACACAATAGTCGTTTTTATTTCATCACACCTAAGGCTACATGTACCCAAAAAATGACGGAAATGTCTTCGAGCACTCCACAACCTCTTTAAAGATAGAGTAAATCATTTGCAGCTATCCAAAAAGTGAAAAAAATCAGTACATAAAACACGCAGTACTTCTGTTATTTAAGTTTTTATACATAGTCTGTTAGAAGCAATCCTCAATCCTACCGTACATAATCTATCACAGTGTAAAAAACCCTATCCATTATTTTTTGTACTTGTATACCTGCGAACTCTTCAAGTCCTACAATTCTGCTGACTGTATGTTTTAAACAGTATATCAAGGAACCTCCTCCAAAAAAAATGATGTCACTGAGTTGCTCATTAACGTGCCAGTTTTAATAACAATACAATCAAAATCCACTCAAACACTCCCAAAATGCAACGCAGTCCCGGATGCCGAGTGAGGGCGCAATTCAAAACATGACACTGCAACTTTTGAATTAAAATCGAGATCCTAGAGTTTTTTTTTTCTTGGAATATACAGCAATCACTAAGCTGAAACTTCATCAGGTTAGTTGTCAAGCACCCTTCTTTAGATTTTGAGCACTTTGTTGTTTCAAACGAAAAAATGTACAAATGACAAATGATGTACTGTACCTTTAAGTGGGTGAGGAGTGTTCTTGATGTTTTGGAGAGTATGCTCTGTTTGTTCTTAGAAGAATGCTAAAATCTACACGAGTCATTTTATAAAGTTCAGATCCATTTTTTCCCGTACCTCTTACGTATGAAATGTCTGAGTTTGTAAAAAGGTTCTTTTGACACCACAATTCTTCACCAACGAAATTAATTTGATTGTGTACCATTCCACAATGCAAAGCTTAGTTAAAGTTCTCCAAAAATTTAACATCAAATTATGTCCTTTAGAAGTACTAAACTGTTCATTCTAAACGAAATTGGAAGTTTACTTACGCTCGGCAGTTGTTTTGGTCCTTGAAGTAGCCATCTACGCAGGTCTCACACATCTGACCAGCACTGAAGTTGCGACAGTTGATGCAGATAGCGTCGCTTACCGGACCAACGGGGAACTCCACAGGCACCTAGTGAGTATGAAATAATAATAATAATAATTATACTAACAACCACAATAGGGCAACACTTCCATAGACTTGTGAACAAAATTTACCACAGCCCTAACCGTAACCCTAACCTTAAACCTAACCCCTAACACTAACTGCTAGCTCTAGCCCTTGTCAAAATGGCGAAATGGCGGTTTTCATGATAGGGCGACACCTAATAAGGTGTGTCGCCCTATTAGAGCAAATTTAATAACAAACTGTCGCCCTATTACACCTGTTAGTAATATAATGCGGTTCTTATATAGTGCTTTATACCAAAGGTCTCAAAGCGCTTCACAATTATTACCCCTGTTCATCAGGTCACAAGACCAGCTTTTGCAGCAGCTCAAGATCAGCGCATTCTGGTCTCTACCGTAAAAGGTACCCATTTATACTCCTGGGTACACAGAGGCAATTGTAGTAAAGTGTCTTGCCCAAAAACACAAGCACTGTGTTCCCCTTTAGTGTTCAATTCCTTTAATGTTCAATAACCACTGGACCACAGCGCTCCACAAAACCCTTAAAAAGCAATCAAGCCTATTAAAAACAGTGAATGAAAAGGGATTGGCGTAGACCATAGTTTTTGGGCCAAAGAGGGCACCTTTATGACACAATTTTTGGGGATAGAAACAGGTGTGAATCCAGGGATAATGATGTAAATTTAGACGCTGCTACAATTGACAAATTGCATCATTACAATCTTAAAGATTAGTGAGTAAGTTTACTTTTGCTTCGATGAACGTGATGTTTCTTCTGTATTATTTACTTTTATCTCGTACTGGCATTATATTAGTATGGAATAAACTTGAAACTTAACACATCTATAGTACGTATCAATAGTCCAGAACAAAAATGGCCCACTCAGACATGGCATATGGTGTCAAAATTTGACAGACAAATTGCGATGAGAAATTTAGATCGAAAGATTCAGGCTTAAAAAAAATATATACATAAAGCAGTCCGGTACTCACATTAACAAGGTCTAGCAACAGACCCTCATCTCGGGAGCGATTGAAGTTTTCTTCAGACAGGCAGATTTCACTGTTGCCATGACAATAGGCCAGGCAGGGCATGCACCTCCCGCCATCTGTGGGGTCGCCCACAAAGAACGGAAGGCACTTGTCACAGCTCGGACCCTGAGAGATGCAAAATCAGAAACAACACATTTCGAATACATAACCAACAAAGACCAGTAATGTTGCACTACTGCACCCACTGTTGATTTTGATTGCCTTCCTCCGTTTCGCATCTGCAGGTAGCTCAGGCCCCAAGTCACAATACAAATGGTCCATTAACCCTAACCGCCCTGAATCCTTCAAAATACTCTTTGCCAAAGTGGAAAAATTTGGAGGATTTGAAGGATTCAGGGCAAACGTGCATTACTGATTTCGTAGGATGCACTTTGTCAAGGTCTTCAGCCAGACCTTGTGTTGTTTTTGCTCAGCCATGCATAAATATAGGCCTGGATTATGCTTGAAATCCTCCGTACTGCTCCAGGATGTCACTGGTCAAGTCTCAACATATTGACAGTCACTGCTGAAGGATTTTGCAGGATTCAGGCAGTGGTCACCCCTCCATGGACCATAGTCAAGAAATAATGGAGGAATTTGCAGGATTGAGGCTACATCTTACAAGCCTAGGGAGTTAGGGTTAACTGCTGAACGGTTCTAAAACGATAGCCTTGTCAACCACTTCAGAAAGGTGTGCCAAACGGTTCACGCTTCACTGCTCACAAATTACTACATGGGTTTGAAGAAGTTCCACTTTTGCCTCTTAATTCAGAATAAAAATGCCTCCTTTGTCGCACAGCTGGACTGGTTGGTAAAAGGCCCAGCGTTTTAGAGGGCCCAAAGGGTAGAAAGAAAAGTCACAAACGATATTGTTCGGGGCAATCGTTTGGCGGTGAGTGAACTGTTTGTATTGTGATGTCAACCTCAATCATTCAGCTTAGTAATTTTACACAACTTCCCCTCAAAGCATGTTGTATTTGTACAGTATACGGTAGCTATGGAGTACCGAAGTGAATACGTCACGCGCACAACAGGTGTGTGAAAGACATCTGCGCATAATACAGCCCGTGAACCAACACGCGCGCGTACTCCATTCGTTTGCACTACACTTTCTGGTTCTAAATGACGTCACACTTCGGTACTCCATACCTGGTCAAATTTCATGTTAACAGGGGCTACATGTACGACCATTTTATTCATACAATATGAGGTGGTACAACTTACTTTATTTCAAAATCCCAATTGCTACAAAAGACATCCCTGTTTGACCTTTTGACATGACCTTTGACCTTACCTGTGTGTTGTTCATGCATTGCAGGCAGTTGGTCACGTTCCCCGGCTCTGGCCCCAGACAGGTGCTGTGGCCGTTGCATTCGCACGGGACGGCACAGTCGGGTCCCACGTAGCCAAAGTCGCACAGGCAGACGTCGGGGCGGATGCAGAGGCCGTGATCGCAGGTAGGGTTGCAGACCGGCAGGCAGGCAGAACCCTCACTAATAGGGGAGGTAATCACAAAATTGAGGTTGGTAGGTGTGATTAACAAAATTATAAACATGTGGACTGATATACCGTACAGAATTTTTTTTAATAGTAACAGTGTGTAAACTTACTTAAATAATCTTGGATACACTGTTTAAACGCGAAAAATGGCTTCGCAACAGCCCTCACTTATTCAAGAATAAGACCCATTAAGGCTTACCTCTCCTGCTGGTAGCCAGGCTTGCAATTGCACTCGTAGGAGGTCAGCGTGTCATTGCATTCTTCATTCTCCATGCAATCATGGTGGCCATTCAGGCATTCGTTCTCCGGCGGGCAGGCCATGAATGTCCAGAGAGGCGGTTCTTTCAAGTCGTCAGGGTTGAAAGTGACGATTGCTACACGGGACAAAAAACGCAGATGTTGGTTTATAATAATAATAATAACTGTATCTATATAGCACCTTTTGCAAGAGGATACAAAGCGCTGGGGGAGAATGCAACCAAAGACAGGTAAATGAAGTAGGCCTATATGAACATATGAGACCCATTACGTAGCACCTTTTTGCTAGGTGCTGCGGCGCATAATTGCTGCCACTGCCAGAAACACCGGGACAAACCCCTTCTCCTAGCAACAAGTGTTACTGGGTTCTTTAACGTGCATTACACAACACACGGGACCTACGGCTTAACATCCCATTCGAAGGACGAAGAAATAATGGTAAAGTGCCTTGCTCAAGAGCACAAGCACCATGTTCCCACGGTCAGGATTCGAACCCATGTTCTAAAGCACACGAGTCCAACACTGTGACCATTGGACCACAGCAACCCACTATAACTCTTCGTAAAGTAGAACTGAGTTTATTAGTGTGTTTTAAGGCTTTAGTGCTAGAAAAATTCCCGAAAGTTGCACGTACATGTAAGGTCAGCTAACAGGACATTTGAATATATTTGAATAGTTTGCTTGAATAGATTGCTACTTGACTGCAGACGCAACCTGATGCAAATTCCATCTTATAAACATAGTTTCATTGTGGTACCCACTGCTACATGTACATCAGATTTGAACCAGCCTGCCAATCCCGGCAAGCTCGGTAGTTGAGTGGTAAGATGTCTGCACTAGAAAGCAGGAGGTCGGGGGATCGAGTCCCAACCGAGTGATTTTTTTTCCTAACTTTAACTCAGTGGGTAACACACTGAGTATACAGTGTTTATATGTCGGTAAAGGGCAAAACCTAATGCTGAGTATACAGTGTTTATACGTCGGTGAAAGGCAAAACTTAATGTTGGACTTGTGATTGGCTTGTGATTTGACTGGTGATTGACTCATGATTGACTTGTGATTGACTGTGTAATTGACATGTGTTGACTTGTGATAGACTTGTGATTGACTTGTGATTGACTTGTGATTGGCTTGTGATTGACTTGTGATTGACTTGTGATTGACTTGTGATAGACTTGTGTTGACTTGTGATTGACTGTGCAAATGACATGTGTTGACTTGTAATTGACTTGTGATTGACTTGTGTTGACTTGTGATTGACTTGTGGCCGACTTGTGATTGACTTGTGATTGACATTTGTTGACTTGTGATTGACTTGTGATAGACTTGTGAATGACTTATGTTGATTTGGCATTGACTTGTGTTGACCTGTAATAGACTTGTGATGACTTGCGATGACTTAAAGTGACTGACCATGACTTGTATTGACTTATGATTGATTGGTGACAACTTATGATTGACCTGTGAATCACCAAAACTGTGTTAACAAAAAGGAGGACAATTTCAGACTGACTTGCAAGGAGTTTGTAGAAATGTGGTTAGTTAAACATCCATCTCACCTTCTACGGGGAAGTTGTTCAAGCCGACTCCCTCAGCCGAGCACACGCCCCCCGTGGGCTCATACAGACCCCCCTCCATGCAGACGCCCGTCCCGTTCCCCTGGCCCACCGCGCACCACCCGCACCCCGGCTGTTGCAGGCAGTGAGCGCACTGCGTGTTCAGGTAGCAGGGCTGGGGGCAGTTGTGACTGCCGCTGTGGGTCAGGGGACCGCAGGCGCCGGTGGAACAGACCAGGGGGACGTAGGTCGGGGACAAGCACTGTGGCAAAAAACCAAAACAAAAGGTAAATAACAAATGTGCAATTTTTATTCAAAATACTTCAATTTAGGAATTTCACGTGACATAGCAAGTCGGTGGTCAACCACACACCCGCCCTATTGGACGTATACGGTTGCAGACTAGTAAGGCGAGCCCTCAGATTAGAATCCCTCCCCGGACCGTTCGGGGATGAGCCCGCCCAGTATGTTGAAGGGATTGGGACCTTGCATGGAACAGATCGGCCTGGATTAACTCCACCAGGCTTCTGCACCATGGCTCTGGCTCATCACAAAGGAACCGATTTGCGACGCGCTAATCCTCCAGTAGGCAACAATGACTGTGATGAGCTTCATAGAAGTTGCCGCTGGTAATCCCAGCAGGCCGAATAATCCTCCCACAATGGCCAGACTTCAATTTATGTTGCCTATTGTGAAACCCTGAGTCACCAGTTTGGACCGATTGGGGCGTCACGCTTCAGTGACCGGGTGGCTTCTGGCTTTGTACCGATTGGGGTGAAAGAAATTAGCATACCGGACCCGGTACCCGAACGGTCTGTTCTCTGATGGCTCGCCTAAATAAACTGCAATAGACCCCAGTGATCAATACCATAATGAACACACAACAGACGGTTCAGTAAAGGTTGCTGGTAAAGTTTTGGCTGGTCATGCGCAGTGTAATTGACCAGAAATTCAGGAGTCAAAAAATGAAGGTTGTTTTAGCCAAATATTTTGTGTAGCAGTGTTCGTTTTGCAGGCATTCTATTATTTTGCATTCAAAAATAGCGTTGTGTTGTTTAGGAAATGGCAACGATTTTGGTATTCAATTCACAACTCCAAACCCTTCAAAATTTGAAACTGTGAGGCTCTTTGAGTTGTTCTGTATAAAGCACAACGTAAGTACCACAGTGATATTATAATAAGTGTTATTAACAAGCTGTTCCTAATCAGGAACACTAAGTTTTCAATTGGGAACATGCCATTTCCGATTTGGAAAATGGCTTTCCCTAGGGAAAAAAATGAGACCGAATATGGCTCCCACTTGGAAAAACAAATCTGATTCTGCTCATATAAACTTTTTCTTTTTAGGAACATTCAGTTTATAATTTGGAGCATGCCATTCTCAATTGGGTACATGCCTTTTTCCAGAGAAACAATGAAACAAAACTCGATTCCAAATTGGAAACAGACCACTCCCAATTGAGAACTGGCTTTTCCGAAGAAATCATTGAGACCGAACTTTCTTCCCAATTGAGAACAGGCCAATCCCATATAAGAAATTGCCTTTGCCCAGAAAAAAGAATGAGACCATTTTCAATTCCAAACTGGGAACAACCTATCACTAATCGTTCCCAAATATTTGAGAAGCACCCTTACTTCGCTCGTACCCCCCGCCCTGCAATCAGGACGCTGGGATACTCTGATGCATTCACGCTCTGATTGGTTGGATTTTGCGTGACCAGTGACCTGCGCGTCATCAAGGTCACGACTCTGCAAGGTTTGAAACGGCCGTTAAGACTGATTCATTACTTTTTTATTCCAGTTCAGAAATGTTATTTTATTTTTTGAAAAGCGTAATAATGTAGGAAATTCTGTAAAACTTATCTGTGTTGTAAATTTACAATTCCCGTCACTTGCTCAGGCTCCGTTTCGAATCACAAACGGTCTGATTGCATTATGCAACGCTCCACATGGTCCGCAATGAAACAGAAATCACATCTGGTATGGAACGTGTGCATTTCTATGGGAAGTTTTCGGATAGCATTTGCGCATATTATCTAACTGCGGTTTTGAACAGCTTCAGCCAGATGCTTTATACATAGGTCATAGGCCATTTCCTTCACAAGATTCTGTGAAGCTCATCAGAATATCCCAGCGCCCTGTTTGCAGGGCGGGGGGTACGAGCGAACACCCCTACCTGCCCAAGCCGGGCGCTCCAGACGCACTCTTGCCAGCCCCCCTCCGCCCCTTTGGAACCCAGGCAATCAGTGCACGAGTTGTGGGTGTAGCAAGGGGAGGGGCATGGCTCGTTGGGGGAGGAGCTAATGTGGATGTCAACGGGCGCAATCTGCAGGAGTGACTCCCTGAAGCAGTTCCAGTCGTAGGTTGGGTTGGCGTTGAGCAAGCGTCGCACCTCACCTAGTGACAAAAAATAAATAAAAAGTGAATTCACTTAAAGGGAATATACATCATTGGCTTTTGCTGTAATTTCCAGAATGAACTATTTGAGGGGCTAGTATAATAGATCAAACATTGTTACACTGACATGTTTGAAGTTTTGTGTTCGAAAAGCTGGGAAAAACCAAGAAACACACAAATGGTGGAGTAGTCTGGTTCCATGACTCCACTAAGGATAAAATGGATCGATTTATAGATGCCGGAAAAATGTATGGTACGGGAACCAGTCTAGCTGGCCTGCACCCGTTCATGAACATGTAACCAATAGCAAACAAAATTTTGAGTGAAAAAAAAATGGTGAATCTGGAGCAGTAGTTAAAAAATAGTTAGGTTTTTCCAACGGTGGTCGGCCGACCACTGTTGGAAATTTATACAAAAATACCATTTTCTTGAAAATGACTTCACACCAGGTGCCATAATTTTACAGGGTGCTTTAGACTGTCATTTACCAACATCCTAGTGAGGTATTTTGTTAAAACGTGGTAGTTGTATTTTTCAATGTTTGCAAATGTTGTATATTCCCTTTAACCAGCTGCGTTGGAGGACGTCATAACACGCACTGGCTGTTTTATACACAGGCAAGGCTGATGGGTTACAACGTCAAGATTGCCTGACGTTGCGAACTCAACAAAATCTTCTTCAGAGGCTTAAAGACGAGGGTACAAGGAACACACATGTAGGGACTAACAAAAGTGCAGGGTTGGGAAGAGAAACACAAAAGGAATTAAGTCGAAAATTTGACGACATTGAAATGCACAGACATATCTTAGACTCTAGATGCCTTACGGACTTTTTGTGTGTGAAAGGCATAGAAGATCATTTGCATTTATTCAAAAGTAACAAACAGGATAATTTTTTAAAAGCTTACTTGGATTAAAGATTGTACTGGTACTAAACACCCCGTGAAAATTATTCCGTCTGGTTTGCTGTCATTTAGAAGAAATCAAGAACTGTAGGTGATTTCCAACAATCAGTCAATTGACTGAAGAGTTCTATAGACAAAATTGTGTTTTGTGATCAAATGGCGGTGCATGGTTTTTCACCATTTTTTCAAAAAGTGTAATATCCACGGAGCTTAAACTTCGATAGGTTAGGTTTTGAACATTCTTCTTTGGATTTTGAACAAAACGCATGAAAAGCAAATGATCCCATTCAATAAACAAGCTCGATCGAAAATATCTTGGAAGCTGCGGGCCCATAAATTCGTGTTTATGCTTGAGTCACGTGATTGTGCCATGTATTAGTTCTGAAAGTGGTCTTTTGAATAAAAAGAAAATCAGGTTTTGACCCAAGCGTTCCCATGATCTTTGAACCCCAGTTTAGTCATGTGACATGTTGGGGCTGGGCCACTGATACTTTTGACAACGTTTGGCTGAAATCAGTCAAAATATGTAGGAGCAACAGTTAATGTCAACATTTGTTAAACCTAACGAACTAACTAACTAACAGAGAGATATGATGACTTGTTGAGCTGCTATCCCACAGCTAAAAATGCCTTTAAAGCTGTAGTCCATCATTTGCAGCCATCAGAAAAAGTAACTGGCGTATTATTGTTGAAAAAAAATACTTGGTTGAAAGATAGTAAGTGGACCAAACTCCCTGTGAAATGAATCTTTCTGGCACGCTATCATTTTGAAGTAATCAACGAAAGAAGGCCTTTCCAACGGTGCGTCTTAAGAGTAGGAAAATTGAATTTGTAGTTCGTTTGTGGCACGACGCACAGGAGGGCGCGGTTGCTATAATTCGTCGGATCAGTGCGCGACATTGCGTATAGTTGCAATTCAAAACAATTTAAAACATGATCCAGCAACTTTTGATTTGAAATTGAGATCCTAGAATGCTGTTTTTCTCGGTATACATAGCTGAAGCTGAGCTGAAACTTCATCAGGTTAGTTGTTCAGAATCCTTCATTAGATTTTGAACACTTTTGTTGCTTCAAACGAACAAAATGCACAAACTAGAAATGTGTTTGTGGACAAACACAAGCTGTTTCGGATATTTGAAATACTCTGTGCACGTGATGAACACTTGATGAAGTCACTTCGAATGTCATCTGACAAGAGAAAAGTCAATCAGACATCTAGTGTCAAATTATGAATTGAAATAAACGTGTACAAAACCTATGGGGAAAATGCATCTTTAATGTGAAGTAACCTGACACCTCATGATGTCACGATCACAAATTTCTTCTAGAACCATCTGTGGGTGATGGTCTAAGTGTTTTCCAAGTCTAAAGTACATCGAATTTACGAAAGTGCCAAAGTGGAGTGTTTTAAAACGTGTACAAACCCTATGGGGAAAATGCATTTTTAATGTGACGTTACCTAACACCTAACGATGTCACGATCACGAATTTCTTCGAGGACCATCTTCCTAACGAACTAACTAACTAACAGAGAGATATGATGGTCTAAGTGTGTACCAAGTGTAACGTCGATCGGATTTACGAAAGTGCCGAAATAGAGCGTTTTAAAACATGTACAAACCCTATGGGAAAAAAATGCATCTTTAATGTGACGTAACCTGACACCTCATGACGTCACGATCACCAATTTCATCTAGGACCATCTGTGGGTGGTGGTCTAAGTATAAATCAAGTCTTAAGTCGATCGGATCTTCGAAGATGCCAAACTGGAGTGTTTTAAAACGTGTACAAAACATATGGGGAAAAATGCATCTTTAATGTCACGTAACCTGACACCTGATGACGTCACGATCACAAATTTCTTCTAGGACCATCTGTGGGTGGTGTTCTAAGTATGTACCAAGTCTGAAATCAATCGGATTCAAAAAAGTGCCAAAGTGGCCTGGTAGAATAAACGTGTGTTAAACCTATGGAAAAAAAGGCTGAAAAAGGAGAAAAAAAAGGAAAAAAAAGAAAAAAAAAAATCTTAACGAAAACAAGAGCTGTTTCGGTGTGTACACCGAAACAGCTAATTACAAATGATGGACTATATCTTTAACAGATAAGGCAGTTTGGAGTGGGACAGGAAACTAATGGGTATATTGATAAAAAACAAGTACATGGTACTTTTAGATCAAAATGATATTACACGTACTGGCTCGTTTGAATTGGCGCGTCCAGATGCAGTCTTCGGCAACGCATTTGTCGCAGTCGCTGGCCTCGCACTCCAGCTCCGGGCACTGGTTGGCGTCGCTGATCTCCTTCTGTTTGTCCACCTGGCAGTTGTGTTCCTCCATGCAGTCCAGCTGGCGCGATATGCACGCGCCGTCGGGGCAGTTGGAACACCATTTGCAGGTCTAATGGATGAATGGAATTGGGTTGATCATAGGAAGATTAATTAAAGGAACATACAACATTTGCAAACATCAAAAAACAAAACTATCAAATGATTATGAAATATCTCACTGGACTATTAGTGAATGACAGTGTAAAGCATCCTATAAAATCATGGTACCTGGTGTGCTGAACTTTTTAAAAAAAATGGTATTTTTGTATCGATTTCCAACGCTGGTCAGCGGACCAGCTTGGAAAAACTGGCTTTTTCCAAATACTGCCCCCAATTTACCATATCTAGTTAGTCCGCATTTTGTTTGCAATCGAATACGCATCTATGAACGGGTGTCAGCCAGCTAGACTGGTTCCTTGACCTTACAATTCCCCACCATCTATAAATTGCTCTGTTTCATCTTAACCGAGGTCAGGGAACCAGACTAGAAGAACAGGATTGTTTTTCTTGGTTTTTCCAGCTGCATCTAGGAACACGAAGCTTCAAACAAGTCAGTGTGACAATATTTGCCATAAAATACTATTACCCCCCAACCCATCCATTTCTGAAAATTACAGCCAAAGCAAATGTTGAATATTCACTTTAAAGGGAATATACATCATTTGCTTTTGCTGTAATTTTCAAAAATGGATGGAATTGGGGGGTTGGAAATATAAAGCAAATATAGTTACACTGACTTTTTTGAGGTTTTGGGTTCGAAAATGCTATAAAAACCAAGAAAAACGATAATTTTCCTGTAGTCTGGTTCCCTGACTCCATATAAGAAGAAACAGAGCAGTTTACATACATTGGGGAATTGTAAGGTCAGGGAACCAGTCTAGCTGGCTCGTACCCGTTCATAGGTTTGTAATCGATTGCAAACAAGTGCAATGGTCAATTGGGTCCAGTATTTGAAAAAAAAGCCAGTTGTTTCCAACGCTGATCGGCCGATCAGCGTTGGAAATTGATACAAAAATACCACTTTTCTTGAAAATGACAGTATACCAGGTGCCATAATTTTACAGGATGCTTTAGACTGTCATTTACCAACATCCTATTAAGGTATTTCGCAAAAACTTGGTAGTTTTATTTTTCGATGTTTGCAAATGTTGTATATTCCCTTTAACTCTCCTTTTGTTTGATCAGTCACAGACAGTCAAAATTTCAATCCTATTCCCCTGTGATGCCTTTAACAAAGGCTAGTCATCAACAGTCAGATCACTGTGATTGCCGTAGTGTTAGCACTGTCACGGGCATCAATCTGGGGGAGGGGGTGGCCCCATGTCTCCGCCTTACTTAGGCAACATCATGGTAATTCAGAATCACTCAGCTGGCTGAAGCCAGAATTTTGAGCTGTGTAGTGTGCTGGCTGGGTCATGACACACTCACTGCAGGAGTGGGCAGCCCTGCAGTTCCTATATTCCACCTTTGTATAACACACCCCTGTCTACGCACATACCAAGTTTCAACCCAATCGGACTTATAGATTAGTTTTGATAATTGGAAAGTCACCCATTCAGCTGTGTAGTGTGCCAGCTGGGTCATGACACACTCACTGCAGGATTGGGCAGCCCCGCAGTTCCTATATTCCACCTTTGTATAACACATCCTTGTCTACGTACATACCAAGTTTCAACCCAATCAGATTTATAGATTAGTTTTGATAACTGGAAAGTCACCCATTCAGCTGTGTAGTGTGCCAGCTGGGTCATGACAAACTCACTGCAGGATTTGGCAGCCCGGCAGTTCCTATATTCACCCCTGTATAACACATTCCTGTCTACGTACATACCAAGTTTCAACCCAATCGGACTTGTATAGAATAGTTTTGATAATTGGAAATTCACCTGTTCAGCTGTGTAGTGGGGTGGCTGGGTCATGACACTCACTGCAGGATTTAGCAGCCCTCTAGTTCCTATATTCCACACTTGTAAAACACATCCCTGTCTACGTACATACCAAGTTTAAACCCAATCGGAATTGGAGAAAATTTTTCTGATATTTGGAAATACACCTGTTCAGCTGTGTAGTGTGCTGGCTGGGTCATGACACACTCACTGCAGGATTTGGCAGCCCAGCAGTTCCTATATTCCACCTTTGTAAAACACTTGCCTCTCTACCTACATACCAAGTTTCAACCCAATTGGACTTATAGAATAGTTTTGATCATTGGAAACTTACCTGTTTAGCTGTGTAGTGAAGGATTTTGCAGCCTCGCAGTTCCTTCTTTTTCACCCTGTTATAACACATTCCTGTTTACGTACATACCAAGTTTCAACCCAATATGACTTATAGAATATTTTTTGATATTTGGAGATTCACCTGTTCAGCTGTGTTGTGTGCTGGCTGGGTCATGACACACTCACTGCATGATTGGGCAGCCTGGCAGTTCCTATATTCCACCTTGTATAACACATCCCTGTTTACGTACATACCAAGTTTCAACCCAATCGGACTTATAGAATAGTTTTGATAATTGGAAATTCACCTGTTCAGCTGTGTAGTGGGGTGGCTGGGTCATGACACACTCACTGCAGGATTTGGCAGCCCAGCAGTTCCTATATTCCACCTTTGTAAAACAAGTCCCTCTCTACCTACATACCAAGTTTCAACCCAATTGGACTTATAGAATAGTTTTGATCATTGGAAATTCACCTGTTCAGCTGTGTAGTGTGCTGGCTGGGTCATGACGCACTCACTGCAGGATTTGGCAGCCCGGCAGTTCCTATATTCACCCTTGTATAACACATCCTTGTCTACGTACATACCAAGTTTCAACCCAATCGGACTTATAGAATAGTTTTGATCATTGGAAATTCACCTGTTCAGCTGTGTAGTGTGCTGGCTGGGTCATGACACACTCACTGCAGGATTTGGCAGCCCCGCAGTTCCTATATTCCACCTTTGTAAAACACGTCCCTCTCTACCTACATACCAAATTTCAACCCAATTGGACTTATAGAATAGTTTTGATCATTGGAAACTTACCTGTTTAGCTGTGTAGTGAAGGATTTTGCAGCCTCGCAGTTCCTTCTTTTTCACCCTGTTATAACACATCCCTGTTTACGTACATACCAAGTTTCAACCCAATCGGGGAATAGTTTTGTTAATTGGAAATTCACCTGTTCAGCTGTGTAGTGTGCTGGCTGCGTCATGACACACTCACTGCATGATTTGGCAGCCCCGCAGTTCCTGTATTCCACCCTTGCGTCGTTGCAGGCAATGCCTTGCTCCAAAGAGTAGATGCCGTCACAACTACAGATAAACATGATTAACACCATTTGTACAAACGAGAAAACGTTGTTCGCGAAAGAATAAGATCAATGTTTCACCTTGAAAAAGCTGTGCACTGAGGAAGCTTGTTTCTTTACGTGTTTTTTATTTTATTTTTTATTTTTTATTAAGACTTTTCCCTTCTGCTGATAGACAGTCTGGAAATCGATCCTGTTTCCCTGCCATGCCTTTATACACGGGCTAGTCAACAAAATATGTGATGCGATCAAGCTAAATGAGTCGTTTGTCGGGAATTTTTAAGTGGAGAAACAGGCCAAAATAGGGCCACTTCATCACATCACTTCATCACATCTCTTGGTGTTCAGACTTCCATAATTTTTGAACTAAAGATGGTATCAGCATGCGGTTTTCACAGCAGTAATGCTGAGATTGTGCTCTTTTGAAATCTGTCATAAAAATTTATTTTGACCAGGGTCGACAAACGAATCATGTAGCTTGATCGCTTCACATATGTCTTGTAGGCAATGTGTCCATCAAATTTCATCATTAGACAAAAGCAGGTGCCTAGTACTGGAAAGTACAGCGAGCTTATCAATCTCCTAGAGTCAAAGTACATCTGTATCATGTTACGTAAAACGGTTACAGCCAGTCAATCCTAAGTTATGAAGGCAGGGAGCACTCAACTGTTAAAAACAGTCACTTGAGTTATTTTTAATGTTAGGATGGCTGTTGAATTTGCCACAGTGCATTTTGGTCACACTACCTGCTCGAATTTAATCCGTCATGTAAAACTGCACACGTCAGACTTTTTTTAGCATTATTCTAAAGATATGGGGACCAGTAAATAGTGCCGATTTAAGGCCTTTGTTGGATCGCCTCTGCGCGCGCGCATCGAGGTTCGTATATTTTTGAATCGTTGTTCAATTCGGGTATGGACGCTGGTGACTGAACTCACAATCATCAAGAAACTCAAACTTGTTTTACCACAAAAAGTACACAAAATCACCAGTGTCTCCATGAAAGCAACTTTCAAGCATTTTAACTGCATGGGTTGTAAATATTGAACAGCAATATTTCTCTCTTTATTGATATTTGCAAGAGATACTTTTAAGGGATCAGACTATATTCCTCACAAATTATTCCTCATTTTGTTAGAGCAAGTATCCAAGTCTGAGACCCTACCTCGCTTGATACACATCCATGCTGGCCTTGCAGAACAACAGGTTCTGGGTGTCGTTAGTCTCCACACAAGCCGCGCAGCTGGGCATGCCCAGGCACCCGTCGGTCGTGGTCTGCAATGCGCACAGGTCCGTCGGCAGATTGAGCTGGTAGAGGGCGCCCTGCGAGGTCCCGTCGTTCCCGCCGAACGTGTAGATGGCGTTGCCCGTGACGATGGCAGCAGACAGGGACGCAGATGGTGACGGGGGACTTCCAACTACAAAATCTGTTGCCAGATAGTAAAATAACTTTTTATCAATTTTTATCAATTTTTGTTCATTCATGGAAGTGGAAAAATGGTCGTTATGAATTAACATTCTGCTTAAAGGGACACTAGGTCCGGGAACAGCCCAATTGGGCTTCAAAACGTGCTTTGAACAAGATGATGTTAATCGGAAATAACATTTAAAAGTAGGATATAAACATCCACACAACTATCCTTTCAAAACTGGGCGTTTTTGTGTTATTCCTGTATTATGCGTGCAAGAACGAATTTCGGGGTCCACTTTTGCGACCCCATAAATTCGAGCTGTTAGGATGCTAGTTGTGATTTCATTCGTAAAGTGTTCGCCTTTTGCGGACGTTAAAGAAACCACTTTTTTTGCATTGGTGATTGGTCACCGCTGTTCCCGAGACACACAACGTGTATATCGTACACTGAGAACGACACGAAAAACGTATTCGTACTATCATGTCCGATGTAAACAAGCAGGTTGTTTTCGTCTTTTCTCGGGAACGGTAAGACATTAGGTTGGTTTCCTTTCAACCAGATGTTTGAAATAGGTTCAGTAAACAATCAAAAACATAACATTTTCGGGGATTTCAGGACCTAGTGCCCCTTTAAGCACACATGTAAGGCAGGATGAGTTCCCGGCAAAAGGTTGTTAGCATGAAAATGTAAATAACTTTACAATTAAGTAATATTTTGACCACAAAATGCAGATTCTTCAAATTGTTGACAATTATCATCAGTCAAAATTACAGACTTATGTGATTTTCTGTTTAAAAATGGGAGCACAAAGGCCATTAAACTTGATTATATCAAACAGTGATTTTTGCATGCCTCTGCTGCTCTCAACACTGAAAAGGTGAACATTTTGTCAAAATGTGATTTTGAGTTTTTGTCATGAATGACATCTTTAATACCTACAGTTTCATGTTACATTCACAAAAATGCTGATTTTGATGAACACAGTGGAAAAGAACAACCATTTTGTGTGCATCGTTCTGTTGTTCTACAACAAAGCCAGCTATTTCAAAACCTGTTTTCTCAGTTGTGTAATTTGAACTCCAAATAAGTAATAAATATGCAAATACGTCATATCTCCAGAACGGCAGGGGCTATGGAGCTTTATGATGTACCAAATGCAAGCTTGCGTTGTGGGCTTTCCAACCATATATATTACTCAATTTCAACCATATATATTACTCAATTTTTGCGACATAATACCCTTTTTTGTGGAGCCGGTCACTTATATCATAACACAATGTAATACAGGTGGTTATGGGTTTTTAGCATCTTTACGTAACAATGACAGGAAATGTGACTCACCGTTAAGATCCACCCACTGGTTGCAGTCGTAGTGGTACGCCATCAGCGTGTTGGAGATGTTCTGGGTTGGGGTCCCACCCCCGATGACCACCATGTAATTGGACGTGGTGACAGCAGCGTGGAAGATATGGGGTAGCGGCTGGAAGGTCGGAAAAGGCATTTTTAAATAATTGAAGCTCTGCCTTTGAGTTCATACTGGATTTCTCTCAAACAATTCCAGAACTCGCTCAAAACTTCCCCTGGAACTTTTAAAATATGTGAGCCGTTCTGGCAAAATGAGACAAAACTGGGCAGAGATCAAATTCAGGGTTTGCTGGGATTAGGAAAGAGAAATACATTCTCCTTGCAATACTGTTTGTTGCACTCGAATAAGCCTTTTCTGAGTTCCAACTGCGCGCATTCGTAACCTGTGGCAACGCACATTATTTGTCTCAAATGCCCTTTGACAGTACCCACAATGCACAAACAGCCTTTTTGTAAAGTCAGTGGCGCGATGATGTCAAAGGCCATTTGAGACAAACAATGCGCGTTGTCACAGGTTACGAATGCGCAGTTGGAACTCCGAAAAGGCTTATAGGACATTCTGTTGACAAGTTATGGCTGTTCAAGTTTGCATTCATCGACATGTACAGAAACTATATTGAGAAAAGGGACAACAAAGTTTCAAGTTTGTATTTGTGAAAATGAAAGATGCCAATTACATTCCCTTAAATAATTTTAATTCCACAATTTTTATACTCTTTCTTTAAAACATGTGAAGTAGGCATTTCCAAGATTATCAATATCAATAAATCTGAAAATCCAAAACAAAATCACCCCTATTTGTTTTTCTCCCATTTTTCTCTACTGCGGCCTGTGCCCTTTTCCGTCTCATTTCGCCAGAACGCCTCATGTATAGGCTCAAAATTTCCCTGATCACACATTCTGAGTTTACCTACTTGTTTGCGAGAGAGTTTATCGATGTGATTGTCTACTTTTCTGTTGGAATGCACGATGAAAAAGTGCTGAAAATAATCCCTGACAAACATATACTTGGATTTTTGAGTGAAAGTAGTAATTTTTTATCATGATTTGTCACCCAAATAAAGTTCTGTATGTTGACTTTAATAGGAATTTCTGGGATTTTTTTATAAGTGCACCACATTTTGGTACCCCAATTAAGTGCCAGATTTCTGGATATTAGGATTCCAATACAAGTTTTGTTCAGGTATTAATAGTGGTAACATTTAACTTAATGTATCTGAAGCTTGTCAAAAAAGAGGGTTGTTTAATAATGCATTTAAGGAAGCCTTGGGAAAGAGTACATATGTATGAGCTCAGGTGTCCAGTCTAATGCAGTCCCCCCACCTCTGCCAATGAAGATAAGCCCCACCCACAATTCAGCAAGTCACTCTTACCTGGTTCCCAGGCTCGGCAAGCAGCAGGTTCCATCTTCTGACTGAGTTTCTGTAGTCCAGAGAGTACAGTCTGTCCGAGACAAAGACGCTGTCCAGGTGAAAGAGGTAACCGCCATAGACATACAGGGCCTTGGTGGTGGAGTGCCAGACTGTGCTGTGGCCAAACAGACCTGGCAGAAACAAATTCAAATCATGCAACTTGTATAATCTGGGCCTTAGTGCATGGCTCTGCTAAGTTGCAAAAAGATCAATGCATGTAAATCCCATGGGTCTTGCAACGTGGAAATCAGAGGTCACCAGAAACTTGGATAAACATAATGGTACCAGTGAAGGTTATCATGCACATACCAGTGGGAGGGGGTCCAGTTGTTTGAACAGCCAGCCACGCATTGTCGGCAACGCTGAATTCCAGCACCTTGTCTTGGAGACCGTTGGTCGGCGAGTAGCCGCCAATTGTCACCAAGGTTTCATCCTTGACCACAACAAAAGAATGGCCTGCCAGTGCTACAGGAAAAACGGCTGGAATCTGCAAGAAAAACAGTTGTGAAAATCTTTCCATTTCTTGCGGATTTATATCTTAAATCTGCATTAAATGCCACAACTACGACCAAATCCCACCCCTGCCACTATATTCCAATGCTGTTACCATAATAATAATAATAAAACCGTTCTTATTAAGCGCATTACACACGGAGTCCCAATGCGCTGTACAAATTAAAAATAGGACAAAAATTAATCAGAATTGAACAAATGGGTTTTGAGGAGGCATTTGAATTGGTCCAGACTTTGTGCGTCTTTGATGCTTTGGGGGAGTTTGTTCCAAAGAGTGGGCGACGATGTAGAAAAAGCACGCTGGCCGTATGTCCTTGTAGATGACGATGAACAGGTGAGTAGGGATTTTGAGTGGGAGCGAAGTTTTCGTGGAGGTTCATATTTGTTAATCAGATCCTGTAGATATGTTGGCGCATGGCCGTGGATGCAGTTATACGTAATCAGAAGTACTTTGTACACAATCCGTTGCCTAACCGGAAGCCAGTGTAGGTCGCGGAAGATTGGTGAAATATGGTCACTACTTTTGGTTCGGGTGACCAATCTGGCTGCCGAGTTCTGAACTCGTTGTAACTTGGAGATTGTTGAGTCAGGTAGGCCAAGAAGAAGGCTGTTGCTACCATATCCCCACTTGCCACTATTTTTTAACGCTGTTACCATATCCCCATCACTGCCACTAAATTCTACAACTGTCACCACATCTCCTCGCCATTACTGAATCCCACCGCTGCCACCAAATCCCACTGCTGCCACCATTTACAGCTATAAACAAGCAACATATATCTCGATGAATGAAAAGCAATGTTGTTTACCTGGGACCAGTTCTCGCTGACAGTGTGGAAGTACCACACGTCCTGCATAACCGTCGTATCATTCATTCCCCCAGAAATCATCACGTAGGATGAGGAGAATGTCGCCGCATGGTAGCGTCTGGGAGCTGGGTGGGCAGAGCTGCCCGAAAAGTGTTGCTTCCACTTCTTTGTAGCGAGGTCATAGCTACACAGATAATACAAGATACAAATTGACTATCAGCATTCAAGTTAATTACTAGCCAAGCTTATAGCTAACTTAAAACTGCTCCATGATAGTTAAAATTTACTTCTCAGGGTACATGGCGAGCATGTGAAATAAACTGGGCCAGGGGGCTAGTACAGTCAATTTAGTTTAAAGGGGTTGTGGAATGCTCGAAGACATTTCCGTTATTTTTTGGGTATATGTAGCCTAAGGTGTGATGAAATAAAAACGACTATTGTTTCTGTCATGAAATGAGTACAAAGGGTACTTTTGAGAGCTATTTTTCAGGTCCTGTTTCGACCAGAACGTACAATTTGTGTAAAAGTCGTCGTTGCGGGCAGCAAACAAAACACAGTAACTCGTGACGTAATAAACAGGACTCGTTTATGCTACTCTGCATCGGGAGTCCTGTTTATTACGTCACGATTTACTGTGTTTTGTTTGCTGCCCGCAACGACGACTTTTACACAAATTGCACGTTCGGGTCGAAACAGGCATGACAGGACTTGAAAAACAGCTCTCAAAAGTACCTTTTGTACTCATTTTATGACAGAAACAATAGTCGTTTTCATTTCATCACACCTTAGGCTACATATACCCAAAAAATGACGGAAATGTCTTTGAGCATTCCACAACCTCTTTAAATCCTTACTATATGTCTATAGTCTTTAGGCCTTCTTGTACCTGTGAGTTGGACACTATAACCATTGTGCTGTGAAAAACTGGTTTTGTTAAAACCTCTTCAATTTGCTAGTGCCATCCAAATCAAATCATTTGAAATTTGTACAAGGGTGATTTATTTAAACTTACCTCCAGACATCATTTAGGTGCCCGTGGGTGTGGGAGTAGCCGCCAAACAACCACAGCACATTGGCCTCGCTGGCCACAAGTGTGTGGCCCATCCGGCCGCAGGGCACGGCCCCGACCGTGGAACTGGCGTCAGGATCCAGCCGTGCCTCGTCCGCCAGGAGGGTCCAAATGCCTTGCTTGAGCCCAGCCAGAGGGGAGGTGGGGTACTGGCAGGCATCGCCGCCAAAGCCTGCGCTGCAGTTGCACACGCCCATGGCCTTCAAATCAGAAAATCAGTTCAATATAATGTAAAACTTGTGAAACGTTCTGTAAAAGAAACAAACTCTTTTGGGTAGTTGACGAAAGTAGGTATTATTTTACATGTAGTTACAATATAGATCATTTCCTTTTATAATTACAGTTTAATTTTGGGGGGAAAAAGGGACTATGCCTTGCAAAACAGGTGGTTTGGGCAATATGAAGACAGAGGACAACCTCTTAATTTTGCACATCAGAAATTGAAGAATTGATAATAAAGTCTTGTACTTGTCACATAATCCACATTCATACGTGACAGACTTGAGAAGTGTCTCATTGAATGTGAGTATTTTTCAGTTTTGAAAAAGGTTTGGTTGAGAAACTTGTAGTTCATACACACAGATTCTACTACACAACTAGTCATTTTAGAGTACACGAATGGAAACATGTCATAACAAGAATAGTACATGCTGCCATGCGCGTCGGCAAAATTAAAAGTTTTTTTTTTCAATGAAAGATGATGTCTCAAAACCGCCAAACTCACTGGTTTGACTGGAATCCTGCTGGTGCACAATTTTAACGTGTTTTTAGATTGGGTTATGGTCGAGAATAAGCTTTATGTGGCCTCTCTGGACTCCCATATATTTGCACTTTAGTCGGGCACCATTTGCAGTCATCAGCACAAATTTGAAGCAAAAAACAATCAGGTAAAAAAAAAAAAAAAGCCGCGTCACCGCACCACTTTTTGGGCAAGCTCCATACCAGAAACCGGAGACTTTTTTTTTTTGGCCTTAAATAGTACATTTTACAAAAAGTTCCAATGAAGAAAAGAAAAAGCCACAAGGAGATTTCTGTAAGTAGACATATGTCTTAAGGCCAAAAAAAATAATAGTTCGCTTCCGGTTTCCCTACCTACCCTATTTTGACAGCCCCTACCCTAATTTTTTTATGGGAGAAATAAGAAAAAAAAACACCCAAAACCATCAATTTCTACCTCTTACCCTTGACTACACGCAGACGCCTCCATATGATCACACACAAATAAAATTGGCAAAAAAATATTTCCCTACCTACCAACCCTTTTTTCAAATGCCATGTAATCGGAAGCAGACGTATTTTTTTTTTGGGCCTAAGGTCTGATTTAAAGGCTCTTGAGGGCTGATTTGAAGGCTCTTAACCCTAACCCCTAAAGGCTCTTTGGGGTCAAGGACCAAATACCACAGAATACTACATTTGTTGTGCACACTTGTATGGAAAGAAATGCATACTACAGGTTAGTACTCAGTAGTATTTTGTAGCTTTATGGGCAGATAGGGTTAAGGGCTGTTTCGAAGGCTCTTAACCCTAACCCTGCCAGACGCATCACAGTGCATCAGGTGGAAAAGTCTGGTGCACTTTGATTGAAAATGCTACCAACACCAGTGCATGAACGACCACTTCTGAGACACTGAGAGCTAGTCCCATAGAACAATGCCAGAGTTGTATCCTGCTGCATTCGGTGACCACAGACTCTGAGGCAGTTTGGCCTTGAAACTTTTGGCCTGATGGATCTTGCTGCACTGGGCAGGCTTGTCACTTAGACAAGTGTTGCATGTTGCTGCGTTTGGCAGGGTTTCTAGCCAAAATACCCTGGAGGGTTAGGGTTAAGGTATCAACAGGCATTAAATACCAAATACAATTATACGGCCGGATCACATTTTCCTACCTCGTCACAGATCCCTTGACCGTCCGCCTGACTGCAGTTACCCGGACATGCCTCCTCCTCGCAGTTCGGTCCCCGGTAGCCGCTGCTGCAGCGACAGGTTCCCAGAATGCACTCACGGTTGCCGTGGCAACCGCCAGGGCAGCGGTTGACGCTGTAGCTGGCCACGAAGCCTGGGGAGTCCGTGCTGCCGGTGTGGTTGGCCTGGTAGACGACGGTCATGATGCCTGAATTTAAAGTTTTGGTGAAAGAAATAAAGCTCCAGTGAAAGTACTCCCACAACAGCTGCAAAGGCTGTTCGGATGGATTCTTGAAGGCATTGCTAGCGTACATCTGGTAATGTTGTAACGCTCTTACTTTATGTTACAAGAGAAGCTTGTAAATAATTTGTCATATTGCATGCATTATACGTGGCCTAGTCTAAATTCTTATCGTTTCGATTTGCGCTAACACCATGTGGTAATAACTACTGTCGCTCAGTAGATTTTCAGTTCTGATAAGAACTTGTCCTGCTTATTATCAACTTTCACTTAGTAGATTTTTAGTTCTGATAAGAACTTGTCCTGCTTATTATCAACTTTCGCTAAGTAGTTTTTAGTACTGATAAGAATTTGTCCTGCTTGTTATCAACTTTCGCTAAGTAGTTTTAGGTTTTGATCAGAACAGTCCTGCTTAGTTCTAAAAGATCTTGTCTTTGGTCTCAACGTTTCGACTTGCCTGCTCTACTCATCGTCAGGAGACTGCAGTTATTATCATCACATGGTGTGTGGTAGTTATTACCACAAGGTGTTACCGCAATCCCAAACGATACTGATACTCTACCATGCAAAGCCTTAAATCTTATATCTAAAGGGCCTGTCACATTATATGCGATCTCATAGACCTTATGGCAACCAAAAATATTTCATAAATTTAACAATCGCAGCGAGGACGCAAGAACATGACAACTTTCTGTCTCAAAGAAGCTCAAGCTACGCTCATACTGTGCTCTTCCCACGCTTACGATGCGCTCAACTCGCTCTCTATGCGCCCCAGTCAAGCTCAATTACTTGATCTAGTCGCTGCTGCTGCGCTGTCACTGTGCTTCATTACGGCGCCCTGGCCAGAGCGCAGAGGTGTTGCGATTGTTTTGAGCATGTTCAAAGACCTTGGCGCTCATCGGAGACCATTAAGACCCTCTGGCGCCCATCTGGCGACCTATGTAGTTGTCGCTGCGATCTAGTAGTTGTTTTTGCGCCCCAGCTATTTTTCAAGGACGCAGTGAAAGCGCATATAAGATCGCAGACAGTTTGACAGGGTTCTTAACTATCTTGTTACAGGAAATTTTGACTGTTGAATTTAAATGCTTACAGGCAAGGCTGTTGTGTCACATGTAAACATTTTTTTCAAATTATCTCAACTTTAAGACACTGTAATGGTTTTGGTGACCTTTGAAATACTGTAAGTCAATAATACAAAACACTAAATTCTGGCATTTGCAGGACAAAAGTGCCCCTGAAAAGTTTGATCTCTGGAACTTACCGGAGTGGGCCATGGCTGTGACACGTTCCAGAGGATCTTGACCACAGAAGGCCCCCAGGTCTGCCCCAGCCAGCTCAGGGTGCGACGAGGACAAATAGGATGGTATTCCGTCGTATACGTACATGTAATCTCTCTGCAGGGAACCAATGGGAAAAATAGGAAATTTGAACAAATCCATCAATTTTAACAAAATTTTGATGGTCTGTTGTGGCGAAGTAGTCTTTGCAAGATAACTGTTGTTGCCCACATGCAAAGTGGGGACTTACATTGTATGGCAAACTAGTCAATTGCTAACTATGAACAAGTTCGACCAAGGACCATCGGTCGCCTTCTGGTCGACTCATGACTTAAAGTATCGCCGTGATTTATCAATTATTTCATTTTTTTCGCAAACAATTTTCTCAAGTATATGACGTCTTTGTACAAATAAATTGGTTTTTAGTATTTAGAGGCAATGATTCCTAAAAAAAAATAGAGAGCTTGGTATATTACGCTTGTTAACCCACACTGAAGTGGCATACGTGTTAATATGGCACTTGTCACACTTTTGGTATGACGTTGATGATGAAATTCAGGGTTGGGCTGTTGTGGTAGTGTTTCTTATGGATATCAATAAGTCCGACTGGAGTGAAGTATAAGCAGGGATGCTCCTAATTCAAAAGTTGAATTCAAAGGATTAATAAATGATCAATTAAATTTTACATTTGATTTTTTTTTAGAGCGCCACACCCAAAGAGCACAGGACCCTCCCTTTAAGTCTGTGCACTAATATTAATTTGGGAACATGTGTCGTCAAAAGGCTGGTCAAGAATAATGGACTAGACTAGTTAAACCATCGTTAAGCCAGCATTTGATCGGAGTTAGTCAAACTCTGGAAAACTACACTAGTTTGATTCATTACTGTGAATCCTAGCTAACTCACCCCACAGAGCGCCTCAATGCCTTCCACGGTCAAGCTGATAGTCGGTGGGTCAGTCATGGCCGCCGTGTGGGTCAAGTTGTCGCCAGCGGTCAGCACCCACAGGCAGTAGGCCTCGGAGAGGGTCACTCCGTCCCCCTGGCCCGAGCCCAAGGCAGCGGATTCCACGTTGGTCAGCAGCATCCGGCCGCTGCACTCGCGGGAGCAGTGCTGGGCAAATCTGTCAGACAAAACCAAAATATGTTGTCGTTAAAAAGTTCACCTAGGAAAGTAGATTGTCTTGCTATTTTGGTTAGCAATAAAACAGGTTATGAGATGGACTGTTGCGTCGGGGTGATGTAAATCAAAAATAGGTGTTGCCCTTCACCGACGTTTAAACACTGTATACTCAGAGTGAAAGTTGGAAAAATCACTCGGATGGGACTCAAACCCATGACCTCCTGCTTTCTAGCACAGACGTTCCATCACTCAACCACCGAGCTAACGGGATCAGTTGGCTGGTTCGAGTCAAATGTACATAGCAGCGGGTACTGCATTAACTATTCATAAGATGGACTTTCGTGTTGGTGTGATATAAATCAAAACTAGGTATTGCCCTTCACACTGATTAACACACTGAGTATACAAACGTCGGGGAAGGACAAAACCTAATTTTGAACAAACAAGTCATTAACTTTTGAATGAGATACATACTAGACTTAGAAAAGAAATTGAAAATGTCAAAAATCTGCAAAATATCACTATATCATTACTTCAATGTGCACATTTACATTTTAGAGTTTAGAAACCTACCAAGTTTCAGTTCAATCAAATTTGTTGTTCTCGAGATAGTGGACTTTGGAAAATGTACCTTTTAGTAGTTGATATCAAGTGAGACATTATGATTCTGACTTGAGAATACGACTGATTTTTTGTGCTATGGAAATGTTTTCCATGCTAAGTATTTCTGTAGAAATTCTGCAAAAAAAACCATTGTCATTACTTCAATGTGCAATTTACATTTTAGAGTTTATTAACCTACCAAGTTTCAGTTCAATCAAATTTGTTGTTCTCAAGATATTGGACTTTGGAAAATGTACCTCATAAGTTATTGTCAAATAATTATTGTCAACGGGATACTGTATCAAGACCAGCCCTGTACCGGCCGAGAGGGGCAATAGTACCCACCAAGGATCATACCGGCCGTAAAGTGGCTGGCCGGTTAACCCTATCCTTACCATGGGTGACTTAGTCGACAAGAAGAACCCCCCTGCTGGTTCCCATGGGCGACTTTAGTCCACCAGGAAACCACACACAGAACACCCTCAACACAGATATATTCACTACTTTTCAGAAAGGCGGCATGTTGATATGTTTGGCCGTCCATACATCAACCATATACCAGCTGAAAGAGTGTTTTCGGATCGTTCTAATGGTGTAGTTTATTCAAAGTGTTGACATTACAAAAAAATGAGAAAAGTGCTTCAGAAGTATCCACGCACAAATTGAGGTATGGAGTGCCATTTGGTCATGTGGTGAAATGGCTTGCAGTTTGATAAATGGAACCAGATGAACAAACAGGCATAACTTTCTTATATTTACACATATGGACTTCATTTTTACAGCGTAAGGTTCACGGAACAAACTTTACACACAACACCTATGATTTAAATCACTCCTTGGCAGTGAAAATCTGGGTTGAAAAAAGTGAGTTTTGGACTTGCGGTCATTTTGTTCACGCTCTAGTGATTTCCGCATGACTGAGCAAACACTTTGGTCCTGGGGAGAGCCAAGTCAATAAACAATGTGGTCATGAAAGGGTTAAGCAACCGGCTGGTGATGGAAGCTGAGCCTTACCTTGGGTCATGATAGAATCCCGTCACGCAGTCCTCGCAGTGATCGCCCTTCGTGTTCTCGGTGCAGTAGCAGATCCCCGTTTCGTTGTGACAGCTGCCCAGGGTCGCGTCGCCGTGCCCGTTGCACTGGCACTCCCGGCAGCCCTGGGATTGGTCAGTGGCGTTGCCGTAGCTACCGGGCCGGCACAGCTCGCAGAACTGGCCCATGGTCCAGTCTGAAATAGATAAAAGTAAGAAACAAAAATCAGGCAATATGTCCAAACAAAAGCTTCTCAGTTGCTGCATGACAGGCCAATTTACACCAAAGTGTTTCGGTGTTGTCTTTAACCATCCAAATATTAAACAGTCACAGACAGTCCAAATTTCCATCCACTTCCCCTGCTATACTTTTAACACAGGCTAGTCACTAGCCCCATAAATGTGGCCAATTTACTGGACCACCTCCGTAAATAAAGGCCACACTTCCACCATGTACAAAAACATGTTGAACTTTGTCAAATTTTGATTTTCACATTTAGGCTTAGTTTTTAGTTTATTATTGCTTTAGAAGCATGCTCACCCTCTTTATAGTCTAATCAGAAAGTGCTGCCTTTTTCAGATGTCTATTTCTCGTGAAATTTTCATATTAGTTTGCACATGTTTTTGTATCAAATTTTCAACATGAAATTTCACAAAAATTAGATATCTGAAAGAGGCAGCACTTTCTGATAAGCCTATATAGAGGGTGAGTATGCTTCTCGATCAAAAATAAACTACAAACTAAGCCTAAATGTGAAAATCAAAATTTGACAAAGTTCGACATGTTTTTGTACATGGTGGAAGTGTGGCCTTGATTTACGGAGGCAGTCCAGTAAATTGGCCACATTTATGGGGCTAGCTAGTCACCAACAGTCAGATCATATGTCAAGCAAGCACTGTGACTAGTCAAATTTAGTCAACAGACCATGAACAGACAAAGCAGCAAGTTGTGGGCACAGCTGGCTTATCAAACACCCATAATCAAAATAAAGCTAATACATAAACAGTCACAGCCAGTCAATCCTGCTTTATGTAGGCTGGGAGCTCTTAACTGTTGAAAACACTTGATTGATATTAACTGAAAGGACACCTTGGCACAGAATGTATATTTGCATGGGGGGTTCAAGATCTACTGCCAATGCTTCTGTAGAGATTCATCTCAAAAAGTAAAGTGCATTTTAAGTTGCCATTTTTTTTTCCTATCAATTTTTTTTAAATTCACTTCTGATTGAGACGTTATTAAAAAAACGTCATGATTTTGAATTCTATGTGGCTAAAGATGATAAAGTTCTCATAAGGTAGACTGGTTCCTGCCCCCTTTTGGTATCCATGGAATTACATGGCGACCAGAAACCAGTCTACTCAGTCCACCAGTCTACTAGAGAAGAAAAAATAATATGTTTTTGCCATAAAATAAAACGCTCAAAGTTGCCAATTCATTGGGATAAAACAATTGAATTTGTCGAAAAGCAAGTATAGAACAGAATAGGATGGAAACTGCATGTAACATGGCAAATGAGGATTGAAATAGAATAATAATCTTACGTTGGCATTCGTCGCAGATGCCAATCCCAGTTTCGCAGGTGCTGTGGAAATTGCACTCGCAGTCCGTGCTGCAGTTTTCCCCATTCCACCCGACGTCGCAGATGCACGTGTAGTCTGGTGCCCCACTGCAGCGGCCGTGGATGCACTCATGGTAACACCTAATGCACACAAAGCATGGTGGGATACCAGTCAGTTTCTCAACAGTGTTTTCATTTTTGGCAAACAAACAGGCCATTACATACAATTAATCGACTTTCAGATGCAATTTGGACATTCATTTCACAGTGTTTTTGCATCCAGTAAATCTAACAGTCCTTTTGATTTGAGGTGCGCTTGCACCCCCACGCCATCGCACACCTAAAAGAAGTGTGAATTATCGCACGCCTGAATCCCTCTGCACCGCACACTTCGACATACATTTACAGCATAACTATACTTCTGTGAGCTCTTGAAATGGCTTTACTGTTAACCAAAGTGAATATTATAACAAAAAAATATCAGATTGTTCAGTTTCGGTTTGGACCACTGAATCACACGCATAGAAAAATCACACGCCCAGAAAAATCACACGCCCAGAAAAATCACACGCCTAGAAAAATCCAGGTGTGCCTTTTTCCACACACCTGTGATTTTCAAATCAGGACTGATCTAACAGTGCGATACCCTTTAGTTAATTTTTTGATTAGTTACATTTTATAGTTTCACAGTATCTAAAACAACTTGATGGAAAATTTGTAGCCTTCCTTAAAACCCTAACCGTCCAGGGTATTTTGGCAAGAAACCCTGCCAAACGCAGCAACATATGTCTAAGCGACAAGCCTGCCAAGAGTCAACCTCGACCCCAGGGTGTCAAGCAGTACGCGCCCATCACTACCTGCTCTCTCACCCTGGTATTGGATCATTTGCATGTGCAAGATTTTTGAACACGTATGCAAATGAGGAATAGTCTGGTGCCTGCTTGTGCGTTACATTTGCGTTTGTTTTTGTATGCGGTGTCTGGGGTAAAAGCAGAGTCAATTCGTTGCAGCGCGAGCATACCGTGAGTTACGAAAAACACGATTTATTTAATTAAATTGTTACGATCTTACCGAGACAACATGTAGTATCACATTTCATATTAACATGAACAAATTGGGAAGGAAATGAGTATTTTCGAGAAGGCGTGGACGAATAATCGCGAAAACATGTACTGCACGTTGTGAATAACAACACCAAGTACACGACAAAAATCCATTTCTAGCCAATTGCCGTATCGAATCAGGATGCAGGAAGGAAGTTTCCTATCCAGGGTTTACTATTGGAAACTAGGTTGGAAATAAAGTAAGCACTGGGGACGAGGTTGGCCCAGAGTAGCAAGATCCATCAGGTCAAAAGTCTCAAGGCCAAACTGCCTCAGAGTCTGTGGTCACTGAATGCAGCAGGATACAACTGTGGCATTCTTCAATGGGACTAGCTCTCATTGTTTCAGAGCTGGTCATTTACGCACTGGTGCCGATAGCTGAATGCATGAAAGTGCACCAGGCTTTTCCAGCTGATGCACTGTGTTGCGTCTTGCAGGGTTAGGGTTAATAGACACAAGAGTATCCACCCAAAAATTCTTGAGCTAAAAAAAATTCCACTCATAAATCTGTTTATGACGATTAAATCTGTTTATGACGATTGCACTTGCTGACAATAATGTCAATACAAATATTCTGAAAAGGTAAGTGTACCGGTACATATAATTAGTTAGTTAAACTTCTGTTAGGCCAAACAAAAAAAGTCTCCGGTTTCTGGTATGCGCGCGCGTCGCCGTAGCCATGCGCGTCGGCAAAATGAAAAAGTTTTTTTTTCAATGAAAGATGATGTCTCAAAACCGCCAAACTCACTGGTTTGACTGGAATCCTGCTGCTGCACAATTTTAACGTGTTTTTAGATTGGGTTATGGTTGAGAATAAGCTTTATGTGACCTCTCTGGACTCCCATATATTTGCACTAAGTTTAGTCGGGCACCATTTGCAGTCATCAGCCGACATTTGAAGCAAAAAAATCAGGTAAAAAAAAAAAAAAGCCGCGTCACCGCACCACTTTTTGGGCAAGCTCCATACCAGAAACCGGAGACTTTTTTTTTTTGGCATTACATGTATAAGTTCAATTACGCATCAATACAAAATAATTCTGTAACAGAGAAGGGGGAATGAGCAAGCAAAAAACATATGGTAATCCCTAAAACTCTTATTTGTTTATTAGGCCAACTTACGTTTTGACGCATTCGTCCCTCCCGTTCCCCTCGAATCCCCGGTTGCAGGTGCACTCGTACGCGTCAAACGTGTTGGCGCAGGTGGCGTTGGCGTGGCAGTCGTCCAATTCCAGCATGCACTCCTCCACGTCCGGGCAGATCCGGTAGGACCAATCGGCCGGCTCGCTCTCCGAGATGTTGTACTGCACAGCCACAAGGGCGCTACAGGACTGGGCCGAGTCCGGGCCGCCAAAGTTACCCTCCTGACAACTGAGAAGGAAGTAAGAATGGGAAACCATGTAAACTTGTTAAGAGCGTATGCAATGAAAGTTTTTAATGCTATCCTTGAAAATGCACGTTTGTGTCCCATTTATCCTTATGTTCAATTTTCATTTTGCCATTTTTCAAGGGTATTTTGGAGCCTTTTTGGTTTTTATGTTAATGCAAATTTGCATATTCATGAGCAAAATTGTGATGTCATTTCAGGCAGAAACCTCAATGTTACAGCTATTTCTGCACCAAAAGTTGCCAGAATTTTGGATACTTTGCCATTGCAGAATATGAGCCTTTCTCTCCCCTTTATAAAAAACAACAACTCACAATAACACTTTACAAGTAAAAACAAGATCTAAATGTGAAATCCATAATTTAAGCTCCAAAACCCCAAAATTTTTGACAAAAATAAAACTTTCAATCTCGCTGGTACACCTTAAAGGTCTTGTTGTTGGTTATGTCCCCTTCAATTTGATGCCACATTTGAGGTTGCACTACTTGTAATTCTGAAGATTAAATTTTTCCCCCCACTTTTCAGCTGTGTTCACTTTTCCATGGAAGTGGCAAGATATATATATTTTTTTACAGTACTCACTTTCCCAATGTTGGGTTGTCCCTGTTACCACACCAGCCACACTTGAAATCTGCCAGGCAGCTCTTGCAGTCCGTGTGAGCTGCGCATGACGGACAGGCCTTGTTTCTACAACAAAGAAAGTATTCATAAAATAGATTACTTTAGACTGAATTCTTTTTATAGACAGTCATAAAATCAATCCTCTTCCCCTGCCATGCCTTTTACACACAGGCTAGTCACCAACAGTCAGATCACATTTCAAGCAAGCACTCTGACTAGTCAAATTCAGTCAACAGAGAAAGCAGGCCAGTAGGCACAGTTGGCTTTTCAATCACCTGCAGTCAAAGCAAAGTTACATAAACAGTCACAGCCAGTCAATCCTGCTTTATGTGGGCTGGGAGCTCGTAACTGTTGAAAACAGTCACTTGATTTTATTTGACTGACAGGAAAACTTTGCACAGAATGTATGTTTGCATAGGAGGGTTAATCTGAACAGAACTGTAATGATAACATTAAATAATGTGCACAACTTGACAAAAAAAAAGGTTAACTTACAAATCAAACCAGTTTGGGCACTGGCCGTAGGTGAATGATGTTACGTATGTCCCAAAGGTGAAACATGTCTTGGTCTCCTCACACCATGCACACTCCTTTGTGCGCTTGGAACAGTCCGAACAGTTAGTGTATCTGCACAGATGAAAGGACAAACCATTGTTGAACCAAGGGGTGTTTCGTTTATGGTTATCTAAATGTAGCTATTCTTTTGGTAAATGTCTGGTTGACTATGATTCCACTTTGATTTGTGATTGACAAAACAGAAAAAAAAACACCAGGGGAAAGAATTTTTGAAATTTGAAATTTGAAATGTTTCCAGACAGGAAACAAATTTCTGTTCTTCAAGGGCCTGCATGGTTATTTTCATTAACATGATTTGCAGAAAGTTCCAGACAAATCAATTTGAATATTTTTCAGTTCATCTTAACATTTATTTCCATATTGCAAAGAACATTCAGGGAACTGTACAGAAGGTCGACTTATGCACTATGTTTGAAAAAATACAACATTAATAATTATGTAAGTGTCTTATGACGTACTCATGGCAGTTGAAAGTGCACTGATTCGGGTCCTTGATGCTGGTGAGAAAGCGCCCTCGCCTGGTGCACCTGACATCATCTCCTGAAATCAGCCACTCGCACAAAGGATTCTGGGAGAAAAAAAAAGAAACGCATATTTACTTCGTAATCTACAACATACATTGTATAAAACTTTATTACATTGTATATAACTTTATTACATTGTATTTACTCCCCGATATTCATAAGCACATACACTCTAGGAGCAGTTAAGGCCAGTAAAGGGAATAACAGAGAGGGCAGTACAGCGACTACCGGGTTATCTTTACAACTTTCTAATTCAAACATTTGATAATTTGTTTTACACTGATGTGTTATAACAGGCCAAGGCAAGCCTAGTAAAGCTATTCCCAGAGTTCATTTTTATATAGTTGACTCAACATAACTATTCATCGTCTTTTCCTGTATATAGTTTACATGGTGAGCAAAAAAAAAAAAGGAAACCACAAGTGGCAGGACTATATTCTTAATGAAGTTCTGCATGTAGCACTCTCAAAATCTAGGATATGAAAGCCCAATTAATAAGCTTTCTTTTAGTACAAGAATCATTCAAATCACTCGTGTACTTTTTAAGTTACAGAATTATAAACACAACCACCGTTTTAAAGTTTTGTCCGCGGACCATAAAAAACTGTGTCAACATACCTCGGTGCACGACAAGCAGTCCACGTACAGCTTACAGTCCAGACACTGGTCCCACTGCGTGATCAGGTGGTGCATGATGGCGCCGGTAGCCGTGCCGCAGTGGTCCTCCGCTGCAGTGGTCTTACTGCGCAGTTCGCAGGTCTCGCTGGCCGGGCACCAGCCACAGGACGCGTCTGTCAAGCAGCCGGAGCAGGTGACGTAGGAATCGCAGGCGCCGGAATAGTAGGGTTGCAGATACTCCCTTGAGAAGGTCTAGAGTTTTATCCAAATAAATTAAAGGGAAAATACAACATTTGCAAACATCAAAAAATAAAACTACCAAATCATTTTGAAATACCTTGCTGGACTGTTAGTGAATGACAGTGTAAAAGCATCCTATAAAATCATGGCACCTGGTATACTGTCATTTTCAAGAAAAGTGGTATTTTTGTATCAATTTCCAACGCTGGTCGGCCGACCAGCGTTGGAAAACACTGGCTTTTTTTCAAATACTGGCCCCAATTGACCATCGCACTTGTTTGCAATCGATTACACACCTATGAACGGGTACAAGCCAGCTAGACTGGTTCCCTGACCTTAAAATTAACCAATGTATGTTAACTGCTCTGTTTCTTCTTATATGGAGTCAGGGAACCAGACTACAGGAAAATGATTGTTTTCTTGGTTTTTAAAGCATTTTCGAACCCAAAACCTCAAAAAGTCAGTGTAACTATATTTGCTATATATTTCCAACCCCCCAATTCCATCCATTTCTGAAAATTACAACAAAAGCAAATGATGTATATTCCCTTTAACTTAAATTAATTTGTAACCCTTGATTTACACTCGTGCAATATTGTCATAGCTTGTGCCATATATTCTTGTATCCACCTCAAAGCCATCCAATATTATTATGACTATTACCGATAATTGGGTATTAGGGAGACATTCCCATAGACTTGTCCACACATTTTTTTCCAACTTTAATGACCCTTACCCCAATTTTACCTTATCCAACCCCCACAAATTTCGGTATTTTTACTAATTGGACCACGAGCAATCGATCTAGCCTATTTGCGACATCAAAATTGTGCCTCTAAGTGGAATTAAAAAAAGTAAAGTCTGTCCCGAGCCAATGTGGCTCATTAGGCCGGCGTTTATCTCCGGTTTCAGTAGCATGAAACGACTGAGAATATTTCTACTCCCCCTGGATGGGATGCTAGTCCATCGCAGGTTACTCCCCAGCTAATGCCGGTACCCATTTATACTCCTGGGTGGAGAGGGGCAAGTGGGGGTGAAGTGCCTTGCCCAAGGACACAATATATGACCAGCGGCTGGATTCGAACCCCGGACCCTCTGATCATGAGTCACGAACCCTAACCACTAGGCCACACACTCCCCTAGGAATGTGGAATTAGGGAGACATTGAAATGTCTCCCTAATTCGACATGTCTCCCAAAAGTATAACATTTGACGCTAAAGTGTCTCCTAAAGGCTATACTTGTTATTATAATAATAATAAAACCGTTCTTATTAAGCACTATACACACGGAGTCCCAATGCGCTGTACAGAGTAATACATGTAAATAGAACAAGAATTAGTCAAAATTTAGTTTAGCCCAATCGCTTCGAAAGAGAGAGTGGCACTCTGTTACTGTGAACACAGCTTCGTCCCCTTTACTTTTAATTATTAAACAGATTAAATAAACAGAACACTGTCAAAGTGACCCTTAAGTATTAAACAAAGTATAACAATGATTAAGACAAACCAAAAAAAATACTGCAAGTTAAACTTGCGCAATCCACGGGAAACCTTTCTGTCCATGTTACGTACATAGCACTGTGAGCATAAATATCTTGTCAAATTTGTCTGGAAAGTTTCAAATAAATTAAAAGCACAATCCTCAACAATGGGGTGGGAATGTACAAGTAGAAAATAGGACAAACAACTTGATATTATTATCCTGCTTCATTTCCCATGTCATCCTTTTGTACCCCTTTAGTGTGCAAAGGCCCACATGTTAGAGTCATTAGTCATGTTAGTAATACTGAGCAGAGCTCTCCAGAGAACTCGTACATATCTATATTGGAAAGGATTTTTTTGAGATCGGCCTTCTCTCTACAGACCACCTTTCAGGTTTGGTTGAGATTGATGACTGCACTTAAAGTGAACCTAACCAAGAAAGGCACACACACACAGAAGGAATGCGCGATTGCAATATTCCCCTGTTTCGCTTGAAAGCCAGGGGGATAACAGTAACAAAATAAAACTATTTACCTACCTAGATACCTGCCGACCTACCAAGATAATTCTTAGGGCGTTTAATACCATACCCACACATTCATGTACGTTTTTCATGGCCTTACCTGTGACACGAGCCCGAGTGGATGGTTTCCGTTCCACTTCAGATCCATGACGGAATGCACGGCGCTCATCTTGATAACTTGTCGCTCCTCCTGAAGGACGTAGTACGCCGCCGTCTTCGAGTTGACTGGAAAGACGGCCGCGTTGTTGGGGCGTTCGGCTTCCACTAACTGTTCATCATCTAACGCATAGTAGGCCACTCTCTCCTGTGGAGGAAAAAGAAATTGTGACAATACTTTTAACAAATATGTTTTTTTTAGCTTCTTTTTCCTTTATGTCTTTAATTTGCTATTTCAGTAAATATTTCTTGTGGATTAATAGTGAATGTAATGAGTTGTATGTATGTAAATGTTTGATCTTTTAATGTGAAGTTCTAATTGCCGAACAAGAAGTTGAGTTTCATGTATTTACATGATCAGAATAAATAAATTCAATTAAAAATTGAACTGAATTGAACTGAATTAATACATGTAGTGCTTTCATCTTACTATTACTGTTATAAACAAAATTGAAAACTGCTTCAAAATTCCCCATGCACAGATTAAGGAATGGAGAGCAAATTATTCATCATTTGGTGAATGGCTTAACGATTGATCAATATGGCATGACTATTGAAGAGTTTTTACATGATCAGAATAAGTTTTGCACATGTATGGCCTTAATTTTTGTCGTTTGAAAGAGTAAAGTTCAAAGACAACCTGTAAAGAACATTTCCTTGATTGTGAATATCAAAGTTAAAAAAAAATGACATTTAATTTCGACTTTATTTTTCACATTCTAAAAATTAATATTGGAAAAATCAAAGTGGTACTGGGGAGACCGAGGTCAATGAACAAAGTGGAATGGATAGCAGTAATAAACAATGAAGAGCAAGAAAGGACGAACGACTTCAGTACTTTTTAATGTACTTTTAAAAAATTCTACATTTCCAAAACACATAACAAAATTTTGAAACAGGCTTGGAATCGGAATATGATTCCAAAGACGGAAAGAAAACTTACAGCATTCTGCGGATTTGCGTCGGTGCTGAGGTGCAGCGAGGAGATGGCGTTGGAGCTGCCCATCCAGACGCGCAGTTGCGCGTCCCCGGTCGGCACCGCGCCGTTCGGCCGCAGGAAGCCCTTGTACTCCGCGATGTACTCCCCTCCGTTTGTCTTCTCCTCCTGAATGCTGACGTAGTAAAAACTGAAACTCCTGTCTGTCTTTTCGACGATCGTCACCTGAAAAAAAATATATAAATTGCATATAATGTTACGTAACTTGGCACGTGATAACGTCACGATGATGTCAATGTTCGGCACACATCTTCAGATGCTGGTCTAAGTGTGTGCCGAGTATAAAGTCAATCGGATCGATTTTAGTGCCCAAAGTGCCTTCCACTGTAAAAACGTGTACAAATGCTATGAGGAATGGCTGAAAAAGAAGAAAAAAAACTTCAACTAAAACAAATGCTGTTTCGGCTGTTTGCCGAAACAGCTAATTATTCTTAATTGGGTTTTGCCCTTTACGAATTTCATTTACTGAGCACTCTACAGTCAGAGCTAGGGCTGTTCCGAATATACCAAATACTCAAATATTCGGTCATCAACCGAATATTCGAATAGCTTTTTACCACTAAATAATGGAAACAAAAACTACACACATGTACATACATACATGACTGTGATGTTACTTTATCATGCAGTTGCGGTTGGTTATTGTCAGGTGACACTTCTTTTGCTGACGGTAACTTTTTGTCAATGGCAGTTCATTGTTCACAGCCTTTTAGCAGGTTAAAGCCCTTGTCAGTTATAACATGCGTACTGTAAATCACTCCATATCAATTGCCCCACATAAACTTTATAAAAATTTTGAGTTAAGCAGAGTTCTGAGTTAGCAAATGGACTTTCTTTTCAATAACAATAGATGGGAATGAGTTCTTACATTTGGGTTAGAAGGGTTTGCGATTTACCAGGTTTTGACTTATCGAGATTTCACAGTACTTATAAAAAACATTTTTTGATTTTCCAGATTTTTCCAGAAAAACCTTTGTTTTTGTTCTGATTTTTTTTTACTTCTGTTTTTACTTTTTGTTCTTCCATCCAAATCCCATAGACAATGTAAAAGATGTTCTACAAGTCATCTTGATATTTTGAAGTATAATAGGAAAGTGAAACTTGGCAGAGACAAAGACCCTGTACCATAGTTGAGTATTGAAAATTTACACAACCATTACATCTTTAAGTGTCACTCGACTTCACCTAATTTACTGACGCAATGTAGTTTTCCCCATTTTTTAGGGGAGATTGTACTAGATTCCCTAGATGTTGTTACTGGCGGTTCACAGGTGAAAGCCCTTTGTCATGCTAATGCCTTCTCACGGCGATGTGCCATCGCAGTGGCGGGTTATCGCATATCAAACCGCAACGACGTCTTGCCCCGAGACTAGAGCTGACAAAGCGCCTTGTACTGCTCGAGCACAGAATCCATACCTCATCTGGCTGTGTAGTGTTCTGCGGGTGACGGTACTTGATCCAAGTCATTCCCGGCGGCATATCCTGCAGCCGGCACTGGGAAAAGTCCGTCACGAAGGTACCGTTCAGGCCCCACCACCCCGTGGGGTCGGTGCTGGACGAATGGTCCCCGCACGCACCACCCGGCTCTGGAACAAAAATGTTAACAAAGTGGCAAATTGAAGCTGCAATTATTTAATAATTCATTTTGAAAGCTCTGTTCTCTAGCTCAAGTACATCCACTCAATGCTTCATAATTGATTAATTTCTAATCGACGTAACGCAGAGCTGTAATAAAGCAGTTTCAAAACAATGACGACATTAATTCACATGAACTGTGGCAGGGCTTTGAATAAGCCATCTGCGAGTTAAGTTTGAATAAAATCTGGAACGCTGACTTAATCCAATGCTTCACAAGTTTAACTTTGCATTCTCCCGACGTGTTTAGACGTCTTCCGGAGGCGAGTCCAGGCTCTCTTGACGTTTTAACCCGTCAGCCGTGCTTGTGTACACAGACAGCCACATCATGTTTACTTGTCCTCCAGCGTTAAAGGGAATATACATCATTTGCTTTGGCTGTAATTTTCAGAAATGGATGGAATTGGGGGGTTGGAAATATATAGCAAATATAGTTACACTGACTTTTTTTAGGTTTTGGGTTCGAAAATGCTATAAAAACCAAGAAAAACAATCATTTTCCTGTAGTCTGGTTCCCTGACTCCATTTAAGAAGAAACAGAGCAGTTTACAAACATTGGGGAATTGTAAAGTCAGGGAACCAGTCTAGCTGGCTTGTACCCGTTCATAGGTGTGTAATCGATTGCAAACAAGTGCGATGGTCAACTGGGGCCAGTATTTGAAAAAAAGCCAGTTTTTTCCAACGCTGGTGGGCCGATCAGCGTTGGAAATTGATACAAAAATACCACTTTTCTTGAAAATGACAGTATACCAGGTGCCATGATTTTACAGGATGCTTTACACTGTCATTCACTAACAGTCCAGCAAGGTATTTCAAAATGATGTGGTAGTTTTATTTTTTGATGTTTGCAAATGTTGTATTTTCCCTTTAAGTGGTTAAATGCCAAAACAACTGGAGAAACACAGTATCATTACTTTTAACTCTGCAACTAACAAAACCATGCAGATGCAGGCCTATTCCCTTGATTATAATGCCAGTCTGTTTTCTTTCATGGTTCATTTGAAAATGTCTTCGCGGTCTACCATACCTCCAATAGGGTAACACTGTTGCTCCTGGACGCACCAGCCGCACTGCTCGTTGACCCTTGACCCCGAGGGGTCAGACAGCGTGACCCCTTTCCCCCAGATGATGCAGGCTTCGCAGGAAACTAGGCTGTTGCAGATGCTGGGGCAGGAGCCTTGGAGGAAGTTCTGCGGTTCAGGGCACGTCTGCAAAAAGAAAGTGGATCATAAGTCCTCAAGAGCTGCCACAGGCAACATGCAGACGGTTTGACAAAGCAAATGTAAAAGCAAATCATCACAAACAGTGAAATACTGATAGTCAAACCTTAGGAGAATGGGCTCAAATGTCGAGTTAAAGGGAAAATACAACATTTGCAAACATCAAAAAATAAAACTACCAAATCATTTTGAAATACCTTGCTGGACTGTTAGTTAATGACAGTGTAAAGCATCCTGTAAAATCATGGCACCTGGTATACTGTCATTTTCAAGAAAAGTGGTATTTTTGTATCAATTTCCAACGCTGATTGGCCGATCAGCGTTGGAAACAACTGGCTTTTTTTCAAATACTGGCCCCAATTGACCTTCGCACTTGTTTGCAATCTATTACAAACCTATGAACGGGTACGAGCCAGCTAGACTGGTTCCCTGACTTTACAATTCCCCAATGTATGTAAACTGCTCTGTTTCTTCTTATATGGAGTCAGGGAACCAGACTACAGGAAAATGATCGTTTTTCTTGGTTTGTATAGCATTTTCGAACCCAAAACCTCAAAAAAGTCAGTGTAACTATATTTGCTATATTTTCCAACCCCCCAATTCCATCCATTTCTGAAAATTACAGCAAAAACAAATGATGTATATTCCCTTTAAGCAGAGTTTTTAGTTAGCAAATGGATTTTCTTTTCAACAACAATAGATGGAAATAAGTTCTTACTTTTGAGTTAGAAGGGTTTTTGATTTAGCAGGTTTTGACTTATCGAGATATCACTGTACTTATTTCCAATATCAAGTATTTTTTTTATTTTACAGTGTCTTTCCAGAACAAATTTGTTTTTGTTTTGATTTTTTTTTACTTCTTCTTTTACTTTTTGTTCTTCCATCCAAATCTCATAGACTTTGTAAACTTTGATGTTCTACAAGTCATCTTCGACATTATGAAGTATACTAGCAAAGTGAAACTTAGCAGAGACAAAGACCCTTTACAATAGTTGAGTATTGAAAATTAAATGTGACGTCTTCAAGTGTCACGTGACTTCACCTAATAAAGGTGTACATTGAAAAACGGTGTCATGATGACATTGTGTTCATGTGACATAAGATCAGGTGCCTTTTTCAAAGTTTTATATCAAGGGAACTTCAAATTTATACATGGAACTACAAATCTGTGTGCCTTGGACAAACACACACATGTTTTTTATGGAACTGTTTGCCTTTTTGATAAACTGTTACTTTTAAATGTCACAATTACTGTAAAGTACTCTTTCAGTGAATCACAGAAGTTTGTTGCTATTTTCTGAATGATTTCTATTTATTAATATTTCATGAAATGTAGTTTAAATTTACAGAGTAGATGGCAATACAAATTAATAACATGGACCAATTTTTTTTCACCATTTCTCTTTTTGTTGTTGTCATGTTCGCTTTAACATTACATTGTATGTATTTATATGCAAACTTTCTTTCAGACTTTGTCAGGCCTACAATGTATACAAAAACTTATTTGGAAGCAACCTCTATAGAAAATTAAGTGATGGATGTATAGAAAATTAAGCGTTGAATGTACGTTTTTTTTTAACTTACACTCTGTTGCGAGTGCCCGAGGCAATTGCTATTGGCCGCGCACCATCCACAATTGGGATCACTCAGGCATATAGCTTTCCTGCAAAACAATACAATACAAGTTAAACCCAATTTAGAATTGAGCCCCACTTTGGAATGGAGAAGTTCTAGCAATAGATGGACTTGGCCCAATCTAGAATCTATCAACCCAACTTGGAAATATGCCAAATTGAGATCTGCACATAGAATGCACTTGGCTTAATAAGTCTAGATTAAATACGGCCAACTGGGCCCATTTGAGAACTTCTCAAAAAGACTGCACTAGGCACAAGTCAGAACCAGAGCCCCCAACTTGGAATTTGAAACCAACTTTGAATCCATATTTTATTTATGTGGAATACTTTGGGCTTTGCCCTAGAATGGTCCCAACCCAACTTTGAATTGGACCCGACTCAGAATAGAAACGTCTTCACATAGGATATAGTACTGAATTTTGATCCATTTACAAAATTACTCAGTGGAGTGCATTTGGCACTGGTCACATTGAGAATGGAGCTGGCCAACTTGGAATTAGACCCAATCGAGAAGAACTTACGTGGAGTGCATTCCACATTGGTCTAGGATCGAGCCGCCCAACTTGGAATTGACGGCCACCGTCCCAGGCATCTTGACTGCAATCAGGTCGTGCAACACCTGTCCGCTATACCCACCGACGACTAAAAGCGTGCTGCCGTCGCGGACCGCCGCAGCGTGACCAAAGCGCCCTCTTGTGACACTGTGTAAATGTGCCGTTTCAGCGGGAGCTGGATATTTGAAGACCAAATTATAAAATCCCAATTAAGAACTTACACAAAGGAGTTAATCCGAGACCGGGATACGAATTCCAACTGGTAATGGATGGAGCTCTTGTCTCTAAAACTGAACATCTGTCTTTTTCCCAACAGGTTTCTTCAGGCTTTTATTGACATGTCATGGATGCTTTCGAGTAATTCTTGGTTTCATACCCAAAATTTTCCGCAACAAAATAGTGCCTGAAAGAGTGCCTGTAAATTCTACAATAATTCACCAAGTTCACCATAATTTCACCAAATCCCAGAATTCGCGCACACTATGTTCCATACGTAACCAAACTTTAACCCTCTAAGATATTCATAGATTTCTGTGTTTTTTATTATACTGTTTGGCATCTGCAAGGAAAAATTCCCACAAAATGTGATAATCTTTGAGATGATCATGTAATTTAAGAAAACATGGCATTACGTATGGGACAAAAACAGGACATCTTCTTGGACTTAGTGTACAACAGAAAATTTACCGCACCAAAACTCTTAATTCTGGGCAACTTTTGGTAATAAAGAAGCTCTACTAAAGTTTCTGTCTTGAATGACAACATTTTTGTCTCCTCGTTATGGAAATTCAATCAGCATAAAAAAACATCTTAGAAATTATCAATATGAAGGTCGGTAGAAAATGAACTAAACGAGAAACGAATACGACTTTCCATGGATTGCATTAGCCCTCCTGGTTGGACGTCAATATGTAGTAACCTGTAGTATGCATTTCTTTCCACACAAGTGAGTACAACATGTGTAGTATTCTGTGGTACAAGTGGAATCTTGATAAGTCAAGAATCAGGGGAATTGTCTCAAATTTTGAGTTAAGCAGAGTTTTGAGTTAGCCAATGGATTTTCTATTCAACAGCTGACAGGTATAAGTTTTTACTTTGAGTTAGATGGGTTTTGAGTTAACAGGTTTTGACCTATCAAGGTTTCACTATTTGGTACTTGACCCCAAAACCCTGCAGGTCAGTATCGGGTGAAGGGATATGAAATGTTGAACTGTTTCACACAGAGAGTCACTGCACAATAAAACAGCATGTGGGCAATTCCACCATCACTCACGTTACATTTATATGCCATGAGGCTACTTTGACCTCTCACTGCTTCAAAAACATTTGATGAAGCTGAATCAAACCAGCCATACAACAACCTTGGGGTAAGGGGTACTCAAAAATGGAACTTAAAAATTCAATCCATTCATTCACTTCTTGAAAGCATGTGTGTTTTGTTGGTCGTCACTCACATTACAAAAAAAGGTCATGGAAAATTGTCCTCTGCTTTTGTTGTTACAGTCTCCTCAAACTGTAGTCTGCAACACAGAAGTAACATTATTTGACCTTTAATTCAGCCCATAGCTAGATACAAAAACCCATTTTGAATCAAATAGGGGGGTATTTTAGATGCAAGAGACACTAATTACAGGGAGGAACCATCACTCACGTTACTTCCTCTTCAAAAAAAGTTTGATGAACCGTAACATAATGAAACTCTTTTCTATATGAACCTTTCTCTCTGTCTTAAACACAAACACTCTCAATAACAGTCACATTTTGCATGTTAAAACAAGGTGTCAAAATGACTACCAAAAATCCATGATGTTAGCCACAAAACAGGGTTTTTGTCCCAAAATCACACTTAACTACAGTCCATCTCATTGGCACACCGCTCAAATGAAAGATCTTGTTGTCCCCTTTAATTTGACACCACATGTGATGTTGTGATGCTCGTAGTTTGGAAGATTTTATACAATTTTCACTTTCCAGCTGTGTCCACTTTTTCGTGGAATTGACCATGTGTAGAGCAGTGATGCGTGACCCAATCTGCCTGCTTGCCCTGAGCTTAACCACACAAAAGAATTGTGAAGGGATTTGAAGTGTTATCCATACTCCACAGAAGATTGCCTCAAAGGAATTTGAAGTGCGGGCGGTAACTCAATGGGCAAAAGTGGTTTTGCAAAACCTGAAGGGTTGTGAAGTGCAGAAGACTAGGAGGATTTAAAACAAATCTATTTCATGGGCCCTTTCAAACTTACACTGGAATCCTTGGGCCAGCGTATCAAAGTCAGTCCATTTGTGACAGCCAAGGTGGAAAAGCTCGATGCGTTCATCGTAGCATCTCTCATGGGTGGGCGGGTAGTGGTCCTCAGGTCGAGTGTAGTGCCTGTGCACGTTACCCCCTAAAAAAAAAAATCAAGAACTTACATATGCTCTATTCTTTCACAAATTTGACCATTCAGTACTTTACTGAAGGTACGCAGGAAGAATTCGACGGGTGCCTGGCAGAAGGGCATATAAGTATTCTGACGTAAAGATCAATTTCAGTAAAATTGCATTGAAAGGTTAGATTGTTCACCCACATGTAATAATAATATCGGAGTCTTATATAGCGCACGTATCTACCAACAATTAGGTACTCAAGGCGCTGGAAATTATGTCTATTATTAAAGAAAGGTAAATAAAGTAAATATGAGACCCATTATGTAGTACCTTATAATGGTTTACAAGGTACTGCGGCGCATATTGCAGCCACTGCTAGAAACACCGGGGCAAACCACTTCTCTTAGCGATAAGTGTTACTGGGTTCTTTAACGTGCATTACACAACACACGGGACCTACGTCCCATCCGAAGGACGAAGCAATAATGGTAAAGTGCCTTGCTCAAGAGCACAAGCACCATGTTCCCACGGTCAGGATTCGAACCCATGTACCACGGCACACGAGTCGAACACTGTAACCATTGGACCACAGCACCCCACGTAGTATGAATCTAATTTTCTCCCACATGTAATATAAATCGTACGCACTTGAAATTTGTCACACGTATAAAGCATGAGTTTCTGATCAACCTGTGTTACTTTCTGACGAAAACGTTTCAATTTCATTAAAATAGAGGCAGATTTCTGCATATGCCCTTTTGCTGGGAACATTTTGGTGATTGCGTGTTTGCGCATGAGGGCATATATGCACATATGCCCTTCTGCCGGGCACACGACGAATTGCTGTTTCGTATTTTTTGTTTGTTCTCAGAGTTAAGGCACTCTCCTGAAGACGGTCAGAGCATACTGACCGGAACGTCGAGTTTATACCTCTGGTTCTTTTCAGAACTATTCTCTTAGTACTCTTTCATTATTTAGAATCTCCACCATGCAAAGCCTCAATTCTTACTTGTTTGAAGTTACAATTTCCTCAAAATGTATGAATGTTTTTTTCATTTTCACTTATTCAAAACTAGAAATTTCAATGGCCTTTTGCTCAGTATTTTGCTTTCTTGACGTGTGGACAAATGCCAACTTTAAACAGCCATAACTTGTCAATGGAATGTCCTATTGAAGTGCAACAAGCAGTATTGTAAGGACGATTTTATTCTCTTTCCTTACATCTGCAAACCCTCATTTCAACCACTGCCGAGTTCTGTCTCATTTTGCTGGAACGCCTCACAGTTTTGGTAGCTTTTGCACACAAATTGATTCGCCCTGCCAGTAGACTGGTTCCGGTTCACCACATTATCGATTCTAAAAGGGGGTGGGAACCAGTTCACCCTGCAAAGAACAGACTTACTTTTGGGCTTCAAATATTTAGAAAATGTGTAACTTTAGTAATTATTCCATAACTGCATGTGGGCCAATTATTTTGTTCAATGTCTCATTCAAAAGTGAATTACTTTTCTACTGCTAAAAAATAGCAATATCTGATGAGAATTTTTATTTTTTTGCGTAAGTTTTCATGTTCTATAAAATCTTTAGAGTTGAATTCTAAGGAAGTCACTTACCGTAAATAACCATATAGTTGCCGATAATGTTGGCACTGTGAAAGGCCCGCCCCATGGGGGCGCCGCTCATGTCCACCGACCACTTCATCCAGTAGCGTTCATCCACGTGGAATGCGTAGATCTCATTGGACCGTTCGCTGAACCTAAGAAACCCAAACCACGTCAATGTAAATGCCATCTCATAATTCAGAGCTTATTCCAGACAAAGTGAATGATTCTACCTACAGCTTGTCTGGAACTCAAGCTTGTCTGGAACTCAAGCTTGTCTGGAACTCAAGCTTGTCTGGAACTCAAGCTTGTCTGGAACTCAAGCTTGTCTGGAACTCAAGCTTGTCTGGAACTCAAGCTTGTCTGGAACTCAAGACAATTTAAATTGAGATCAACTCAATTTAAATTGTCTCGAGTTCCAGACAAGCTGTAGGTAGAATCATTCACTTTGTCTGAAAGAAGCTCTGTATTTGTCCTGGACATGATCCGGGCAAATTTCATTAGCAACTGCTTGACTCACCAATACTGATTGCGGGAAGATTGCGGGGAAGTTGTTCAGAATCCTGCAACTTATATCCAATACAATGTCCGCAAACTTAGTAATAAATAGGGATTATAATTACATGTTTGAAAGCGGTCACTGACATTTTGTATTTTTAACAATCAAATGATATGGTTCGGAAACATTAATAACTATCCGTTATTTTTACAATGTAGACCTTCCATAGTTTGCGAACCCATGGTTCGAAAAAAGTGTCAACCAAGCACTGGCAAATAATAATAATAATAATCATTAATTCATATTGCGCAAATTCCATTACAAATATGTTCAAATGAACATTCCATAAAAAGAACCATAAACATTACATTAACATTTTAGAAAATACAAACAAAAATAAAATCACCATTCATTCAAGGCAAAAAAAGGTCAACATGATACTCAAATACTTCACTCCCCCCAATTCCCTGATCATAGTTTATGCTTACTGGCCTGATGACCTTGATTGCTTGGTACAGACCTTACTTTACGTACCTTGTTGAAGACGGTCGGAAACCCCCGAAGACAATGAGCGACTGGGAGTCCATGTGGTACACGGCGCTGTGACCTCTGACCCTGACGTCAGCCTCGCGACCTCCCAAGGGCCGGATGATATCCCAGCGCGACCTCAGGATCAGGTCGTACTTAAAGATGCCGTCCACAAAATTGGTGCTTTGGCTTCTCCCTGAGACAAGGAAGTAAGTGACACCGTTGTAACCCTTTAGTCATGGTAGTGCCCGAAACTGCCCTGTTTATTACTCACTGTAGTGCCCGAAACCGCCTGAGCACTCTATGGGTTTATTAATTCTTCAGTGAATAAACACAATGTACAGTCGAATCTCCTTAGTACAAACTCTGTTAATGCAAAATTCTGGTTATAACAAACATAAAGTCTTGGTCCCGACTGTGCATTTATGTGCACAATGAATGGGACTGATGATCCTCTTAATACCAAATTCTGATATAACAAACAATTTGGCTAGGTCCGAACATATTGTATTAACGAGACTCGAGGAAAGATTTCCATATACGAAGTTCACTCAACACCCTGTGTACAAACCCTATGAGAGTGGACTGAAAAATTCTAAGTGTTTTCTAAGAAAATGCTTGTATTTTCTCACTGCTCAAATTGACTTTGATGACATGAAATTGCTATCTGGGGGCTTGTTAGTCAATACAGAGGAAAATGAGTGAACTTCGCATATGGTAATCTTGCCAGACTCGACTGTAATACAATGTAGTAGAGGTGTTTATGGGTTAATACTGGCATGTTAGAGATGCGCCAAACTAATTTATTTCCCAGACTGAATTAAGTTTTGAGATTTTATACAATAGAGTAACACATGCGGAGCGCCGTAGCCTCGTGGTGTGGAGCATTGAATTTGTGGTCTGCCGATAATTCTGCAGCTTGTGGGTTCGAGTCCAGCCTGGGGTTATGGTGCGTGTGCCCTTGGGCAAGGCACTTTGTCACTCATTGCTTCTCCCACCCAGGAGTAAATGGGTGTTTGTGAGGGCAGAGATGGTTATTGTGGTTGATTTGAGCTGCTTTGGGCAGAAATTGCAGCTTCGAGCTGTTTACTCCCCAGGGAGCTGAGATGGTATTTGGAATGTTTCATTGGCCCAATGAGCAGGGTAATAATGAGGTAGTGCCTTGAGCACCAATATTGTTGGATATGTGCGCTTTATAATTATGCATAATTATAATAATTAGTATTATTACATTAGCCCCACCCACAGCATTTGTGGGCAACAACATGTGCACCTGTACAATGCACACTTATAATAATAATAATATAATAATAATTAATTTATATTATTCCACATTAGTGTTCAAGTGCGCAGTACATGGATACACAATGTCGTAAAAATCTAACAACCCAGATACATTTAAAATTTAAAAAACTGCACGTGCACACGTCAGCTTTTTTTTTTTTTTAAGTTTCACAGATGTAGAAAAACATTAGATTAAATCGTCGGGTCAAAGCAGAAAGGACTTATAAGCCCTATTCAGCATTTTCCAGTATTTCAAGATAATCGAGTTTGAAGATTCACACTGTTTTGAAAATTGCAAAATGTTATTTAAATAGTTTAAATTATGCATATTGTTAAAGGGAGTTCCAAGAAATGACAAAAGGATGCGTGCAAAAAGGTCCTACAAGCTCTTAAGCCCTTTTTGCATTTCCCAACATTATCAGTTATTATGGCCCTGTAATGACTGCCTGTTTAAAGGAAAAAAGGCTTATGAGCTTATAAGGCCTTTTTGCTCCCGTTTTGTATACTAAGATCAGTATAAGACCTTTTAAAATTTCTTAATTACTCCTTAATTGGATGAATAATTAACATAAAACCTGTTTGGGATAAAGACTGTACTGAGAGTAAACAGTTACCATCAAAAAACAAAAATTGACCTTAAGCATGGTATAAGCCCTTTCTGCTTTGACCCAACAAAATGACGATATATTTACCAAATTTGAAGTAGATCCCCACCGCGACTGCCAACAGAAACTTACCTCCAAAGACATAAAGGTGGGAGAAGTTGACTATGGTGCCGCTGTGGTCGGCCAGGCCCGGGGGCATCGAAGCCAGGTCACTGCCCACGGGAAGGAGGGTCCAGACGCGGGTCGTGATGTCAAACGCCCACAGCTCATTGGTAAGTGAGCCGTTGGCTAGGATACCGCCGAAGACAATGAGGTCGTCGTAGTAGAGGACCATGGAGTGTGCGTAGCGGCCAGTCTGAAAGGCAATTGAAACCATCATAAATTGATCACAAATTGATCACAAGTCAGTCACAAGTCAATCACAGGTCTATCACATGTCTATCACATGTCTATCACATGTCAATCACAAGGCAATCACAAGACAATTACAAGTTCATCAGAGTTCCGTCCACGAGTTAATCACAAGTAAGTCACCAGTCAATCACATGTCAATTACAATTCACTCACAAGTAAGTCACTAGTCTTTCACATGTCGATCACATGCCAATCACATGTCAATCACAAGTCAATCACAAGTCAACCACAAGTCCATCAGAGTTCCATCCACAAGTCCATCACAAGTAAGTCATCAGTCTCTCAAACATGTCAAAGGTCAATAAAGTGATTAACCTATCGCGGTAGAATCCTATCCTACCTTGTGAAATATTGCCCAATTACACGAAACAAATGGACCCAGGATGCGCAAACTTTGAGACAAACAAAACTTATCGTACACAATTCTATAGGGTAGGGATGTGGCTAACATGCAAATGGTGATAGGTCAATTACACTAGTTTATCACAAAGTCAAACACAAGTTCACTAAACATCCATCCCAAGTCCATCGCAAGCCAATCACAAGTCACTAGTCCATCACAAGTCCATCACATAAACTTTACATGTATGTCACTAGTCTATCACAAGTTAATCAGAAGTAGATCACAAATCAATCACTAGTCAATCACAACAAAGTCACTAGTCCATCACAAGTCCATCCCAAGTCAAGCACAAGCCAATCACAAGTCGATCACAAGTCAATCTTGAGTCGATCACATGTCAATTACAATAAAATTATACATCAATTCCCAAGACTAATCCACAAGTGTGTGGTGATTAACAATGTTAACAGATTTTTTTGTTTTTGATTGAGAAACCTAATTTAATTCTTACCGGCCTTGTTGCCATGGCAGGCACTGCCCTCTCCCATTGGTTGGACGTGAAGTTGTACCTGACAATATCATCTAGAACACCATTCAGGTCATAACCTACATACACAAAAACAATGTTATGGGAATACAATAGATGCCAAATGAAATGTAGGCCTACATTGTTCCAATACCGCCTTTTTTTTAATATTTTGTTTTATATTTTGAGTGTTAATCTCATTTCTGATCTTACTTTTGTTATATGACAACCACAGAATGAATTTGAAAACAAAATATTTCACTTCTAAAAATGTGTAAAGTGTAGCAATTATTTGATAAAAATCTTTCTTTTCACAAATTAATAATGAAATGTCTTTTCCTTCGTGGTGCTGGGTCATTTGTCCAATCCAGTAAGAATTTGGCTCTTGCTCATGAATATGAATGAGGTAATGAATAATAAATACATTTGCATTCCTCCAAAGACCAAGGGAATGTCCGTGCCTTCATGATACTCAGCTGTTATTGTTAATTGACAATTTAGAGTTTTGGTCTCGCTCATGAATATGAATGAGGTTATGAAAAATAAAGTACAAACGCAAACCTCCAAAGACCAAGAGACATCCGGACACTCAGCTGACATGTGATTGTTAATTGACCATTTAAAGTTTGGGTTTCGCTCATGAATATGAATTAGGTTATGAATAATAAATACATAAGCATACCTCCAAAGACCCGGAGACTGCCCTTCCTTGATAATTGGCTGGCAATGCTCATAAATATTAACGAGTCTTGGGAACATGTGCATACCTCCAAGGACCCAGAGACTGCCCTTCCTGGATAATTGGCTGGCATTGCTCATAAATATAAATGAGTCGTGACATAATGAATATTAAATACATGAGCATACCTCCATAGACCCAGAGACTGCCCTTCCTTGATAATTGGCTGGCATGTGATAATTATTTGCTCATGAATATACATGAGTGATGGTAATGAATAATAAATACATGAGCATCCACTAAAGACCCTGAGACTGTCCTTCCTTGATACATGTAATGGGCAGGCATGTGATGATTTGCTCATGAATATAAATGAGTGATGGTAATGAATAATAAATACATGAGCATCCACTAAAGACCCTGAGACTGTCCTTCCTTGATACATGTAATGGGCAGGCATGTGATGATTTGCTCATGAATATAAATGAGTGATGGTAATGAATAATAAATACATGAGCATCCACTAAAGACCCTGAGACTGTCCTTCCTTGATACATGTAATGGGCAGGCATGTGATGATTTGCTCATGAATATAAATAAGTGATGGTAATGAATAATAAACACATATATGAGCATACCTCCAAAGACCCAGAGACTATCCGTGCCTTCATGGTACTCCGCCGTGTGGCCAGTCCGCGCCTTGAAGACAGAATCAATCCCAGAAGACACCAGTACAGTGTCGCCCCATCCTGTGTTGTCATTGGTCGACAGACTGCAACCCTCGCCCACGTAGCCTGGACTACATGCACACCGCTGAACCTGCCATAGCGATTTTAATTTATTCATATTTTATTCAAAATTTTAATAGGATGTTAATAATATTCGGCTGTGTATCCAATCCCAGAGGGCCAGCCTGACTCACTGACTGACTCACTGTCACTTGCGACAAGCTGCATGTAGAGCTGGGCAGTGCTATTGTATAGGATAACCCTGCATTGAGTTTAACCCAGCCCAATGTGTACATCAGATAAACAAAAGACTTACTGTGAATAGCCATTCTAAGACCCACCAAAAAATAGTCGGTCTCTGGTCAGACCGAAGTTCCGGAATTGATGCAGCGATGCGTTTTTTTTATTTGGTGCCTTTTTTTTTCTTTTCAAGCTTGAATTGTGCAGACAAGGTGGGTACTATTTTGCTTTTTTGTGTCCTCATTATACATTGGTGTCCTCCATAATTTGCCTTGGTGCCCTTTCTCATTTGCCTTGGTGCAATTTCCCCATTCCTTGGTGCTCCTTGGTACAAACATTTTGAGGTGTGGCAATAGAGGGCGCTGTTGTAGCTTTTAAGAACAAAAAAAGGTTGACGCGCATGATTAAAATCGACGCGCGCGCTGACCAGAGACCAAGTATTTGGGGGGGGGGGGGGCCTAAATAGCCATTCTAATTCGCCTCATGAATTCTAACTCACAACAGTAATGTTTGCGTGCAACTAGCCTGTTACAGAACGGCAATAGGCCTGGCCATGAATGTGCAATTTCGGAGGTAATGAGCTTTGAAGTTTTCTGAAATTGAAAGTGTCTCTGGCAAATATCAATAAAGAGAGAGATATTGCTGTTCAATATTTACAACCTTTATGCAGTTGAAATGCTTGAAGGTTGCTTTCATCGAGACACTGGTGATTTTGCGTACTTTTTGTGGTAAGACAAGCGTGAGTTTCTTTAAAATCGTGAGTTCAAACAATGGCAACTATGCCCAAAAGTTGAACAGAGACTAAAAAATAAACAATCCAGATGCACGAGCAGTGGTGATCCAATCAAGGCTTTAAATGGGAGCTAGTTACCGGTCCCCATATCTTTAGGGGGCCGGGAAACAATCTACACTTGCCAGAGATCGGAATCGGCTGCATTAAGGGAAACAATTTTCCAAAAAATGGTCTTGGAGCAAGACCGACTTACCGGTGACAGGAAGTCGCAATTGCCGCGACTGCTCGACTGGCCGCACTCATAGGGGCAAGTCCTCCACTCGCAGGAACTCCCTTTGTACCCCGAGTCGCACGCACACTGATAATTCTGACAAACGCCGTGCCCTGAACAGGCATTGGAACAGTTCTGTATCTTGTACGTCGCTGTCGTGCCGTTTAACGGGTAATTTGTATCACTGTATAGGTGTATCAACATCTAAAACAAACAAAATCAAACCATAAGACTTAGGCCAAAAAAAAAAATATTCGGTCTCTGGTCAGACCAAAGTTCCGGAATTGACGCAGCAACGCGGCTTTTTTTTTTTTTTTTGGCTTTTTTTTTTTATTCTTTAAGCTTGGATTGTACAGACAAGGTACTATTTTGCTTTTTTGGTGTCCTCATGTACATTGGTGTCCTCCATAACTTGCCTTGGTGCTTTCGATCATTTGCCTTGGTGCAATTTCCCATTCCTTGGTGCTCTTTGGTAAAAAAAATTGAGGTGCGGAAACAGAGGGCGCTGTTGGAGCTACCGCGGAACATTTAAAAAAAAAAAAAAAATCGACGCGCATGATTAAAATCGACGCGCGTGCTGACCAGAGACCGACTTTTTTTTTTTTTTTGGCCTTATCAACATCACTCAAAAATTTGGTGAACTTTTATACAATTAGGTACATTCCCTATTAGTGCAATACATCAGGGCTCGAGTTTATAACATTTTCAAATGTTTTATGTGACATAAGACAGATGTCTGCAACTTGCCAACAATTAACCACAAAACTTATTTTATGTGAATGAAATTCAGTATACAAAAGGTTACACATATATGGGTAATTCCACAAAGTTGGGTACAGAATGTGTGACATGAGGGTGAGTTTTTCAAAATAATGTGAAGAGCACTAAAATAACTTTTTTAGGTGCTGACATATATGTAGTGTCTAAAATAATAAACCATTTTGAGACATCTTGTCAAACGTTTTATTTTTAACAGTGTTGTTTATTAACAGATGCAAAGCAAGTTTCACATGTAACATGGACACCAAACATGAGGAATCACCTTTCCCATTGTTATTTTATAGAATTGATATGCTCCAAGTATAGAATGTATTTAAAAGGGCTTGATAAGTACATTAATTAAATTCATACATTTTTTGGCTAATCGTTATGAGATTATTGAAATCAGCTGTTGTTCACTCACATGAAATGGGCAAATTATATAAATTTGGCCCTTCATACATATTTTTTCTTGTATTGTCTGTTCCAAAAATGTTTGTCTACACCAAACGTGTAAAACACAAGGAAGCAAACCCACACGTTCAACTTATTTTGCCATGTTACCATTTCTTTTACACAAGACAGTATCCATGCAAAATAATTTTGTGGTTTCACATGTAACAATGACACCAAAATATTGGTGTCCTGTTACACGTGAAACTGATATATGGATTATAAGGTAATAAGCTTTAAACTTGATAAAAAATGAGTAAAACTTCATTTATATTAGTTAAAAATGAACAAATTTGAAACATCAGCTGAAGATGTGAGTGTGTTTAGCTTTGAGACTCCCATATTGGACAGGGTTGGGTTTCACATGTAACATGGATGCCAAATTATTGAACGTTCTGATTACATCTCAAGATGTGATGCCTAAACCATTTTGCCGTCCCCATCCTTCCCGTATCCCGTCCCTACCCCACCCCACCCTCCCCCACTCCATTCCCACCCTTCTAGTACCCATAACATATTGGACAGGGTTGGGTTTCACATGTAACATGGATGCCAAATTATCGAAAGTTCCGATTACATCTCAAGATGTGATGCCTAAACTATTTTGCGGTCCCCATCCTTCCCGTATCCCGTCCCTACCCTCCTCTACCCCACCCCACCCTCCCCCACTCCATTCCCATCCTTCTAGTACCCATTACATAACAGTGTTGTAGTCGAGTCCATCACAAGTCCCTGCAAGTCCATCATAAGTCCATCACAAACAATTCAGTCTTAATCAGGTAATAAACTTTAAACTTGATAAAAAAATGAGTAAAACTTCATTTACCGGTATATTAATTAAAAATGAACAAATTTGAAACATCCGCTAAAGATGTGAGAGAGTTTAGCTTCGAGACTCCCATTATTGGACAGGGTTGGGTTTCACATGTAACATGGATGCCAAATTATCGAACGTTCTGATTACATCTCAAGATGTGATGCCTAAACCATTTTGCCGTCCCCATCCTTCCCGTATCCCGTCCCTACCCTCCCCTACCCCAACCCCCACCCTCCCCATTCTACCCTCCCCTTCCCCACTCCATTCCCACCCTCTAGTACCCATTACATAACAGTGTTGTTGGATGCATTGTTCCTTGGATTAACCATTCCCAAATGGATGAATTTACTGAACATGCTGAAGCCTAAATCAATGCAAATTATGAATTTATTTCTTAGGGGAAGATTTTTTTTAGTTTTGTACTATTCATTCTTATGTGTTTTGTTTCTTTTGTTTGAAAAAAATGTTGAAATATCTTAATTCAAACCAGAAAAAGAAAATCACATGATGCTCCACCCCCATTATGAGAATGGAATGGTCTGGCGGTATCCTGGCCTGTGACCAATCAATGTTGACACTTCCCCTCTTATTTTAGACTAACTTCAGTAAAAATCACCAACTTTCGAACCCCCTTCAAACAGATAAATGAAAAGGACCCCATTTTTAATAGATCAGACGTTGACCATCCAACGCAGGCAAAAGCACAGGCCAAAACACAAAATCGTACCACACCGTCGCATGGAAACCACGTCGTGATATTTCCATTACGATGTGCAATTTCAGTTAGGGTTTCGGGACACATATTTAGCGTCATTTGTGAAAGCTTAGCCTCTTCTAGTCCGAGTAACTTGGACCCAACTTATCGCCTTTTTTAACATTTTGGACATGGTCTGGCGATAGTGGGGTAATACCGCGACCTGGACAACATCATCCTGTCACTGTCCCAAACCAACATTTTCCAACAAAAAACATCAGATTTCACCTTCAAAACGGCCTCCAAATTACTAGATATGCCACCTGAAGTACAAGTAGACATCGATGATTAAGATGGTTGTACTTAAGTTTACTTACGATCCGGAAGAAAAGTGAAATTTTCCGTTCATTTCGGAGAGCTCCCCTCGCGATCTTGAACACGTTAAATTTCCGATCGTGTTTAATGTTTGAACGACGCGATTTCTTCTACATGCCCAGTGTACATTCAATGGTCCCCGTATCCCGTGTGCGATTCCGTTACCGAGCGCGCGCGATGCACGATTATGATAATGAGTCACGTTTGTAAACACATACATGTGCATTTTGAACTGTAAAAGGGAATCGGGAACCAGCTTGAACTGGTACCCGCCATAAAAGCTGCGCTAGTTCCCGACTCCCTATTATCGTTTGAAATGCACATGTGTTTATAAACGTGATCCAGTCTACTCATTATCATAATCGATGCATCGCGCGCGCTCGGTAACGGAATCGCACTCGGGATACGGGGACCATCGAATGTACGCTGGGCATGTAGAAGAAATCGCGTCGTTCAAACGTTAAACACGATCGGAAATTTAACGTGTTCAAGATCGCGAGGGGAGCTCTCCGAAATGAACGGAAAATTTCACTTTTCTTCCGGATCGTAAGTAAACTTAAGTACAACCATCTTAATCATCGATGTCTACTTGTACTTCAGGTGGCATATCTAGTAATTTGGAGGCCGTTTGACCGTGCATGAACATGTTTTATGCCAAATCACGGAAATGGAATATCACGTCGTCACGCGGTTACCATTTTGTTTCGTATCCATTCCGTAGCTGAAGTGCAGGTTTTAGCGTGTCAACTATACTGCAACAACTGTTTGAGATGTTATTCATGTTTCAGCATACACAGGGAGTAGTTCTTCGGGATTACCAGGCACCGTGTTGATAAATCTGTAATCTAATCCTTGTTTGTCCTCCCCGAATGTGGTATACCTCGTAACTGACATCACACCGTAAAAAAATGACACCAAAACTATTGGCACCCACGATGGAAAAGTTGCCGAAAGCACGCGGGTTTCTTCTTGCAACAAAGCAAGGGTTGCATCCGGGTACTTTGATCGCAAGACGTTCATCCAGAAAATCTATAGAGGGCGCACGCGCGATCGCATTTAATTATCACGTCGTCACGTTTTTTAGTGGATGCGAAGTCAACTACCAGTGAGTAACCACGGTTGTTTTTTAAAAATCGTGTAGTTTTTTTCATGATTTCTGGTTGGATACGAATGGAATGCTACTGTTTCTCGTGGAAATCGTTATTTGGGTCTTCTAAATGACTCTGACATTTTACAATATGTCGGTAAATTTCGGTTTCACCTCGCAACATTGCTGACACGAAATGTTACGATGGGCGCTGAGACTTCCGTGATCGATACTTCAGAAATGCAAGACGCATGGAATAAATAACAATCAGGGAATCGTAAACGGTCTATTGGTTCAACTTTATTTGCAAAACATTATTTAAAATATACTCTTGGGAACACAGAATCGTACATTGAAGACCGAGTATGTTTCATGTCACAAAATATTCTTAAAATAAACATGGATACCATGATATTTTGGTGACGTAGTTTGGGTTTCGACCAATTGGAGGTCCCAAAAAATTTTTTTTTCTTGTTCGCCCATTCATCCTCAATAAATCGGGATCGATAAAAAATGTGATTAATTTGTCAAAAAAAAAAATAACAGCACTTTGTTTTCACTGGACCACTGTCACTGATGCATTGATTGTGTACCCAACTTCATGGAATGACCCACATGCAAAATTTAACTTTGTCTCGTCGCGTCAGTGCAACAAGGTCGTAACTCCATTCTGCAACAAAGTCATATCTCGCACGAAGACGCTCCGTGCAACAAGGTCGTATCTTGACGTCCATTGACTTTGCGTGTATATCCGGGTTATTTAAAGCGAGATACGACCTTTTGACATTCTAAAACTCGCGTTTTGCGTCATTCATGCCATTTTAGGAGATACGACCTTGTTGCACTGACGCGACGGTCTGATGATGGAATAGAGCTCAGTGCAGTACATCATGCATCCATGATATGCGTACAGATATTGTGATTAATTATGCAAAACAAGACTGCTTCGTGACCTCCAGATTCTGACCATTCAGTGGGCGCCTTTTGTTGGGTCTTTGGTATAAACCCATTCTTGTATTACAAAAACATGGCAGCCAATTGACCAATCAACAGCTTAGGCCAAATTTCTGCTTGCAATGACGTCACATTTGTTTAAGTTGACTCAGAGAGGCTGGTGCGCGGGGTCGCACAAAAACTGCATGCTCACATATCAGACATTGTTGCGGAGCTTACAGGCTCCATTGAACAACGGATGATAATGAGACAAGTAAAGCCTGTTGTTGCCAGCACAACAGTCCATCATTTGTAATTTGCTCATTATGTTCATTTAAAGCAACAAAAGTGCTGAAAATCTAAAGAAGGGTCTTTAACAACTGACCCGATGAATTTTTCTTATTCCAAGAAAACAAAATTCTAGGATCTCAACTTCAAAGCAAAAGTTGCCGAGTCATGTTTTGAATTGGACTCGAATTTAGCATCTGGGACATGTTCTCATCCAGCTGATTGCAGCTACACGATGTTGCGCACTGAACAGACGGATTATAGCAACCGCACGCTTGTGTGCATCGTGCCAACACTTGCGCATGTTTTGCCAACTTAAAAATAAACTGAAAACAGAAATTTCCGACAGTGCGTCTTTAGACGCATCGTTGGAAAGGCCTTCTTTCATTGTTTTCTTCAAAATGACAGCTTGTCAGAAAGAATCATTTCATAGGGAGTTTAGTCCATTATTACCTTTAAACCAAGTATGCTTTTCAACAATAATTACGTCAGTTCCTTTTTGGATAGCTGAAAATGATGGACTGTAGCTTTAAGGACTCACTTTGCCACTTTTGGCTTGCACTGGCCCCGGTACCAAGTTGCCGCTGAATGTGCCCAGGACGGTACTTGTGAACGAGTCGCCGTCGTAGACCGTCAGGAAGTCATAGGTACACTCTGTCTCAAACTCCTTGAATGTCAAAGTGATGGTCATGTTGGCATCCGGAGCTGAAAAGTAAAATATTCAAAAAGGTATAAAATAAATAGAATGAAATACACTAACCCTAACCGCCCTGAATCCTTCAAAATTCTCTTTGCCAAAGCGGAGGAATTTGGAGGATTGAGGTTTCATGGCAAAAGTGCGTTACTGATTTTTCAGGATGCAATTTGTCAAGGTCTTGGGCCAGACCTTGTTTTGTTTTTGCTCAGCCGTACATAAATTTAGGCCTATGTTATACTTGAAATCCTCCGCACTGCTCCAGGACGTCACTGACTCTGCCCCAACATATTGACAGTGTTTGCCGGAGGATTTTGCAGGATTGAGGCAGTGGTCACCCCTCCATGGACCATATTCAAGAAATAATGGAGGAATTTGCAGGATTGAGGCTATACGCTTTTTTACCATGAGGCCAATTGGAGGATTTTGCAGGAATGAGGCTACATCCAAGCAAGAAGGCCAAGGGAGTTAGGGTTAATTAAAGATGCATGTTCACCCATGTTTGCTGAGATTTAGTATTTCTGATTGTTAATACTTAATACCACATGTTAAGGGTCTAGGTAAAATGAGATCTATATAATATCCATTTGTGTCAAAGTGATCTTTCCTAGTTTTATTGTTATTTTTAATATTTATTTTTGGTAAACCAAGGATTCCTCAAAGTGCCTTATGCACTGCAGCTCACAAGCCTGAAGAAACCTTTGGAGAGGGGACAATGAGAAGAAATTACAGTTTTAGAGGTGGGAGGAAAACCCCAGAAGAATATTCTGGGGAAAACCCACGGAATCAGGCAGGGACTGAAAACCAACTCCACATGTTTGGCCAGGGGGATTCGAACACGGGTCACAGCGGTGGAAGGCGAGGAAATACCGCCACGCCAACCTGACTCCTCAAATAGCACCCTCTCGTGTTTGCTAACGGAGCACAAGATATATCTAGGGCCGAGTTCAGGCGGTTTGTTCTTGACACGGGTATACATGTATTGTACTCGGGCTCAAAGGGCCAGAACATGACCCAGGAACACTGCACTCGGAACATGACCACATGCCACCTATCCGTCAAAAACAATATATACCCTTGACAAGAACAGACCGCCCGATCTCTGCCCAAGAGTCAAGATACTTTTACACAAATTAAAAATCTTTTCAATCCTTCAACTCTTTCGCTACGGGGAGCCGCTGACAGCGGCACATACTAATTGTACAGGTCGTACGGAGAGCCGCTGGCAGCGGCTCGGTTGCGTCGCTATGAATAAACAGGGTATCCCCATGACGTGGGCCATATCTACATAATTTATATCGTATAACCTCTGACCCTAGTTCAGGCCGCTGCCAGCGGCTCTCCGTCTGGCCGGGGTGCGCTGCAGGTTATTGTGAGCAGTTTGTTTACGGAGATACATTTAAAGATGGTGGCGCCCACATCGACGCTCGGCGGATTTTCAGCTTTTAATTACGTCCAGTTGGGACAAAAAAGGTAAATTTAATTCCGTAGCAAAAGAGTTAACCCTAACCACCCCAACTCCATCAAAATCCATTCCCAAATTTTGGTGGATTTGGGGACCTGGTCCCGAAAGCCTGGCATGACTAAATATTGATGGAGCATGATGGACTTGGGCCTAATGGCCTGAAGCAGTGCTAGAGGTATCCGATTGATTTTGCCTAGCTTCCTGTACTGCTATTGTGATAGAAGCCATGTGTAGCAAGTCCATGAATGTCAACCAGTGCCTCAGTGGTGGATTCCATTATGTCATGTACAGTTTTGTGTTGGACGCACAGTGATCGATGGATTTTGATGGAATTGGTCCAGTTCCTAGTAAAAGACACTAGGGAGTTAGGGTTAATTAATATGATGTCAGAAACTAACAGTTGACCAGAAAATTATGTGTACCTTCTATAAGCCACTCGCAGTGGACATTTTCTTCGTAAAACCCTACTCCGTCCGTGACCGTTCCTTCCAGGTCTGTCAAGAGCGCCCTCCGGAGGCCAGAGCAGCCCGCAGACGCGGCTAAGCGACCACATCCGCATATGAACAGAAACACCGAAAGCACCAGGGTAGAGCACGCACAATCCATGATTATATTTGTGTTCTGAAAGAAAAATTCAAATAATTATTATATTTTCCCTTTCCTTGCCCATGTTACCATCAGTGACTTTTGTTGACAAGGAACTTCCCCTCTTCCCTGCTGCTTACCATACGAGTTTGTCAATTTAGTATCGGCTGTCATCTTGTTCAAGTGAAGCCGAGATCTATACAAATGTACTACTCATGGGTGGTGTTAGCCCCATAAATGTGGCCTATTTACTGGACTGCCTCCGTAAACATAGGCCACACATCCACATGTACAAAAACGTGTCGACTTTGCCAAATTTTGATTTTCACATTTAGGCTTAGTTTGTAGTTTATTTTTGCTTTAGAAGCATACTCACCCTCTATATAGGCTAATCAGAAAGTGTTGCCTTTTTCAGATGTCCATTTTACGTGAAATTTCCAGATACATTTGCACACGTTTGCGTATCAAAATTTCAAAATGAAATTTCACAAAAATTAGACATCTGAAAAAGGCAGCACTTTCTGATTAGCCTGTAAAGAGGGTGAGAATGCTTCTAAAGCCAAAAAAACCTACAAAGTAAGCCTAAATGTGAAAATCAAAATTTGGCAAAATCGACCATATTTGTACACGATGTGTGGCCTATGTTTACGGAGGCAGTCCAGTAAATAGGCCACATTTATGGGGCTAGGGTGGTGTGTACCATTACTGCACGGGGAATTCCTTGCAAAAACATTGCTTCTACATGTATATCTTGTTCAAGGGTGTTTGTTTTTGCATACAGATTTTTTTTATAAACATTTAATTGGTTTAAACAGAAAAAGTGCATAGGGCTTGTAGGGCCTATAACTATAAAACAATATAATGTTATTGTTAATAATACGTTAAAACAAAGCTGTAGGCAAGTAATAAAATTACTAGTATTATAAAGCTACTTTTGATGTTCAGAATTTAATGAAAGTCTATACAATATTTGTTGAAACTGAGTTGGCGACCATTGGCAGTTGCTTAAGCAAGTTGACCCTTCTTGACGCAATATATACATGTACATGTACATGCGCAATATATACATGGTATATGCAGCCTGGGAAAAAATTTCATACTCGATCGCCACTTTTTTCAATTAATTTTCAAGCACCAAAAGTTACGTCCTTTATGGTTATTCCCTCCACTTTCCCTCCTCTACTCTCACCCTCTCCTTTCCTTTACTTCTATTTATTAATCAGTCACTTACTTCATCGAGATTCGAACCTCGGACTCTTGCTTGACACACAAGTCTCTTAACCGCTAGGCCGCGCACGATTGCTGTTGCAATGATGAATCTTTGGCAGCATTTGAAAATTTAAGTAGCCATTGAAATAAACTAAATATTCATGAGAAAATCAATGTTCATAATGACGTATTATTGGCCGGCTCATGCGACATCATGGTTGTCAACATCATGCGTTGCTGTTGACATGGTTGACTGGCTGTTCAACTTGGTTCTGCACGATCACGATATGTGCATCCAAAATGTGCTCTGAACATGCTAAAAACACATTTTATCTAATTTTTTTCACCTTAACACAGCTTCCTGGATTCCTCTTGGTTGAAATCAAAAGGTGAGATAAACATTAATAATAAATGGAATTTTCCCCGCAGCCTCCAGCCAACAAAATTAGTCCTACCTGGTCATGACCACCATGTCCATGACCACGAATGATAACATGATTGATGATTGATGATCAACTTGATGAGAAGAATTTTACAAAGTCATGAAAGTAAAACCGTCTGTATTTATATTTCAGTTTCTCTTTGACAAATATCCCTATAACATGGCTCAGGTTATTCGAAGCATGATGTCAGTATTGAACAGTTATGGGAATTCCCGTTTTAATACCTAAATTCGTTGTAACATTGACGCCATTTTGAATCAGCTGAAGCAACAATAAATTTTTCGTCGATTTTCTAATAAAAAATATCCTCCTACCTGCAACAATTACGCACAAATACTCCACAAATCCCACTGTAATTTATAAATGAGTTGTTCCTCTTTCCAGAAAGTCCATCATTTCGCCCGTTTGTTTGGCAAATTGGAAGAAAACGGCGCTCTAATTTCACCAATTTTCGGTGCCTTGTTCTCAAAAAAATCCCTGGATTTCTCGTCGTCGCTAGATTGTTGACCCCAACATTTGCATAATCGATTGCATAGGGCGCCCTCTGTTGTTTTAAGTTACCACTATCATGAATATTAAAAGTAAAGAGCACAATTTTTTTTTATAAAATTAGTTAATTCAGTTACTTTAATAAAAGAATTCATGGTTAAAATATATACATAAGGAGACGAAGATCCTCCTTTTCTCAGCAACATGTGAAAGCATAATAACTTTAACGGATGTTTTACTGACTCGAACTTTTCAGTTCTGTCATCGATCGACGACACAATATAATCATGGAGGAAGGAATTTTAGCTAGCTGTTTAATTTTAATGTTTTTCGTGATATGAATGACTGAATGTAAAAGGAATAAAATTGTTTGATTCTTACTCCAGTAAATAATTAAAGATCTCAGCTTAAAGATGTTTATGTGTTTTATGGAGACTGTACTTTTAGTGCCCAAAACTTCCCCATTCTAAAACGTTTTGCAATAAAATTAACCGAAATTTAACCAATAGAGGGCGTCCTTTTGGTTGCACGTTGTGAAAGTTTAGCTGGTAACCTTAAATGGTTGCACGCAACTCGCGTTCGAAATAAACGCTCGGGCTACCAGTTGCCATGTGAGGTCGTCCTTTTCTGCTTGGAATATTCGAAGGTAGTGCCGTTTCTGTCGATGCGAGATATAAAATCAGTTATTTTGCAAATATGTTCATGATTTTTAGGAGACTTAATCCAAGAGTTTAATCGACCATATTCCAAAGTACTATAATAATTGTAAATTTGGTTGATATGGAGAAGAATAAAGTCAAAAAGACAAAATTAAAATCTGTCACTCTTCAAGTTTCAATGTGCATGATGTGAATTTCGCATGATGTGACGTGTGTTTTTTTTTTATAATCGCAGTGGCTATTTATTGTTAATTACGGCAGCCGTGCTGCGATTTTCAACTGCTATAAACCTATCATTACAGAACCGTCTGGTTCCCAGACCTAATAGGCTTAAATCTAATGTTAATGGACTTTTAATTTCCCTTTAAAAAAACATGATGGATAAATAATAAAGACGGGAAAGAATGTTGCAAGGTGACGCTGCTTTTTCTACATATATCATCTCATTGAAGGCTAGCCATTGCAAAACTGAAGATGAATCTGGAACTGAGAAACATTTCCAATTTCGTTAGGAAATACTTAGACAATTTTCTTGACCCTCCATCATGTCCATAGACATGATAGACTTTGTACACTGACTACTGCTGAAGAAGTGGCGTCAGGTTGCAACATTCTTTCCCTGGAGTCTAGAGATAACTACATGTAGGAAAGAATGTTGCTACTTCATGCCACTTTTTTCTTCTCATATCACCGCAGTGCATATCATTGCAAAAATGTAGCCTGAGAAACTCCAGCTCCAATGCTCATCAGGAATTTGACATTCTAAATGTCGAATTCCTGATGAGCCAGCCTCATTCAGAGTGTGCTGAACTTTATGCCCCTCCCCTTTTCAGAATCCACCAATCAGCATGCAGATCTTTGTGAAGACCCTGACGGGCAAGACCATTACGTTGGAGGTGGAGCCCTCCGACACCATCGAGAACGTCAAGGCCAAGATACAGGACAAAGAGGGTGAGTATGGCTCCTGAAACCAGAGCAGAAATGAAGGTACTTGTGATTGATTATAAGTCCATCAGATGTCAATTTCATCTTCTTCAAGTCATCCACACGTAGTGACCAACTCGGGTCACAAAACCTCTAAAGTTACAGGAATTAACCCTAACCCACCTCACTCCTCCAAAATCCTCCTGGCGGTTTTGGAGGATTCTAGAGGATTGAGGATGAATGGTGATTGAATCAAATGAGGATTCTGGAGGATTGAGGATGAATGATGATTGAAGCACATGAGGATTTTGGAGGATTCAGGATGAATGGTGAATGAAGCACAAGAGGATTTTGGAGGATTGAGGATGAATGCATTTTGAGGCAGGACTGTCTGATGATTTTGAAGGATTTGGCGTTGGTTATCCTTCATTTAAACACGAGTGCAAAGTTTTGGGATGAGGAGGATTTTGGAGGATTGAGGATGAATGCATTTTGAGGCAGGACTGTCTGACAATTTTGAAAAATTTAGGCGGAGTTGAAAAATTTTGGAGGATTTTGGAGGATTGAGGATGGTTGTAAGCAACAAGGGCCTAGGGTAAGGGTTAATTAAAGGGAATATACGTCATTTGCTTTTGCTGTAATTTTCAGAAATGGATGGAATTGGGGGGTTGGAAATATAAAGCAAATATAGTTACACTGACTTTTTTGAGGTTTTGGGTTCGAAAATGCTATAAAAACCAAGAAAAACAATCGTTTTCCTGTAGTCTGGTTCCCTGACTCCATATAAGAAGAAACAGAGCAGTTCACATACATTGGGGAATTGTAAGGTCAGGGAATCAGTCTAGCTGGCTTGTACCCGTTCATAGGTGCGTAATCGATTGCAAACAAGTGCGATGGTCAATTGGGGCCAGTATTTGAAAAAAAGCCAGTTTTTTTTCCGGCCGACCAGTGTTGGAAATTTATACAGAAATACCACTTTTCTTGAAAATGACAGTATACCAGGTGCCATGATTTAACAGGATGCTTTACACTGTCGTTCACTAACAGTCCAGCAAGGTATTTCAAAATGATTTGGTAGTTTTATTTTTTGATGTTTGCAAATGTTGTATTTTCCCTTTAATAACGTCACAGACATTTTTCGTCTCATCAAGACAGCTGAACAACTTTTGAATATTTAACAATTGTTGACTGCTGTTTTGTGGGATGTGTCGTTTTGTACACCTGAGGGGCGCATCTACATGTATGTACCCTGAGGATATTCAAAACGTCATATCCCACATCACAGCAGTCAACAATTGTTTTGTTATACCTCCGTCTAGGATTCTTTGGAGTTTGATTCACTTGTGATGTAATTGTGACTCGGGCAGCTTGAAATCCAGGGATCCCTCCATATCGATTTGCCAATAATATGGAAGCGGTTTTATGATTGCAGGTATTCCTCCAGACCAGCAGAGGTTGATCTTTGCCGGCAAGCAGCTCGAGGATGGACGCACACTGTCAGACTACAACATCCAAAAAGGTATCGAAATAATAAACAGAGAAATTGGCTGGAGCACGATTTGAACTTGCGACCTCCGGATTACCAATAACCTGGAGGGTTTTGAAGTTTTTGTGGGGGCTGTGGTCCAGTGGTTACGGTGTTTGACTCGAGTGCCGTGGTACATGGGTTCGAATCCTGACGGGGAACATGGTCCTTGTGCTCTTAAGCAAGGCACTTTACCATTATTTCTTCGTCCTTTGGATGGGACGCACATGTAAAGCCGTAGGTCCCGTGTGTTGTGTAATGCACGTTAAAGAAACCAGTAACATTTACTGCCAAGAAAAGAGGTTTGCCCCGGTGTTTCTGAAAGTGGCAGCAATATGCGCCGCAGTACCTACCTTGTAAACCCTTTATAAAGGTGCTACATAATGGGTCTCATATTTCTCATAAACTTCACTAAGCTGTCTTTAAAAACATAGACAGAATTACCAGCGCCTTGAGTACCTAATTTTAGGTAGATACGTGTGCTATATAAGACTCCGGTAAGACTTTGGTATTGTTATCCATACTCCAAAGAAGATTACCTCAAGGATTTTAGAGTGTGGGTGCTAACTCTATGGGCAACATCTGAAGGGTTTAAAAGTTCAAAAGACTACATGTAGGAGAGTTTTAAGGGGATCGAAGCAAAATCTGCAATATCAGCCGACATTTGAAGAAGAAAAAAAGTAGGGGGATAAAAAGCGCGTCAAACGGGTGGCATGGGTGGCTTGTGCGTAAAGCGCTCGCCTCTCACCAAGGTGACCACGGTTTCAATCCTGGCCGCGGATCGCATGTGAGTAGAGTTGTGCGTTGGTTCTCTCCTGTTTCACGAGGGTTTTTCTCCGGGCCCTCCGGTTTTCCTCCCTCCGGAAAAATCAAACACTTTCGATCTCAGGCTGTGCTCCGTGGTCATATATGGGTCGATGTGGCCGGCAGCCATAGGCGCCTTTACGTGCCAGCGGCCAGACCACGTTGTAGCCGCGTCCTTCGCAATTCAGCATACCAGCTGTGAGTAAGGATAATTAGCCTCCCAAATTATTATTATTATTATTGCACCACTTTTTGTGTAAGCACCATACCAGAAACCGGAACCTTTTTTTTTTTGCCTAATGAACGATTTGTGTTTCTTGTTTTAGAATCCACCCTCCATCTTGTGTTGCGTCTGCGAGGTGGGATCATTGAGCCCAGCTTGAAGATTCTGGCCAGCAAGTACAACTGCGACAAGATGATCTGCCGCAAGTAAGTCCTCCGGATTTTGTGTACTAGGCAACTAGGCAAGCCAAGTAAACCTGTCACAACGCACTCACAATTCTATTCAAATGATTCAGAATGACTATACATGGCTAAAACTGTAGAGTTCAACTAAAGACAAGCCTTTTACATTCTTATCTCAATTGTCAGGTGTTACGCTCGCCTGCACCCCCGCGCCACCAACTGTCGCAAGAAGAAGTGTGGCCACTCCAACAACCTCCGCCCCAAGAAGAAGCTGAAGTAAGCTGCTCGTCAACCTCTGTCCCAGACACCGGAGCACAGACCCTCACGTTTCATTGTCACAACTTCAACGCAGCTAATCTCAATATTTCCTTCAACTTTAGAATATGCTACAATGCACATGTACCCAAAAACAAAATCGTCATGAAAGCCAGACGACATTGTGTTTTTAATGAAATCGTTTTTTTGTCATGGCTAGTTGGAACATGAAAAAGGCTAACAGTAACCTCAAAGGTTAACTGTAACCTCAAAAGGTTAACTGTAACCTCAAAAGGTTAACTGTAACCTCAAAAGGTTAACTGTAACCTCAAACTTGAGGTATGGATTGTGAAATAAATGTTTAACAGACAGGTAAATAAATTCAAAGGCGTGGAATAAACAAACTGCTGAGTATCTTGTACTGTTCCGTTGGGTCTGTCTGCTGGTTTTGAGAAAACAAAGGAAGATGTTTACACTGTAAGATTACACTTATCCATGATGAATTTCATTCAATTTGATTGATGACTATCGTGGTCAGACCGGTGCAAGAAATACTTCTCAACCTGGAACCCAGGAATCTGTAAAGTGTGCGGTGCGCATTCTTCGGACTATTATGTGATGCTAGCACGCATGGGCGTCAATCTGTGGGGTACGGGGGGACCTGTCCACTTTTTAAAGTTTCTGGCATATCGTTTGTCCCCCTATACACACTATCTTTTATCGCCCACGGGTATAAATTGTAGCCTATATTTCGTTCTATAGCTCAGAATAGCTGAATAAATGAATCCAAACTTAAAAATGATTTTACATGATGATTTTCAACCAAGAGGTGTGCTTATGAAGTATTTTTGGTGATTTTATAAGTACCGTCAAAATAGCTTCCGGAACAAACTAAGATATTTGGGAAAAAGAGTTAAAAGTTAATTTTCACCAATGTAATGCAATGTAAGACTTATTATGGAATTCCAGCATAGCATCTGGACACATGATCCTCATATTATTTTTCAAGTGGGTACGTACATATAGGAAAGGTTTATAGGTAAATACAACTTTGTAGAGACGCACATAAACTTTTAGTCACAATCCCCCCCTACAAATTCTGTCCAACGAAACAAGAGAAAGCCAATTCGCATGCCCCAAATTCATTCATTATTGTTGTAAAATCCATATGGACAATGGCAAAATCACTACCGACCACATAACATAAACAATGATACGTAAACGTTCATGTGTGCACTTTATTATTTCGCTCGTATACCCCCGCCCTGCAAACCCTGTTTGCAGAGCAAGGGCGGATCCGGGGGGGGGGGGGGGGGGGGGGGCAGGGGGGCAAAGGGGGCATGCCCCCCCCCCCCAAAAAGCAAATCCATTTTTTTAAATTTTTGTTTAGTGACTTCGCAATAAAGGCAAGACAATGAGTACACCACCATCTTTTCCTCACAAAGCATATTGGTTAAAGTGGTCAGAAATTGCCTCAGATCGCACCACAGAGCACCTTGAATCAAAAAAAAAAATTAAGCGGGCCCCGAACCCCACGCCGTAATTTTGTTGGACACCCTTTTTTGGACACCCTTTTTGGGGACCAACATGTTTTTTTAGCCCCCCCCCAAAATTGTGTTCTGGATCCGCCCTTGTTGAAGGCGTGCGTGGGGTACGAGCGAATTCATTATCGGATTATCCTGTCTATTGAGGGCGCCATATACGCTCATAGCCGGGCGAAAACATCAGACACACCATACAAGACATGTATGGCGCGGTGTTGGACACGTGTGGAATTTTTTACCTAAAAGAACGATGGACTAACCTTGGGACTATACGGTTGGAATCCAGGACCTGGCATCAAAACTGGTGAGTACAAAGTTAAATTTCATTAAATATAATTTCAGGAATCAAGGAAAAAGAAAGTGAAACGGAATTGACATGTCATGTGCATGTCTGGTATGCCGGCAAATTATCGTTGTGTCGGGCCGGCGCAGTTTGCTCGTACATATACGTGCATGCAGTGTTGCCAATTAACCTCAATGTTGACAAGCTTCAAAATTAAACACTAACATTATTTACTAAAATAATGCTTGCCTATGTTCCTGTTGTGTACAAAAAAAATGATATCATGAAATGTATTCCGAAATTCGATGTTGACGTCCGTAAATCGGGCTCAAAATTAGCTGAGGGTACGCGCTCCCATAATGTAGTGCACTAGGACACAAGTATTATGAGATCTTTAAAGTTACACATTCTGCTAAGGCTTTATCATCTCCACTTATTCAACAAATTGTCACAAGATTATTATTATCATAAATGTGTTTTTTGTTTGGTGGGGGGGGGGGGCAATTTCCGGAAATCGCCGCACAGAATCAGCTTCATTGAGGTACGGTTTCCTAACGTACATGCACTATAGCTTTTTTGTATAGGCCTTTAGAACAAAAGTAAATTCGTTAAAGTTAAAAAGAAAATCTTGTTAGTCTTTATCGTATCCACTATCTCGATATCCGAGTCTCTCTCTCAGTCCGGTGAAATACAGTCCACCATCTGGTGTATTGACACTCATCCATCAAAAGATTATTAGTACATGTGTGTGGGGGGGGGGGGGGGCACATTATTAAGAAGTGTTTAAATAACCGTAAACCGGCCTGCATTGTTTACAGTGTCTAAAGCCATAGCTGTCGGCAGATCGTATATAGCGCGCCGTCATGTCGCCACCCCAGCTAGTCTCGTCTAATATGGCGAATCATAATTATATGGTCTATGATATGTGAACAGATTCGCTGATTAGTTATGCAAGACAACCGCCTCTTGACCTCTAGATTTTGACCAATCAGTGGGCGCTTTCTATATATTTCAGGTCTTCGGTCATTTACCCGTTGCGCGTCATATACAGTGGAATAGACAGTCCTGAATCCTCCAATTTCAATGTGATTTTGCGCACCCCCTAGGGAGTAAGGGTAAAAAAAAAAACCTGTGTCACGCGCTCTGTATCATATGTTACGAGATAAGCGCCAGTTGTATTACAATGCACAGCATTCGAATTGACCAATCAAACCATTATAAGTCCTGATTTGGAAATGAAATGATGTCACGATTTAGTAAAGTCAAATCTGATGGGCTGGTGTGCGGCTTGCATAATTTATCTGTATGTCTAGACATATCAGACGTTATAAAGGAGACTTGGCTCCGGCGATAACGGGCGATACTCCGATTACCCCCCCCCCCCCCACCCCACCCAACTTTTTGACAACTGAGTAGTCCTGCGAAGTTACCAGGATAAGTGGGTTAAACCGAAATTGCCTTTTTTTGCACGTGTTTTGTTCATTTTTCCCGAAAATGGCCCTGTTCTTTTTGCAATTGCTGTTTATTTAAACGTCCTGTGGAGAGCGAATAGCGCCGCCTTTTGTCTGATATTGGGGCCGTGTTTAGTTCTATTCATGGAACAGTCCCATTATGAATGTGCTTTGGTCGATTTGTGGCCCATTCAGAATCTCAAGTTTTTTGGGGTTTGTTTTTATGCCCCGCGGTGAAGCCGAAGGGGCATACTGTTTCCGCCTTGTCCTTCCGTGGGTGGGTGGGTGGGTGTGTGTGTTGAGAAGGTGTGGGTGGGTGTGTGTGTCCGGACAAATCTCGTCAGCGCGATAACTTGAGAAATACTTAACATATGAACTTCAAATTTGGTTTATGGATTGTCCTTGGTAATCCTAAGAAGCCTTTTGCGTTTGGGGCCGAAAGGTCAAGGGTCAAGGTCACAGTGGCTGAAACAATAGAAATTTTGTCAGCGCGATAACTTGAGAAATACTTTACATATGAACTTCAAATTTGGTTTGTGGATTGTCCTTGGCAATCCTAACAAGCCTTTTGCATTTGGGGCCAAAAGGTCAAGGGTCAAGGTCACAGTGGCAAAAACAAAAGAATTTTTTTCAGCGTGATAACTTGAGATATACTTTACATATGAATTTCAAATTTGGTTTGTGGATTGTCCTTGGCAATCCCAAGAAGCCTATCGCATTGGGGGTCGAAAGGTCAAGGGTCAAGGTCACAGTGGCTAAAACAATAGAAATCTTGTATTTATTCTGAGATCATAGGGATTAGGGATTAATTCATATAAAACCTACAGAAGACACTAATGCTGTCAGTGAACGTTCCGTTTGACCAAGGTACATGTAAGTTGATGTTAGAGTGGTGTTATGTCATGGAAAGTCACGGTTGTGGGGCATTTGTGTTTGTAAAGACACCTGACTTGTTGTTCGTTTAATTTAAATACGCATGTATCAAGCTATAGCTGTTACAAATGCTTATGCTTAGCAGTGTCTGTTCTGAGGAATTTCCCGTGAAAATACCCTCAAACCTTACGTCGGAAGGAGTTATTTTATTTCGATAGTAAGCAGGTAACTTTTACTGCTTTTAACTTGGGGGGGGGGGGGGGTAAGTCTGCCGCCGTAACCATTTTGTAGATCTTTTCAAAAGCATTACAATTGTGTGTATATACATGTGTAGGTGTAGTTAATATAGGTTTTCCCGGCCAATTTGCTAAAAATGTTCATTTATTTCTGAAATTCGGTCATTCCTTTTCGTCTGAATTTGAGAATCGCTCTGAACACGCATTATATTTTCGCTACCAGAATAGTAGTGGATTTATACAGTTCATCGCGAAAACTCGAATTGTCTTATATGCTGCCAGTTTGGGAATCTCCATCCCTGTGAAATATTAAAATCGTTTGCCAAAGTCACCGAAGCATGCTCCCCTGTTTACATTGTTTATATGAACACTCGTTTATTTGCAACTTGTTTTACATGTTTTACGTTAGTGACGTACGGATGTCCTTTAATAAAACGCATAACAAGTTGGAAATCTATTAACGCCTCAAAATCTATGTACAAAAGTGGAGTAAATACGTTATTTTTTTAATCAAAACTGATGTCTCTATTAAGGCCAACGAGCTGTTGCTGAGTCTCAGTATAGTACATTCTCGTTTTGCATTGGTTGCTTTATATGGTTCCGTATCCAGGCAGACTTTGAACCAATGCAGTTTAACCTTCAGTCTGGGTTATTTACCAAATTTCTTACGAAAAGATTTTTGTAAAGGTAATGTAAATAAGCAATAAAAGCCACGGTTATTTACAATTGATAATCTGTTGACGATAACGCATACAGCAAGGTGCGGCGGACTCTGGAATTGTTGGCAATAATTTTACACACCCAAGGATCGACAGAAGTGTCAAGTGTTATTTCTTATGCATAGCCCTAGGTTTATCTGATCCAAAAAAGTTTGAGTTACGAATAGAAATTTTGTCCCGTAGTCTATGTTAACTTTGTTAGGGAAAAAATTGCAATTTGAAACTTCATGTATATAATCTCAGTTCGTGCAATCGAGTGAATTAATGTTTAAAATGGAAATTGAATCATTCTTACAAA